TGGGGAAAAAAATCTATAGATACCAATAGGTCCCATGTCCTATATTTACTTGGAAAGCTGAACAAAATATTTTTTATAAACAAGAAACGGTTTAGTGAGGAGTCCATTTACAGAGTAGCTTTTCTAAAAAGATAATGATGATTCTGATATTTCTAAGAACGCTCTGACAATAACGAATAAGTTGTGCATCTGCTCCAATAAAATAATATTTTCATCCTTTCATAATTATTAATTTTTGCATAAATAAATGTCTTAAATATAACATTAAACTTGATATTTTACTAAGAGTGTTTCGTCGTTTCTCAGTAACGCAGTACCGCATACACACCAGTGTAGTTATCAACAGTGTATTTGTCACGTGACATTAGCGGCGATGTCTTTATTTTGATGGTGCATGTGTTTACTTTTCTATCAAAATCGTTATGTTAGGAATATTTTCACAATTAAAACATGAAATTGATGTAGAAATGAATAATCTTTAAAGGTGTCGTAACAAATTTATTCAAATATGAATTCTTATACGATTTTAGACGGTCCAAAGCTTGCGCTCAAAAGCCCGGCGAAAATTTCACTACAGGAAAGGTACTTCTTATGTTGTACGTAGAGGCGAGATATTGCCCAGACACGAAAATAGCACAATATCTCGTCGCGCAGTACAATTACGAATTAGTTGGACTACCGTACGGCTAGCCACTTCCTTCCCAAAAATACCAAATGACACGGAAAATTTAAAATCAAAATTGAACGATTATTTTATACTATTTCACGGTAAAAGTAAATCGAGCTCGCTTTGAGGCTTTAAATTCTCACTTTTTGATAAAAATTCTCCCCCCCCCCCCCCCCCGCCCACTAACCCCACTTCGCCGTCTTCGGTTTTTCGAAGAAACACTGGTCGTGACGACTCTAAATCAATAATAATGTTGGACAAATTGTTCAAATTCAACATAGAAAAACAGAATGAAGTTTAGTTATTATGAGTGTTATGTACTTTAGAAACTCTATATGGATGTTTTCTTGGTTTGTACGTGGAAACAATTTTGACTTTCCCGGGATACTCCATTTTGATGCAACTAATTTCCGTACCGAACCGGCCCAAAAATATTCCGGTAAAATATGGCACAAACCACAAATTATTTTTCACCCCTCATAACTAGGGATACAGGTATACAAGGGTTACACAAGGCTACGATCGGAAACAGTTAATTTTTACACTAAATTCTCATAAAGTTACAAATATCTGGTTAACATTTTTATTTTATTTTTTTATTATTATTTTAGCCTATCTACGTCGTGAACTGGACCGCATAATGCAGTGCATATTTCTGTATCTTTATATTTTATACTTGAAAATACAGTCCCAATCTAATATTATATGTTAATTTAAAAATTCGTCAAATTGACATAAATTGAAAATTTTATATATATTACCAATATCAATCCGAGAATTGTATAGGCACGAGATGCATTTTATTATATCAAAAATTACATACGACTTATATATAACACAGCACATATACATTTAATAATCCATCATGATTAGGCAGGTTTATATAACACTATTAGGATAACAAGACAAAAATAAACCCTGTAATATTTCCTTACAACCTCCATAACATTTAACTAAACTCAACCCAAGAAGCAAATACTTAGGAGTCACTATTAGCCAAGATCTTTCATGGACCAAACATATAAACAATATTACATCTAAACCAAATAACTCCCTTAGATTCATTAGAAGAAATGTTAAAACCCTAAATAAAAAGATAAAGGAATCTGCATATAAGACCTATGTTAGATCTCAGATTGAATATTGCTCCATAGTTTGGCATCCTTGGCAGAAATACTTAATTTATAAGATAGAGCAAATCCAAAGATCAGCTGCTAGATATATTTTTAATGAAATAATTATGACTATACAAGTAGTGTCTCAAAAATGATAAATGATCTTAATTGGCAAAACCTTGAACAGCGTCGATCAAAACACCAGTGCTGTACAAAATCATAACAACATTGTTTTTGTTGATCACCAACACCTTACTCAAACAAGAAATCTGAACTACCTGATACCCTACTCGAGGACACAATACCATCAAAATTCTTTCTTTCCTAGGAGCATACGTCTTTGGAATAGCCTTCCTCTAACTGTTCAGTCTAGCCCCAGTTTAAACATCTTTATACTGAGAGGCCTGACCCATTCTATAAATTCTAAATTGCACGCTATGTCTTTTAAATTAATAGTCTTGTAGAACTTTTATTCTTTTAACTTTTTAAATTTGCATATAAATAATTTCTTTTATTAACAGTTCCCTGACAACGCGCCTTCTAGTCATACTCAGAATTGATTGTTCAGTTGTATGATGTAGATGTAGATGTGTTTATTTTTTTCTAACTTTCGGGTATGTGAAACATATTGTATAGCTTTAAGTTTTTTAAGTTGTAATTTTATGCAAAATATTTCATTATTTTTAAGTTTGTTACTGGTTATTCTTTTCCGAGAGATATTTAGATATTTGTAATGGGGGGGGGGGGGGGCGTGTCCAAAGATGATATTAGAAATATCGGCTGGGAATATTAGTGAGTTGAATGATAACAGAATACATGCATACTCCGAAAACCCCTCATCATGGATCGACGGTGTATGAATACATTAAATCCTAATGTTGACATACATAATGTACTCTAAGATATTTTAGACGTCTTTCCTTGTTGATCTTGTTTATCATATTTTACACAAAATGGTGCATGTAGTAACACAAAATGGATTAGCTTTATGACGAAATGATAATTAATGGCTTATCAAAACTTATAGCTAAGTCTACTAGAATATGCAATAATAATAATAATAATAATAATAATAATAATAATAATAATAATAATAATAAAATGGCTCGCATCTTATAATTGCATACAGATATTTTAAAAAGTTTGACGAGCATTACATTATGATTGATTAATTGAAAAAATAGTATTGAAAATGTAGAATTATTATGAAATTCTAATTGCACCAATTAAACAAATGCGCATTTAACATATTGTACAGACTGGGTGAAATACAAACGTAATCCGAAGCGCTATAATTCAGTTTCAGAAGCGGACAAAATATCAAAATCAACACACATGCGAATTTTAACAATATATTAAGACATAAATGTTCTTCCACTTTCTCTGTCTCTGAATTCCTTCCTTTTGGTTGGGTTTTCAGTCACACCGACACTGTCAATGTCTTATGGTGACATTCCAGCTTTACAGGTTAAGGGCAACTACAGGTGTCCCTTCGTTTCAGGTACAAGCGAATACCTGAGTAGAACCACAATCATTCCGTAAGTCAACTGGATAAAGTTCTGCCACACGTGAAAGAATCCAGTTACTGGCAAAATTCGGTGGTGATGAGCGAGTGTCAACAGCCTTTAACCACGAAATGATTATAAATTCATGTCTAAATGCATAAAATGGAATTATTTTGAAATGTATACTTCTTTAAAAATACGTTCGACTTATATTCAACAGTTTAAATATGTATCAAAGTTTGCAAAATTTGTGTGATATTTGGTTTTAATGTGCTTCGTTTGTACAGTAAATAGTAATTAATGTTATTCTGCGTTAAATATTTATATAAGACATGAAGAAATAGAGAGATAGACTCTTTGTGATGATAAACCTAATTAAATTTGTATCTGCTTCAAAGAAAGAAAATAATGTTTCATCATTACTAATCGGCTATTTATTCATTTTCTTGTATTTCTATGATAAATCATTTAACATTGTGCAAATGTTCATGAATCATAAATTAAAATACATGTATGTTACAAGCTAGCTTAGATAAACTTTAATAAAGTTCTAGAAATTGATATCATGCAGAAAAATTATCTTTTGTAATAATTTTGTGCAATAATTATTGGTTCATTTATTTTTTTCTTAGAAATCTATTGCTTAGACAATGCCATATACTATTTTGTCGTTTTGAATCAGTTTGCTGGTCTCCAATATGCCACAGAAAATCTTTCAAAACTTCACTACTGTTATTTTACCGAGGCGGTAGCGTTGACAACAATGTTAAATTTGTTTAACATTTTGGTGAGCACACTCATGATATGAAATTGCTTTACACTGACAACATCGGCAATAAATACCACAAGAGACAACACAGTGAAAACACGATACTCGGTACCATAAGCAATTTTCTAATAATCAAGTCTCTTATATGAAAGAAATGAATTCGAGTGTTTTATAACAATCATTTTACCTACACATACCATGTCATAGGACAAAAATGGTTGTAAAGAACAGAACAAGTTATCTTTAATTCTCCAATGAAACTGTCTTGCCTCTGCTTATTACAGGTTCTTTTTATTTACCTAAATTGACCACTTGAATTGAATTCAAATAAAACCCGACATTTATGTAATGTCTATCTGACATCCAAACTTAAACTTTACCGTACTAGACTGGGTGTAATTACAGTCTTAATTGTAAATTAAGTTAAAAGCTATATGATTATATATGTGAAGTATATTTCATATTTGTAAGTATTGGACAGAGCCATGTGTTAATATATTTACAGTACATGTTTGACACTTAAAGCCCTAAGAAAGCGTGAGGCCCTTAAAATGCAGTCAGAAATCTGCCTCAACATTCTGTAAAAACTTTTAAAAGTGAGTGAATGAATCATATAATTATTGATTGATTTTGAAATTTGCGGCCGAAATTTAGTTTTTTACCAGATTTAAACTCCACTATACCTGGAGGCCTTATATTACAAATAAACAAATTGTAATTGTCCTTCTTAAATTATTTTTTAAAACGTTTATTTGCTTTTCCTTGAGTTTATTTAATTTAGGGAAATTAATGCTTTAATCCCACTGTGGCGAATTATTATATAACGAATCAAATCGTTATTTCACTGCAGTTAACCGTTATGAGGCGAATCGTTATTATAATTTCCGCGCGCATATTATCACATTTCAATTTTATGCGTCGCGATATAAACTTCTACAACGGAAGTGCTTCGTATCCAAGTAAACAACATGGCGGATGGTGGTTCGCAAATGATGGATAATCAGGCTGTTGAGGACGGATTTGTGCACATTAACGGCGAAACTCATGTTCTAAACTATGACACAAACATTTTAAACCTCGAAGAAAATCGAGTTGTTAGTCCAGTTGCAGATGTTGAACCACTAAATGACATTTTGACTGGAACAGGTTCTGGAGATGAGGAGGAAGAAGATATTGAGGTAGATTAGTTTTCAAACATCTTACAAGTCATTTCTTAAAAGTTATATACCAAATATCACAGTGGAAGCACTTATAGATTCCGTCCACAGCAAAATCTATGTTTTGAAATCATAACTTTTACCCTAGAGGCTAGTCCAACTAATTGTACTGCACGACGAGATATTGTGCTATTTTCGTGTCTGGGCAATATCTCGCCTCTACGTACAACATAAAAAGTACCTTTTCTGTGGTGAAATTTGCGCCGGGATTTTGAGCGCAAGCTTTGGACCGTCTACAATCGTATTAGAATTCATATTTGAATAAATTTGTTATGATACCTTTAAAGATTATTCATTTCTACATCAATTTCATGTTTTATTTGTGAAAATATTACTAACATAAAGATTTTGATAGAAAAGTAAACACATGAACGAGATTAAAGCGAGATTCTGCCCCAGAACTAAAATATCTCAGAATCAAGCTTTGGCACGTCAATATATTTTGACTACCTAGAGGCTAGAAGTAATCTGAGTGATTTTGTAAAGAAACATTTATACGGGGAAGTCAAAGACCGGGCCCGCGAAGCGGGTCCGGGCTTTGGCTTGCCCGGCTATAGACTACACGTGTATATTTAAAAGAAAATCAAATAAAAAACATTTCAAAAATATATAGAATTCTACTCGGGCGCTGCCATTTACAATGTAACTCAATGATAAAAGGCGTGGTATTCCGATAACGGAACAAATCTCAACTTTTCGGATAAATAATAAACGTCGTTCCGAGTGAAAACGGAAGCGGTGCATGTAATACCGAATGACAATTTTAAAACGGAAAGAATGAAAGGAATTTTTTAACGACTTCCCCGTTCATAGGCTTTGCCTAATTTTATATTAAATAGATCTACGTATATCCTAGAGTCATTAGTTTTTACGCCCAGAAAGCTGTTTAACAAATGCATTTTTTTATATTGAACTTGATCATTAAATAATATACAATATAAAGTTACTATGGCATGTTGTTTATCACTGCAAACCATTTTTATGTTAGTTAAAAATCCAAAATCAGTTAAGTTTTGTACTTAATAAGTAAACAGACCGTGGAGGCATCCATTGTTGTTTACAGTCATATGAAATGACGCCTTTTCATTGGGTGGTATAATGTAATATGAACAGCAAAAGAAGGTTTTAAATGAGCAAACCTGCAATGTAACAACATTGTGAAAACTTAAAATTATAATTTATTTCATGTAAAACTATCCATTAATTAGGAATGCCACACACTCTGGCAGTGGTCTTATTAGGTGCACCTGTTCTTTAACCTTGAATGTATTTACCATTAGTCTTGATGAATAGCATCTGTATTTGGCTTAAAGGACTGAAAAATATATCTAAAATGAATGGTGATGTAAAGATATGTATATATGTTGATTTGAAAAATGATTTTTTTAATTTCTTTTTTAAACATTATATACAATTATTAACCCATTATGAATTTTACTCAGTATCAATTAAAAACCAATTAACGTTTTCAAACAATATAAGCTGTACACCTTATGCTACAGTGAATATTAAGGACACTTTGCAAAGTTTTGGTCACATGACACTCATTAGACATTTTAAAATGGAGGATAGAAACAGAAAAGTGCAGGTCAAGATTTTCAAAGGCTGTATTTACAAAATTATGGCTTGCATAAACATCGATTGAATTTGCATTAGTAAAAAGATGAAAAACTACAGTACATATGATAAAGGTGTAGTCTTTTCAGTGAAATGTCTCTATTTTTCAACATGTTTTACTTATACGTTGTAAATACATGCTTGCAGTGCAGTCAGCAAATTATGACGTCATACGATGTCGTTTTCGTCATTTGTTAGGTCAAAACAAAAATGGCGTCAAAATAGATGAGCGTCAAAACACATGACCCGACGATATATGTATTGAAGAAATAATATTGAGTAAAATTGTAAAAATAGCTGTGGACGGATTCTGATCGAAGTGTAGCCCATTGGTCCCCTCGCTAATGTCACAGGGTCAAATATTTCTGGTGGAACAGAAACAATCTCTGGGTGTAGGTTCGATGTTTTTAAGGAATCCAAGTAAAAATGGTCTAAAAATATAACATACATGCCATAACGTCCCGGATGCCCGGGATTGTCCCGGAAATCGGATGTCTGTCCCGGAGATGTCCCGGGCATTGATTTGATCCCGGTAAAAAAAATCATGATATTTTGCAAAATTTTCATAAATTTTCTTAAATCAAATCTCGCACATTTCACCTCTCGATCATAAAACACATTCTGACCAGTGGTACACATAATACACAGGAACGTTGAACGTTTACAATATACAGCCCCCCAATTATCGACTCCCCTCGGCAATAGCTTTCTTCATGCATCGGCAATTAACGTTCTCTGCGTTTAATGATCGGGTAAATTAATGGTTTACGGCCCTGAACAATTATCGTTAATCCCCGATAATCATTAATTTTTAGATCAATCGCTAACTTGCCGAAAGTCTAATTATTACAAACAATGTAAATATATCCATCCAATAAATATTAAAGGTGTCAAATAAATTACCTTGCTGTGTTTGTTTTAATGACTGGAAGAATTGCGTTACGTGACATGTAGTAATTATCACGACTTAAAGATATAACGGGTGAACAACATGGCTGCGCCCATTCACCGGGTTTATAACTTACAACTTACTTGCTTTTAGGGAATAATAAATGAAATAAAGAAATACTATAAAATGATAAAGATGTCGAACTAAAAGACTACTTCTAAAACTAGTAAGTTAACTGTTTATCATTAAAATTCTGGAGAAAGTCGTCCTAATATAATAATGTTATACGATTGACACGCCCCCTCCCCCTTTTCCACAACTGCCTCCATATCCATTATTGCCGCGATGAAAAGTGTCCCGGAAAGCTGTCCAAAAATTATGGCATGTATGATATAATCAAATAATTATACATCTTACAAGTACAATACATATAAAAACAAAATACATTGAAATAACAATATATACACAATCGACGCGGTATAAGAAAATACAAAAATACATAAATAAGATATACAATCAATATCTTAAACTTAATACTAATTCTTACCACAGCGTCTGTAATTTATTTTTACTTATATGAATTAAACTATTTCAAAATAAATTGAAATAAGTAAAGTAATTGTAGATCTAATGTTAAATAAATTAACTTTAGTTTTACTATGTCTGACTCGTAAGAGATGACTGTCAAGAGTGAGCGGGACAGGAAAAGCAAACAGTGCGCAGAAGTAAAAAATATTTAAAAGAACCAATGGATATTTCTCTCACATAGAATCATACATAACAAACACAACAATTGGATAAGTTACAACAAAGAATGAGTGACCAGTGTTCAGGATATTGCACGGGTGAGATCGACAATGTACATCATTGATGGAAATTGTCGATTTTCACCGATTCAATACCGGAAGTTAAAACTTATACGATAAAAACTAAACAAAACCGAATAAAAACGTGCGTGCACAATGTTTCCGCTTAAACAAAACTATGGAAATCCACGGCTGCCATTACCATATAATTTCAATCTGTGACACTAATTATTGAAATATTTTATTCCATGCACTTTATGGAGCAGTCATTGCAGTCAATAGTTTCTGTTTGAAACATTTCCATAGCTAGCACAATTATTATCCTCCAATATGCTTTCTCTTTTAGACATGATGCTAAACTAATGACAGAAGTACTCAACAAGAAATAAAATCTAGTTTAGTAGAATTAAGAAACAATCGAGTATCCCAGAAATAATCAAGTATTCATGCATTTCTGTTACTATGCCGTCATTCGGTAACAAAACTTGTGTTGAAGTTTAGAAAATGAGTATGTTATAAAAGATTTGATATAAAAAAGCTTTGATTTAATCAGAGTGAATGGTGCCAGATGATAAAGAGATTTTGAAAATAAATGTTACGAGTCCTTCAATATAGTTGCCAAGCTGTTAAAGTATCACAGGTTTTATATAGCATCACACCCTGCTGCTTTATTGGCCTTGGGTTTTGACATTTTACATATGTTTATTACAATGTGCTGGTACCAGATAGCTGTAAAAGTTAATGCTGATTTGTTGAACAAGGACAACTGATAGATGCTGTTCTGAAGAATTTTTCAGTATGAAGAAAGAAGTTTAAAATACTGGGGAAAATTATTTCACTAGAATAATTCAATGAATTTTTTGAAATATTCTTTTGAAAATATTCTTATTTCAGCTCTCACCTGGAGGAATTTTAGATGAGGAGACAGTTGGTCGAGGTCTGTCAAATCTTGGTCGTTCAGCAGATGGTGCAAAACAAGTTTATCTACACTGTACAATACCTGTAAGTTGAATTTGTATCTCAAGTGTCTACAGATTTTGTGATATTGCTTAAAAATTTTCATCATGAGAAAGTAAAGTACATGTAGATGAAATTGCATAAAATGAACTATGTTCAGGGTTTTCATTTCAGATTTATACACTTAATGTTATCATATGATAAGTTTTAAATACATGTACTCCAGCTTTATTGCATACTTTATTTTATTTTTCTATTTACTTATTTATTTTTTGTGTGTGATTTTTTTGTATCTGATATATTTGTTCAAAAATTATTAATTCTATGACAATTACATGTATAAAACATTGCAAATGATATTGAAATAATTTTTTTTCAGGGCTTCAATTTGATAGATATTCAAGCCATTGCAAATTACACAGAACTACAAAAAATTGAAATTCCTTATAACCAGTTGACAGGTATTGATTTCATGTTTCTCTCTTCATTTGTTTTCATTTCATAATTTGGTTATAATCATCATTTCTAAAACAACAATTGCCATGAATTTTCAATATGAAGATCACAGTTCGTCTTTGTTGTTAGCCTATTACATGTTGTTAATCATCACAAAAAAAAAAACAACATAAAAAGAATTTCTATGAAAGAAAGAATAAGTTTACTAAAATGTTAACTTAATTTCATAGAAATTTCACCTAATCTTTGTGTTTTTCATGATGTTGTCATTCATTGTACTGCCCTTTCTGGAAATTCGAAAGCCTGTCTAAAGATATAATGATCACAAGAATCTAGCTGAAGACCTTTATTAATAAGGATAATATATTTTGCACATTTAAAACTGTTTATCATTTTCATAATTTTACGAGGTTATCATCTTTTATTGTCTTTCCCTCGTAATATACATTTTCATTTTACAATAACAGATTTATCACCACTGAGCAACCTGCCTTTTCTGTTGATTCTGGATGCCTCTCATAACAAACTGTCAACAGTGCTAGATTTCAAACCACCAAAGAATCTGAAAGATGTGGACCTGTCATTCAATGAAATTGAGGTGATGACAGATCTATCTGCTCATCATTACCTCACAAAACTTAACTTAGACAGTATCCTTTTTATTGTAAAATTATAAAGATGTACTGGTATGATATATTTAAGACTGGTCTTTTATTCGGAGCAACTTTAATACTGAGTTGCATATATTTTAAATGCAATTTTTTATACACTTTATTATTGATTGGTGTTCTAGCAATTTTTAAAAGTGAACAGTGGTATACAATTGATGATTTATATATACTAGATCATCATGAATTACAATAAATAAGTAAGTGTTAACTGTTCTAATTAGTAATTTAGAATTATTGAAGAAAGATATACTTGAGTTCCCTCTCTTTATGATATAGAGATCTGTTGTTATAAATTTATAATTGTCATATTATCATTTGTAATAAATAAATTGACAATAAGTTATCAGGATAATGTTGGTATTTTCAGGTAAATTTATCCCTGGTCTTTATAAGTACCTTTAAGAACAAAATACACATAGTAGGAAATGGTATACATATCCAGCTTGTTGTGAACACTTTACATCCTGTAGTGTTGACACATTCTACTCTCTCTTTTTTAAATCCTAGTTTACAATTTAAAAAAACAGAACTCTTCCTTAACTAAGAATTCAGACAATAATATCAAAGACATCCAAGGATTAGAGAAATGTTCTAGATTGAAGCATCTAAGTCTGGCCCACAATAAGATTGAGACTATAAAAGGTCTTGATTCACTGCCAATTCATTATCTTAACCTGGTAAGTAACTAAAAATTAATTACAATCTGTATGTGAATCTGTAAAACTCAAAGTGTGGCATGGATATTATATAGACTCTATGCTAGTTGTTTTTGGATGCTCAATATTTGCTAATGTTGATAAATGATTATTAGCTTATGAACATTTCTGCCGCATTTAAACTTAAGAAAGGTTACAAAACATTTAAACAGCTTTTAATCTTCTGATCCCACTGAAATAATAGCCAAATGAAAAATAATTTTGTGTTACAGAGTTAATGAATAAAAACAGGATACAAACATGATATCTTATAGTTAAAACAGTTTCGACAATTTTTTTTTCTCTTTCAGTGTCACAACAAGTTAACTAGAATAGAAAACCTGGAAACATTAAGGGTTATTCAGGTAAAAGCATTGTTATATCTGAATTTTAAAAAGTTGTTCTTATTACAGAACTAAATAAAGAGTAGAAATTTTTTAATGGTAATTATGTATTTCCAGATGATCTTAAGCTATGTTATTTATTTATAGTTTAAAATTTAATATGCATCTTTGTATAAATTTTTTTATGGTTATAATGAATGTGCAGATGATTTCAAGCTATGTTATTTATTGATAGTTTAAAATTTAATTTTCATCCTTGTTTGCTTGTCATATTTTCAGCAAATTAATTTCTCTGGGAACAAGATTCGCAGCTTGAAAGGTTTACAAGATCATGATTTACTTGAGTGTCTCGACTTGGAAGATAATGAGGTATATACCTTTAACCTTTATCCTGCTGAATTTTCATAAAAGGACTTTTCCAATTTCCTTTTTGGAACAGTCCATTATCAATTTTAGGGGATATCAAGGTGAGAATTTGAAGTTTGCCTGGTCGGATTGCACGGACATGCAGGCTGGCCTGGCTCTATACTGGTGGCAAAGGCTTAAATCAGCAAGGTAAAGGTTTAAATGACTGAACACTGAAACTGTGCCTATAATAACATTATTTTTAGAGCAATTTTTCATTTCTTTGATAGTTTAGTTTTATATAATATCTAAAGCCTTGTTAAGTGTTTTTATTTTTATATAATTTGGATATGGTGAAATTATTAGTGTCCAAGTAGAAAGATTGCAAGCAAAAGGCAGACTTTATTGTACATCATGTCAAAATAATAAAAGGGATATAGCTAAAAGATTTTAAAGATCCTGTATGTTTTGTGATTGATATTAGTACTGTGTGTATACCACACTTGCAAACAATTATATATGTATATAATTATGCAAATAAAACAATTTTCAAACATCAAATTTCTAATTACCTCCTATTATTTACATGAAATGTTAAATTGGGTAATATCTTTATAAATAATGCTTATTGGAACATACAATATTGGCATTTTTAATCTTAATTTGAGCATCATATTTATGAAATAAAACCATGAAAAAATTGTGTTACAGGATCTTTAATTATTAGATGGTTGTTTCTCAGTGACTAAACTGACTTCAATTTTTAAAATTGCAAAACTAAACGTGTATTTATTCTTTTTTTACTTTTAATGTGATAGGAGTTGTTGCAAACCAAAATACGGTTGTAAAAAAATTTTTTTTTAAATTTTTTTTTTATTTTCCTAGGTTATTGATATCACAGAAATCAAGTACGTCAAAGAATTATCAATGTTACGTCAGCTGAACTTGTTACGTAATCCAATACAAGAGTTGCCTGACTACAGACTCTCAATTCTGTACCAGATACAGCGTCTGACAGAGCTTGATCGACACAAGGTGGAAGTTGATGAAAAGGTTTGTAATGACCCTCGCTGCATATATCCATAAACAAAACAATTAATGCAACAAATCTCCACATAGTGGCAATTTTTTATAAAATTATAGCATTCTCGATACATGTAGTAAGAAATATTGTGAAGGGTACAAAGATAATGAATTGAGCTATCTTAAGGTTAGTGTTGTTTAAATATAATTCAGTTTTTTGTTTGTTTTTTTTTCTTTGTATAATTTTAGTTAAAAATTTAAACAAGGCTCATGATTATACATGTATTATTATTACTGTATTATTTGTTTATAAAGGTGGCATCAGTGAATATGTTCAATCCCCCACCAGAGGTGATTGCAGCCAGGGATCATATCATGCATGTTGTCTACTCATTTCTCCAACCAAGTAGAGTCTGGGACAGGTAAACTAAATATGCAAAAAATTTCTATAAAGGGTTGTTTTCTAAACGGTTGTGTCTTCTTGTAAATAAAATTATAACTGATATCAATTTGAATTGCCCCTTTTTATCAGATTTTTGTATTTACTTTAATGGCTTCGAATCATAATGTAATCAAGCCGATTAACCCATTACCTGCTGGAACCCAGTCCTAGCCTTTGCCACCAGTATAAAGCCAGGCTAACCTGAATGTCTGTAAAGTCTGACTAAGTGGCTCTATATATTTCAAGGTTGACTATCTTGATTTTCCTAAAATTGATAATAGACAGTTTCAAAACAGGAAGGTGGAAAAGTGCATGTAGGAAATTCAGGAAGTTTATGGTTGAGCTTTCAGGCAATAGGTTTGATGTCTACAAGGTGTACCATTTCAGTCACTGGTCAATTTTTTCGCAACAAGTGCTTTTCTTTAATTATTAGAATTTTATTCTGATATTAATCTGTCACTCCTGATATATAACTTTTGTTTTCATGTTATTTTCAGTACTTTGCCAAGCATAGAGACACCATACCCTATGTTAGTTCTTGTTGGACCTCAGGGTTCAGGAAAAAAAGATCTTGCTTTGAAACTGGTAGAAGAGTTTTCAGACTATTTTGGTTATGGGTAAGTTTTTCTCTTTTGTTAAATCAATTATGTATGGCATAATAAAACAGGAAAAGCAACTATCTACTAGATAAACCATCATATTATATTTATGCAATTATTATAAAAAATGCATTGATGAATTTTCAAAAATTCATGTGAAAACTATTTAAATAAGAAGACTGTTAATAACTTTAAGCCTATTGGCTTATATTTCTTTTATTTACACTGTTTACTACTGACAAAATAGACATCACCAAATTAGGATTAACTAGAAATGTGTCCATAGGACACGGATGCCCCCACACGCAACTGTTCTGTCAATCTTATGACTCTAGGTCAAATATTTTTTGGACTACATGTGCCACAAGTTGAAAACTAAAAATCAACAAAGGGCCATAATTCTGTTAAATTTGGTCGCAGCAAAAATTCCTTCGTTTACCATCTACACATTAAGGTTGTTAATCCCTGGAAGTTTAAGCAAAATCTGCCATCCGGTTTAAGAGGAGTTGCATTCACAAAATTTCTACATAGTATATAATGAAAAAATCAACAAAGGGCCATAATTCTGTTAAATTTGGTTGCAGCAAAAATTCCTTCCTTTACTGCCATCTACACATTAAGGTTGTTCATTCCTGGAAGTTTAAGCAAAATCTGCCATCCGGTTTAAGAGGAGTTGCATTCACAAAATTTCTACATAGTATATAGTGAAAAAATCAACAAAGGGCCATAATTCTGTAAAATTTGGTCGCAGCGAAAATTCCTTCCTTTACTACCATCTACACCTTAAGGTTGTTCATCCCTGTAAGTTTAAGCAAAAATTGCCATCCGGTTTGAGAGGAGTTGCGTTCACAAAATTTCTACATAGTAATATAGTGAAAAAATCAACAAAGGGCCATAATTCTGTTAAATTTGGTCGCAGCGAAAATTCCTTCCTTTACTACCATCTACACATTTAGGTTGTTCATCCCTGTAAGTTTAAGCAAAATCTGCCATCTGGTTTAAGAGGAGTTGCGTTCACAAGATTTCGGGACGTATGGACGGACTGACGGACGGACGGACAAGTGCAACGCTATATGCTCCCACATTGTGGGGGCATAATAAAACAAAATGTTAACGTGTGCGTCTGATTTTAATAAGAAGAAAATATAACACAGCACCAATCTACATTTGTCTGTCCCATCAAATTTTGCCCCAGGTCATAATAAAACTAATTTCTTTGTAATTTATTATTCATACATGAACTATCTTGTATAGGGAACAATTTTTTTAAAGCATTACATTTGTTTATGTATCTAATCAGTCAAGCATAGTTCTAGCTTTCCTGCTAAGTAATGGAGAATGTGAGCTTAAGAATGATAAAAGGTTCTCGGGCTTGTTAAAGTTGATATTAAAATAATGATTATTGTTTTGTACAGCATTTCTCACACTACAAGAAAACCACATAAAGAAGAAACTGCAGGCAAAGATTACCACTTTGTTACAGAGGAAAAGTTTGAAATGGATATCAAAATGGTGAGATGAACAATGATTTTTGATTGTTTTTCTAGCAGTTCTTATTCACCTTCCTTTTTTATCACATTTTCTTTTTCGTATAATAAGTTTACTTTCTTTTGGTAACAATACAAGGTTTTGGTATACCTCTCTTGTCTTAGTTATACTGTCATAGTTTCACTTTAATGTCTTAAATCAATGAACTTCTTTAAATTTCAGAAAAGTATCTGTACATTGGTTATTTCATTTTTCTTAGTATATTTAGCATTAATGCGTATCTATATATTTCAGGGTCAGTTTATTCAAACATATCAGTATAATGGACAGTGGTATGGTCTGCAGATGGAGTCTATAGAATCAGTAGCCAGAGAAGGTCTTGCTTGTGTAGTACACATGGAACTTGAGGTTTGTTACAGATTTTCTCAAAATTCATGGAAAAATCAATATTGATCTTTTATTTCACCTCAATACTTGTTTCTTGTTTCACCTGTACTTGTTAATCAAGAAATGAAGTCTGCTTAAAGATGATAAAGATAAGTTATTGTTGTCTTCACTATCAAGCTATAAGTGTAATTAAATTCCGATAAGTCTCGAGATGCAATGTTTATTATGGTATGCAAACTGTGTAAAGAACTTACAGTCACATTAACATTTTATATAATTTTATGCAGGGAGTTTTAACATTAAAGAACACTTACTTTGAGCCTAGATACGTCCTGGTTATGCCTTTGACTGAGGAATGTCACGAGAAACGTTTGAGGGATCGAGGTATCTACTCGGAGAAACAGATAGAACACACCCTCGTCAGGGCAGACATGTACAAAACTTACAACCAAAACCATCCAGGATTCTTTGACATGATGATAAATGGTGGTGTGTATTTTATATTGTATTTTTCTATATAAATGTTAAGTATTATCACAACTTTTCTGCAAACTGTTGATTGATAATATATTATATTGCAAGTTTCAGCTTCTTCTATCGGCCTTTCTTAATACTTATTTTTAGTTTTCTATTAAAAGTTACACACTATTGTCATTAACATGAAAAACAAACGTGCAAAGTGGTACAATTTTGTTTCTTGTATATCAAATATTCATTTAAAATATGTGAGCTAAAATTTTTATTCTGTATTAATGCAGCTCAAGAAATGTAGTTTTCCAGAATTTTACCTTTGTTTTGACCTGAGCAAATTAAATTTTCATTGACTAACTGAAGACTGGCACAGAAAAGTTTCTTCACAAATTTTCAAGACTGATAGATATATCAGATAATAATAACTACATGTCTTCTATATCAACAGTTGTGTCCTAAAATCATTATTTTAAATAAATAGGGACAATTTAAATCATGGTCTAGATGGCTTCCTATATTATTCTTGTCATATTAGAAAAACAAAGTCATGACATAGGGCTTGAAATTAAACTAACTAACAAGCACTTGGTTGAGTAGACACCTTACATACCAGGTGACTGATGTTGTTTGACTCAGGAGATATTCTATAGAAATTGTTATTCTTGTTAGTCTTTCATATTAAGATAACAGCGACATATATAATCCATATGTAACGTTACAAGCATAATATGTGAGAGTAAATATAATCACAATAATTTCATATTGAAGGTGTTCAAGGGAAGGAGTCTGTAGGTAAAGATATTATTGCACTGTAGAATAGGAATAAATTTAGAATGTAGCCAGTGTATGTAAACATGTCACATTGTAGGCTACATCTGTTATAATAAAATGCTCAAAGAAAAACCAGAAATGTTGCACCAGATGGAAAGAGGATAAAATGCACAGTATTGGTTTATATGTTATTTTGTGTTTGAGTTTTCAAAAGGTAAATGGGTTTGTTATAGAATATTAGATTTAGCTAAATGAGATAGCCCTGGATCCTTCCTAAGCCCTGTAACATGGATAAAATAATTAATATTTATTAGTGTAAGCAAGCTCATATTGTACAAATATGATACTTAGAATTCATACTGAATTTATTGTTTGCTCATTATTATTTAGGAGTCTGATTTAAGATAATTTTCAGTTATTAATAAATGCTGGCTAGTGGCTACATGCCTCAATATTAATCAAGTGCCTCTCACAGCTATGGGTTTGAATCCCATTAGTCATCAAAAAAAACTTTTATGTTTGGATCTTACTTTCTTGTCCTGAATTCTACCAAGATAACCATTTGAAATGAACATTTTATCAAAATCTGTGCTTGTATCAAACTTCACTTAAAATATTGGAAACAATCATAAAGTCTGATAGATCAGTACCTATAAACAATTAAAAAAGTTCTGAAGCTTTGGTTTTTTTTTCTCAAGACAATATGAAACTTTAAGGTTTCCCTTGTATATAAATGTGAATTAAGTCCATGTTTTACAGGCACTTTAAACTGTGATTGATTTAACCTTTGCTTTTATTTTGCATTCATGTGCTGCAGCTTTTTGATAAAATTAAAGACAATTGCCACTAATATGCTTACCATTTAACAAGCCATCAAATTTAATTTGTTAACCTAATAAAATGTTGTGTAAAAAATAAGTAATTGAAAATTAAAATCAATCCTTGTTTTGAAGATCCATTATACTAGAGTAGACCAGTAGTAATACCATTTATCCTGAGATTGTCTAATTGGCTTGACATGCTTTCATTATCAACTATCCATTGTTGGAGAAAAAAAATCGTGAAAATAGGCAGTCAGAAGTCTTGTCTGCATGGATATATGTAAACTGGCCTGGCCAAAGATCAAAACTGGGCGTGTATATAAATAAACATAAAAGCTAGCACAATGAATGCAGTATTTCATTTTGTTTGTGTTGATATTGTTGGGAGTCATGGTAATCTGCTACATGTATTTACAGTGTTACATATCCTGTAAGTGAAGCTTAGCTTTTCATTGACATTATTATTAATATATAATGTATGCTCTGAAGACAGAAATCATCCATTAAAATTTGTCTGTTCTGATAAGCCATCCAGTCAGCTTTATTGCACACAAGAAGTTTTTGCTTATTTTTAGCTCACCTGAGCTTGCTCAGGGTGAGCTTTTAGGATCGGTGAATGTCCGTCGTCCGTCGTCCGTCGTCCGTCGTCCGTCGTCCGTCCGGCCGTCCACAATTGCTTGTGAACACTCTAGCGGTCGCATTTTTGCCTCAATCATCATCAAACTTGGTCAGGATGCTTATCTAGTTGAAAGCTCGGATGAGTTCGAACATGGGTCATCTCGGATGAAAAACTAGGTCACAAGAGCTAAAAAATAGAAAAACCTTGTGAACACTCTAGAGGTCACATTTTTGACCCAATCATCATCAAACTTGGGTCAGGATGTTTGTCTAGGTGATAGCTTGGATGAGTTTCGAACATGGGTCATCTCGGATGAAAAAGTAGGTCACAGGAGCCTATAAATAGAAAAAACCTTGTGAACACTCTCTAGTGGTCACATTTTTGAACCAATCATCATCAAACTTGGTCAGAATGCTTGTCTAGTCAATTGCTTGGATGAGTTCGAACATGGGTCATCTCTGATGAAAAACTAGGTCACAGGAGCTAAAAATAGAAAAACCCTTGTGAACACTCTAGTGGTCACATTTTTGACCCAATCATCATCAAACTTTGTCAGGATGCTTGTTTAGAATAATAGCTCGGATGAGTTCGAATATGGGTCATCTCGGATGAAAAAACTAGGTCACCGGAGCTATAAATAGAAAAACCTTGTGAACACTCTAGTGGTCACATTTTTGCATCAATCATCATCAAACTTGGTCAGGATGCTTATCTAGTTGATAGCTTGGATGAGTTCGAACATGGGTCATCCTCGGATGAAAAAGTAGGTCACCAGAGCTAAAAATAGAAAAACCTTGTTAACACTTTAGCGGTCACATTTTTTTGCATCAATCATCATCAAACTTGATTCAAGATGCTTGTCTAGGTGATAGCTCGGATGAGAGTTTCGAACATGGGTCATCTCGGATGAAAAACTAGGTCACAGGAGCTAAAAATAGAAAAACCTTGTTAACACTCTAGTGGTCACAATTTTGACTCAATTGTCATCAAACTTGGTCAGGAAACTTGTCTAGGTCATTGCTGGGAATAAATCGAACATGGGACATTTCGGATGAAAAACTAGGTCACAGGAGCTAAAAATAGAAAAAATCTTGTTAACACTCTAGTGGCTACTGTTGTGATCCAAATATTCTGTTAATTGGTCTGAAAGTTTGTTTTGATGATTTTCTAAGTCAAGATCGAACATGGGTCATCTTGGATGAAAAAACTAGGTCACACCGCCAAATATGGAAAAACCTTGTTAACATTCTAGTGGTCACATTTTCGACTCAATTATCATCAAACTTGGTCAGGATGTTTGTCTAGGTAATTGCTTGGATGAGTTCGAAATCGCATGTGAAACTAGGTCACCGGAGCTAAAAATAGAAAAATCTTGTTAACACTCTAGTTGCTACTATTTTGATCCAAGTATCCTGGAAATTGGTCTGAAAGTTTGTTTTGATGATTTCTAGGTCAAGTTTGAATATGTGTCACCTGGGTAAAAAACTAGGTCGCACTGCTCAAATATGGATAATCCTTGTTAACACTGTAGTGGTCACATTTTTGACTCACCTGTCATGAGACTTGGTCAGAATGCTTGTCTAGGTAATTGTTTGGATGAGTTTGATAATTCAGGTGAGCGATCTAGGGCCATCATGGCCCTCTTGTTTTTTAATGTCATGTTTATATGAAACATACCAACTGTTTTTTGTTGTTGTTTTTCTGAAAAGGAACCAGATTTTTTCGATTTTTTTTTTTTTTTTTTTTTTTTTTTTTTGACATGGCAAGAATTACGTATTTTGTTTCAGAATGTAATGAAATAAGGACAAAATAATGCATGTAACTGTTTACTGTTTTTATCACAGATGACATTCAGGAAGCATATAAGCGTTTGCGGCGTCTTGTGATGGATTATCTAGGTATAGGTGTACCTTCACCACCGCTGTCCGATGCTGGCGACATGGCTACAGACGTTGTTCAGCGTGGTGATACAGATCAGAACCTGACCACTCAGCTTGGTACCAGGACCTGGTCAAAGCCCAGTATGTCCGATACAATGTCACAGTCCTACAATCGGCCTCGTGGGGCACAGTCTCCTATCATCTCAAGCAGAGGCATTGTGGTAATAAATCATTTTGTAAACCCCATTGATTGTGATGTGATTATTCAATATTGACATATTTTACTCAACAACTTTCATTAGAATATAAATCTAGACTTATTATTATTATTTATCACATTGATACTTATTTCTTATGTTTATTTTTGCTCACTCCTAACTTTGCTTAATGTACTTGGTATTGTAGTGAGAAACAAATTTGATGAAGACATTATTTTTTCATGTACATATAAATTTGCATTTATTTAATACTATTATGTTGTGTATCCAGGAGGAAGCTTCATTGAAGCGCCGTCAGAGTGCCGCAAAGGATGCAGTTTCCGGATTACCACCACCACTTCTTGAACAGTTACTAACAAGGTATTTTAAAAGGGAATTCACTTTGTTTACGAGATCAGATTATAAAATCTTCTTTTTTTTTCCAATATACTTTTAAACTAAGAACTACCCAACACCTAAGAATAAGTTTGGGTTTGACGTCACACCAACACATTAGAGGTCATATGGTGACATTCCAGACCTCAGGTGCCCCTCTGTGTACTATTTCAGGCACAAGCGGGCACCTGAGTAGAACCATCATTCTGTAAGCCAGCTGGAAAGCTTTCTCATGAAAGAATTCAAAGTCCTTGGAAGGATTTGAGTCTACAGCAGTGAGGGGCAAGTGGTTTGAAGTCATTAAACACTAGGCCACAGATGCCCCCACTCAAAAATTTTTGAGTCTACAGCAGTGAGGGGCAAGTGGTTTGAAGTCATTAAATACTAGGCCACAGATGCCCCCACTCAAAAAATTTGAGTCTACAGCAGTGAGGGGCAAGTGGTTTGAAGTTATTAAATACAAGGCCACAGATGCCCCCACTCAAAAATTTGAGTCTACAGCAGTGAGGGGCAAGTGGTTTGAAGTCATTAAATACTAGGCCACAGATGCCCCCACTCAAAAATTTGAGTCTACAGCAGTGAGGGGCAAGTGGTTTGAAGTCATTAAATACTACGCCACAGATTGCCCCAACTCAAATATAAGACAAGAAAATAGTTCTTAAACAAATGGTTCTAAACTAGATTTTGAGATTAAAAAGAAATTAAATCTATCATATAACTCCATTTGAAATTGAATATATTAGAATATACTAGATTTTAAGAATTAAAAGAGATTAAATCTATGATATAACTCCATTAGAAATTGGGCGTACATATTGTATGTTCCCTGCAGCAAAAGTTAAACAATGATATGCTTAAATAACCATTGCTGCAATTGTTTACAAGTAGTGACTAGTAGTAATGAGTAGAAGTAAGTTAATGCGAGTTTGCTGCAGTAGTATCTTATTTATAACTTAATACTTGTACACTTCCACAACAGTAACAATTTATTGAATTCAATATTTCAATAAAGTCAGTAGATCCATACTACTACATAATTTTCGAACAAAATCTCAATATTTTATTTTCAGTTATCCAAAGACAGCTCCTCAGAGTGTAGAAGGTCAGATAGGTTTGGGAACATGCGAGACTGCCACCACCACTGATCCTCATCGGTCCATTTCGGCACCAATTGTAAATAAACCACAACGTCCTGGATCATCAGATTCCAGTGAAAACCAGTCAAGAGCGAGTTCAAGTCTGACTGGACTAACCTCTGCTAGCGACATACATAGAGTCAGGTCACCAGAAGCTGCTGCTACTCAAGGAGCCACTGCACAAAAAAATACAGATAAAGGGCCTCAACTACCAACAGAGATGGTCAATCCCATTGAACTTATGAGTGATACTGGGAAAGAGCCTCGACCACCATCAGCACCTCGACCTCCCTCACAAGGGTCACGGAATAGACCAGGGTCAGATAAACATAAAGTGTTACCACCTATCAACAATGGAAGACCCATTGAACTTATGTAATTTCTATATTTTGTGTGTAATTTATAACATTCAAGAATTGTTGTAAAAAATGTACATTAAAGATTATGAAATTAAAATGTTAACATCATCTAACATTATCAGTTATGTTTCCGTCACAATTTAGTTTTGTACATAAAAAAGTACATAAATAAAAATAAGTAGTGATCACTATTATGAGATTTTGAAACTGGCTATCTGTGATTTGAATTTCTTACAAGTCTGTTCTTTATTACTTATAGCATTTGACAAATTCTATTAAATTATAGACTAATCATGAAAAAACAAACTATAATTGTATGTAGATTAAATTTATTTTGTCAGAAATTTTGCTTGAATTAACTGTTTATGTATGTATGTTACCAATTGTTAAAAGTTTTATGCTTAACTGTGATAAGTTTATGGTAAATAAACATAACCAAATACATGTGTATATCTGTCATTCTTACTTTTAGTGTGGAAATTTTATTACAACTAAACTCTTAAGTTGCACATAAATATATACACTGACTTTCAAGCTCAAAAATCCTTTAATGCACTTGAAATACAAAATACGTGAAGTCATTTATGTGCACCAGAGTGAAAGGTGCCCCAGCATTACACACTACAGCCAAATAATAACGCTCATGTTGGGTCCAATGTCTTAACTGACCACATTCTAACGAGGCTCTCATTAGAACGCTCATTCCGAAATTACCGCATTAGCCCACCCACCGCCTATTATATTCATTTTTCCAAACTGATTTATATTCTAAGTTTAAAGTAAATATGACCCATTGTTATCAGTTTTAATGAAGATTGTTAATTATAGATTATCAAACCTTGTTCCCAGACTCAAATTCAATAAGGGGACACTCAAGTGAAACCAAGTTTAACAAAACGTAGCATCTTCATATTTTTTTATTTACACATTACATTTAAACTTTTAAAAATGAAATCATTTAAACCAGATAATGTACATATATACTAAAGTCACTCCACTGTTCTGTATAATTAGTATCATTCATTACACAATGAAGATATAATCTTAATTGCTTCAGTAATTAAACAATTAGTCCCCAGCTATAACTACTACACAACTTTTGATGACACAATTTTTTTCATCACAGAATTGTTTCCATTTCTCATTTAGCCTCACCCTCTTGTTTACCTCGGAGATGAAATGGTACATACTCTGGTTTTCCTTTAAGCGCTCGTCTTTTCTTCATTTCATCTTTGAAATCTTCGTGTTCATCTCTAAAAAGGATAAAAATCAACAATATGCTTTAGTTTCCTTTCAATTTTGTGTTCGTTTTAAAGTAACACAGGCACATCTAAGGCTGTAAGACAATTTTGATTTTCAAGGGTCCAAACCTAAAAATATTAACAAATAAAAAGCTGACGGTATTTCAAGTGCTTAACAGTAAAACATGAGCATGGATAATGTAGAGTTTTCTAACTTTAAAAAGGGTCATCATTCTGTCAAAATCCATGTTATGTTTAGAGACCACCTATTTCACTCTCTAATTAGTATGTGAAATTTCAAACCCATTCCCTTTAGTAGTTTGAAGATACAAACTGTCACACAAAAACTTAACCAAAGTATGATGCAGGCACCTGGGCGAAAACAATAGCTCTCCCTATTCTTTGAATAGTTGCGCTTATTCAAGTTTGTCAACAACTTGCCAAAAATGAATACATGTACAGGAAAATCACACATTTATGGGAGATAACTGTGGAAAATAAATGCTTCAGTTATGTAACCTGGGAATTTCATGCAGAACTTCAGCAATAACGAATTCCCAATCTCTGGGTATGTGTGGTAAATAACTTGGGAGAAATAAATACCATGGTTATGTAACTTGCCAGGCCCTGAGCCATAGTCTTTTTAAGTATATGTATAGTTTGTAGCCATTGTTACATACAGAACTTATTTTACATGCATTTCCTACTTGCCAACTTTACTTGTATGATAATTTTAACAGTTCTCAAATAAATTAATAATGACTACATGTATAACAGATTTTAAATGAGGGATTAACACAAGACTAGGTTGCATTTCATAGAAAGTCCTAAGATTGCAATCGCATTTAAGACCAAAACTGAGACAACTTTGTTATAATATGACTTAATTTCTGAATAGCAATGATGATGGGCATTTACACATTGTGAATAAAATGTCTGTCATTGTATTTCTTAACATTCTCAGGAGAACAAATTTATTTATAGGCTACAGTATCTGGCTGAAGATGAAAATGTTTATTTAAACAGTCTTATGAAGTTAAGTTAGTTGTTTTAATGTCCTTAGACTTAGGATATAGTTGGGCCTTTCTATGAAATGCAGCCGTGATATTTTACAAAGAAATTAAAATGAAAATTATGACTTTATTTATGAGTTCTTTTATACAAATTCTTATTCTACCTAAATAAACCATGTTCTCGAAGTCCATCCATAAGTTGTTTAAGCTCTACGTGACGAGGGTAGTAATCTACATTATAATAAGGATCCATATGTGGCGGCTTGCCAGAAAATATTCTTAGAACTTTTGTAGATTTCATATCTGTCTCTCTGGATAGCTCTCCAAATATTTTGGCAGAGAGTTTCGCCATACGCCGTGCATAATTTGATGACGACATCATTCACTGCTTTTGTTCCAGAAATATGAATGCGATATATTTAACCCACTTGTTAATATCTGCATAGATGACATCTAACAAAAAAAGAAAAAAATGTTAATGATTAGAAGTTGATTATTAATCAGGGTTGCGTTTCATGGAAAGTTCTTAGTTTAAAATGTGTCTTAAGACCAAAACTAGGACGATTTACATTACAGGAAAATGTCTTAATTTATGAGTTGACTCTTGTGAAATGACTCTTCAATTTCTGAATAGCGATGCAGATGAACATTCCACATTGCAGATTAAAGTGGTTGTTTCTCAGGAGAATGAACTAAGAAAATGTCTAGAACTTTGTCTAAAGATGAAGAAAAAAAATTATTGAAATGGTTTTAAGTAAGTCATATAGTTTGTCATGAGTCCTAAGACTTAGGATACACTTAGGACTTTCTATGAAATGCAGCCCAGAAACTTAACACCTCCTATGTATATTGATCAAATGTATTTTGTGAAATAAACTTAATAATCATGCTAAGGGTGGAAAAAAAATACTGCTAAGGCAATGGATGCTTCCCGAACCTTCACATTTCTCAATGTATTTAATGCACATTAGTCAAAAGCTAGAAATGTGTCCATAGGGCAAAGATGCCCCCACATTCCACTGTTTTGTCTTCTGATGTACAGCAGAACAGTATGACAGACAAACAGACAATTGAAATTCTACATGACTCCCCCTATCCCTAAGTGGTTGGGGCATAAAAAACATGAATCATTTTCATAAATAAATGACAAACTAAGAAAATATTATCAAAATTCAATCACCTGACGTTGACAGTCAAGGTCATTTAAAGAGGAAAATCATATCCAACATGTTTGTTTGGTCACAAGTGTTGTTTTGTCTATGTATGAATCAAATCCATACATAAATAACGAAATTATGACTATTTAACCAAATTTCAATAATATTTGACCTTGACAGTCAATGTCATTTTAAGAACAAGGTCAAGGTCAGTTCAATCTTTTAGAAGGTCTTGTCTAAAAGATTGTTTTGTTCAAGTATGAAATTTAGTACAGTTACAGTCAATTATAGCAAAAATCAGTGAAAATTCAATAACAGTTACTTATTTAAGGTCAAGGTCATAAATGAGCCAAAGTCAATTTGAGTTTGATATTCATGAAAGTCTTATCCTAAAGAATATTGTGTCATGAGTGAAGGTCATGGTCTGTCTGATTAACTTGAAGGTATATCCTAAAAGATTGTTGTGTTTAAGTTTGAAGGCAATCCATTAAAAAAAAAAGTTACAGCCACTAAACGCAAAAATTAAGCAAATTTCAGACATTTGACCTTGAAGGTCAAGGTCATTTATGTATGATGGTCAAGTTTAGTTTGGTCTCTTTGAAAGTCTTGTCCAAAGGTTTGTTGTGGCCAAGTATGAAGTCAACACACCAACAACTTTTAAAATTATGATCAAGGTTAAAGTTTGAGAACAGCAATGGGAATGCCAACATAACTGTAACAATACCTCTATTTTTTGTCTTAAAAAAGTCAAGCTAAAAATGACGTTAACCAATTATTCATTTTCTAAGTGCTGAAAAGGGCAATAACTTGGTAAATATGGAAGCCATAGTTATGTAACTTGCCTAGATCATGTACATTGTGTTGATAAGTGTGTGAAGTATTGGTATAGGTAGTACTTAAGAAAAATCCAACTTGCCGTTTTAGGATTACCTAGTACGGACAGACGGTTCAATTACTATATGGACAGGGGCATAAAAATAACAAAGGACAATAATTATAAAGGGTAGGTTATCATTCTTGCGTGCTGCACTCCTCAATGAGATCTATCCACCCATGAAGTTTCAAGTTGTCAGATACCTCTAACACTTCTTGAGATAAGCTCCAGACAAAAAGTATGAATATATGCAATAACTGAAAAAATATGAAGGGTAAAGTTATCATTCTTATGCACTGCACTCCTCCTCAGTATGATTTATCAAACTATGAAGTTTCAAGTTGATACCTCAAATACTTTTTGAGATATGCTCTGGACAAAAATGAGGGACGGAAGGCCAGACGGATGGACAGAGACATTTCTATTCCCCCCACCGCCTTTTCGGTGGGGGGATAACAATTGTCAGACCTTATAATTAAGTAACTTTGCCAAACGCGTAAGATGAAATGATTCAATGACAGCAGCATTGGATAATGTTTTATACATACACTTTCGGTAAAGTTTTATAATGAGCCATGTAGTCGATATTTTAGCCAAGTCTGTTAGAATTTGAATAAAATAAGTATTCAGGTTAGTCCAACTAATTGTACTGCACATCAAGATATTGTGCTATTTCGTGTCTGGGCAATATCTCGTCTCTAAAGTGAGATTCTGCCCCAGAACGAAAATATCTCGGAATCAAGCTTTGGCACATCAATATATTTTGACTAGTATTCAGGTTAGTTGAAGATCATATATTAAAAGAATGAAAAGTATTAATTTAATAACAATGTTCTTGTAATTGTATAAAGCCTATCATACTGATATAGACCGGCAAATTGTTAGTCAAAATGCAGGGCAAGTACATTTTAATGAAGAGCGAGTAAATTTGACCCTAGAAAAATCATCAAGACCTTTTATGTACACAATTAAAAATTTCATAGAGCTTTTACTGACATGGTGTAATCATCATGTCATTCAGAACTGGAATACTTTGACAAGTTTTATAAACTGGCTATTACTTTCAGTCACTTGTGTCCGAATAAAAACTATCCGAACACGACATTGTTATGAATATATCTGATCATTGGTTTCGCGCAATTGTGTATTCAAGTTATATCTAAGTTGAAAATAAATAAGTAAATTGAATATCTAAAGAAACAGATCTGATAAATAACAATATCTTTTAATTTCTTCAAAATATACCTTTCAACACATTTTGGTTGTTGTTGTTGTTTTCAATGTCAAGTTATTTTTCTAAATCTGGTAACCGGTATACGGAATATTTATCACTCTTTACTCAGTAAAAATTGAGAGAGACCCCAACATCTGCTTCTTACATGTATATCATTGTTTATGTACGGAATATGGTCTGCAAAATGAAGGTTCACCAAGATATGGAATGATGGTTGGTAATTAGGGAGTCTGGCGTAAAACAAACATTACAATGATTGTCTTTATGATAACTAGGTACCGCATTTAATTAGCAGGATCATTGGGTTCCAAGCGTATATCTAGACATTCTTATATAAAAATTTCTTATTAAAATTTCATACATGTACATGTACGTCCGATAAATTATTGGCGTAACAGAAAGTACTAGCTCACTAGCTTAGAATCGATAAGCATACAGACCATAATTATCAATTTTGAATATGTAAATCTTAACAATTGTTTAATATCAGAAAAGGCCAATGTAAAATTAAAACAAGATTTACTGCTTGGTAAGAATTAGTAACGATTCGCCACACTAACGATTCGCCACATAACGATTCGCCACAGTTAAATAACGATTCGCCACAGTTAAATAACGATTCGCCACAGTATGATTATAGATCTAACAATGATTTTTTTTTAGTTATCAACAAACTTTTTCCATTTGTTTTAATAATTTGACAATGACAATAATTTAATAATGTTTCTTAATACAAGTAACATGAACTTAAAGCCCCCATCGCGGATTTTCAATTTATCAAAGTAACATTATTACAGGAGTACATTTACAAGAAAGTAATTATATGTTGAAATAAATATTGAATTAATCATAAACATAAATGTCAATTAATATTTATATATATAAATATTTATTATATACTTATAAATGAAATATTGAGAAATATTGATGAAATAAAATGCGTATGTTTATTTTCCGTATTTTCACTGTAAAAATTTATTTTTCACTGCAGTGAAACATATTTTCCGTATTTTCACTGGTGTCTGGCCCGACTACTTTCTTTTAAATTCTGCCTGTACACAAAATTTAAGGGAAAGTCTTTCAAATTTTAATGTCAAAAAAGAGAAAAATGTATATAATAAACAGAAAATTCAAGTTTTTTCTATAAATACATGATTTATTTTCATCGAGTGGTATGAAAATAAATATTTCATGAGTGGCGGTAGCCACGAGTGAAATATGGTAATTTTCATGCCACAAGATATCCTCTATATGTTTCATATATATTATGATATATATGTCAAATATTAAAAAAAAGATATTGCAAAAACATGTGATCATTACGAAAATTGATTTAGGATAATTGATTAAAGAACGCATATCTAAAACATTTGTCACACCTTTAATTTTAATAAGCCAATCACCTTAAGCTTGTTGTAGAAATATTTATTTGACGCCGAAATAATCCTTTAATTATCTGACAATGTGATCAGATTTCAAAACAATGCGGCAATTAAGCTTATTTATGTAAATTTTGTAATAAAATATGTTAGTTATATAAATGTGTATAAATTAGTAGAGTTATTACAATCAGATAATAAAGCTATACTTGTAAATTTAGGAAAATATATAGATGTAGCTAATAAAAAGCGACAAGAATTGTTACTACCCGTTGTTAATTCATAACACATTTTGAAATGTTAATTGTTTCAACTTATTATCGTTAAAAAGATACATGTAATACTATACTTTTGACGCTGTTATTGTCACGTCTTTTCTGTTTTTTGGTGTTCTCTTCTTACTGGAACTTTTTATTTCTATGAATGATATAATGAAATTGTGATGTTCTTTGTTCCTTTATTTGCAGCTGTCTGTTCTCCGTTAGAATGTCATCAGTTAAAACTTTTTATGTTCTTCTTATTATTTTTTTCTTTGCTTTTGTAATGTGACCACACAGTTATAAAATGTGTTACGTAATTTTGTTAATAAAATATTTGGTTTTCGTGTGTTTTTTATTCAATAAAAGCTGTATTCAGTGTAATTAATTTATGTAATTAACAAATGGAAACAAATTTCCATCAACAATTTGAAAACAGATGTGACATTCTTATATACATGTATGTGTGTTCTTAATTGCCTATTGCTGTGTGATATATCCGTCAAGTATTATGTATATCTGGTACCTTTCCTGTTCCTTCTTAGACTATATGTTTTGTTTTTAAAGGTTTTTTGTTGTTTTTTTTTTTTTTTGTTGTTTTTTTTAAAGAAAAGTGTTCCCATTTAAGAATGTTTAATTGCACATGGGTTGTATACATACTGTATTTTGTCATTGCCGGGATGTTTAATATGGCACAACCTTAAACCACAAAAATCTTCTTCTTCCGTTAACTTCTACTTTCATTTTCCTTGCAAAAAACTACACTCTATTTTAAAGATCCTGTATGTTATTAAGGATATAACAACATTTCAGTGAAATTTTATATATGTATATAATTATTCTGCTAAAACAATTTTCAAACATCCAAGAATATGTTAAATATGTATGTACATGTATAATGAAAATGTGTATATGCATTATAAGTGATCATTAAAATATATGCATTTATTTCTTATTGATTAATTTGGCTGAGACTTTATCGAAAATAAATTTCTAATTACCTCCCTTTCTTTATATGAAATGTAGATTCGGTAATATCTTTACAAATAATGCTTTATATATATGTGTGTAACCATACAAAATGAGTTACAGGATCTTTAAGGGGGTTAAGTAAAATAGAGTTCTAAGCGACATAATATTTATTTCTCTTCAAAATATGAATTTGTCTAAAATTTTGCACAGTAGTATTTATAATATCATTTCAATATCTTTAAAATATATAAAAAATCTTATCATTTCCATATGTGTAATTGTATATATTAGCAACTGCTTAAGTGTCTGTTCTTGGGAACAATAATTATCTGTATGCGTTGAAGTTGTGCCATTTTTTTTTATACTTATACGTTTCCATGACAAAGACATTAATAAAAACAGGAATTAACGATTTCAGTACAGATAACCACTATAAAACGTACCTGGTGACCTGCACAAAGCTCAAACACATTCTAGATAGACTTGCCATGGTCACCAAGTGATTTTGAATGAATTAATGAAATTTCCGTTTTCTTTTTTTTTTATATATATATATATATTTTCTTCACTCAATGGATTATTTATCAAGCAAAATGAAATGTAGTTTTATTTATGAATTGTTTCGTTTTAGAATTGGAGACTCAGTATATTTTTTGCAAAAGAGTGTAAACAGTCAAGCACAGTTTGTGAGTTAGTCATTGAATGGTACGTTAAAAGGTGTTCTCTGGACTAGATACAATATATGTTTATAAGAAGCTCGAATAGGTTCTGTTTAGAGAGATTGGTTTGCAACGTCTAAGTTTTAGATCGGAGCCTAAACTTTTTCTCCCCGAGCTTAGCAGCGTGTAAATTAGGTTCGACTGTCTGATACACAGGTTGGTATTTGCCAACATGTACTTCCTGTGGTTGATGTATTTAAAATATTGTGTACTCTCTTTTTCTGTTTTTAGATCTTCCTCGGTCAGAGATTACTGTAAATCTGACAAGATTTATTCAATTATTATTATTTTTGAAGAGGGTAAAAGTTGGAGTAGATCATATATATTATCGGTAGTCTGTACTTTGTATTGAAATATTCTAGGTTGCTAACATTAAAACATAATGCTCTATTTGCCTAAAGAACTGGTTTGGAATTGCTTTTTATAGAATATTCTCTTCTGTCTTCTGTCTGGCAGTTTCAAAGCCATAACCTGAGCACCCGAGGCATATTTATGTGTTCAATACTTTCTCCTTGTTTTGTTAGGTAAATGCCATTTGCCATGCCAACAAGTTCAAAGAATTGAATATTTGTATTCAGTCATACGCTCAGTCTTCGCTGCTACATCAACTTTTACAACAAATTTTCTCTTTACACCAGGTTGTATGTTTTGTATCAGTTCTATGAATTGTTGTGATCTTGGTTCATTAATATCTAGTGATGATTTGTACTATCTTAATTACTGTGCTTTTGGTGGATTTAACCTACATCGATCTTCATTACTGTACTGCAGAATAGAGAAAATCAATCCTGAAAGAACGTTCAAACGGGCAAAATTGAAAATGTTGAAGGTCCAGTTTGATTGAGCCTGTTCATGGACGGTACTGGAAAGTGCAAATTAAACTAATTCGACCAGTTCGCACATCTTATCATCTTTCATTGAAAATAACGCAGCAACGTCGTCTACGCTTATTTATTATATTATTGTAGTGATCTGCTAACAGCACACCTTCTTGTCTTAATCAGGAACGTATATGTCATACAAAACCTATTTTAATCAGCTCCTTGTATAATGTCAAAGAAATGGTGTAATAATTAAAATGTCATGTGATACAACATCAAAGGCCTCCTGTGAAAGAAACATCATCTGCTTGGCGGACCTAGTTTTAAATAAAGCAGCAATAATTAAGACTTGAATTGCCTTTTGTGCTCCCAAATTGAAGGTTAGATTGTGTTGATTCCAAAAAACATGTATGTAAACTTATGCTGATATACATGTACAAGGGCTCTTTCAAGTAAGTTAAATAACATACAAATGTACGGTTGACTGATATATTACGAGTTACATGTAGTTACATGTACATGGATTGTCAACGTTTACATTTTTTGTATTCAAAAGTAAAAATACATGTACCTGTTGTATGTGTGCTAGGCAGACATGTGAACATCCGCATTCATTAATATGGTTAATGATATGTAGTATAACATTTGAAACATGGTATCACCTAACTTGAGATACTCACTTGTGAGTCAATAGATGTCAGATTTATTCAAATCCGAGTACAAGATACAAGAAACTTTATTTTAAGTCGGTTTACATATTACAAGAAACATTAGCTAATAAGCTAACAGAGACATATATAAAACATATTTACTAAATATAACAGATCTGAAAGTAAAAACATTTAAAACTAGTAGCAACTTTAGGCATGAAATAAAAACAAGATTAAGAAGTACTACATGTATACAATAAGATTAGCCTGGGATTCAGGCGTTGATATTTTTTTATTTATTCATAACTTACGCGCTATTTCACACTCGATCGTCATAGAGAACACAACATCTCTGGTTTTGATAGTATCGATTTGCCGAACAGAAGCACATAAAAAATCGACAGACTGGAACCTAGGCTACAATAAGATGACAAATTAAAGCAAAGTATATGTATGTGTTATAGACTACATGTAGCTCTCTCACTCATGCTCACATTAATTTTCTTAATGACGTCCTCATTAATAGAGGTTGAAATATTATTTTTTATCAGAACGGCTTATATTAAGTTTATATATATATATGATGATCAGTACATGTGCTGGAATAGACAAATATACATTTTATTTGGATTTTAAAGGCGTTTTGAGCTCCACACCCAAGTGCCTGTGTGTAAAAAAAGCAGAGTTGCAATTAAATAAATTTAGTTTTACACAAAATTTGTTACTAAAAATTGAAATTACAACAAACACTAGATCAAGCTAACGACTAAATTTATGATCTAAGATCACTTGGCAGAGGTGCCATTGGTACCGAACTATGTAATCCGGAATGCTGAAACGGCCATTATCAAAGATTTGTCAGAAACCGAAAGAAAAGTTTACTTAATTTGGTAAAGGTAAAACTCTATTTTTGGTATGCTTCTTTTCTTAATCTTAAAATGTAATTTTGCATATATGTCAATAAATTTAATCGTACGTACTATAATGCAGGAGTGTTGTTGTTTTTAATGTGTACTAAATAGTATATATTTCGGACAACAGGATTTCGGATTATTTCAGATTCACGAAAAAATTTCATACGTCCGATAAATTATTGGCGTAACAGAAAGTACTAGCTCACTAGATTAGAATCGATAAGCATACAGACCATAAGTATCAATTTTGAATATGTAAATCTTAACAATTGTTTAATATCAGAAAAGGACAATGTAAAATTAAAACAAGATTTACTGCTTGGTAAGAATTAGTAACGATTCGCCACATAACGATTCCCCACAGTTAAATAACGATTCGCCACAGTTAAATAACGATTCGCCACAGTATGATTATAGATCTAACAATGATTTTTTTTTAGTTATCAACAAACTTTTTCCATTTGTTTTAATAATTTGACAATGACAATAATTTAATAATGTTTCTTAATACAAGTAACATGAACTTAAAGCCCCCATCGCGGATTTTCAATTTATCAAAGTAACATTATTACAGGAGTACATTTACAAGAAAGTAATTATATGTTGAAATAAATATTGAATTAATCATAAACATAAATGTCAATTAATATTTATATATATAAATATATGTTTCATATATATTATGATATATATGTCAAATATTAAAAAAAAGATATTGCAAAAACATGTGATCATTACGAAAATTGATTTAGGATAATTGATTAAAGAACGCATATCTAAAACATTTGTCACACCTTTAATTTTAATAAGCCAATCACCTTAAGCTTGTTGTAGAAATATTTATTTGACGCCGAAATAATCCTTTAATTATCTGACAATGTGATCAGATTTCAAAACAATGCGGCAATTAAGCTTATTTATGTAAATTTTGTAATAAAATATGTTAGTTACAGTGATTAATCTAGAAATTCCTTACAATGCGTCGGATGATGCACATGTTTGAAAACAATGAGTCCTGCAGCATAATCAATGAGTCATGTAGCAAAATAAATGCGTCTTTTTAATAGCAGATCCTTGACATGATTTGCATGTTTTATATAACAAGCGATTAAGTAATTAAAGGGCATAAAAAAGTTATTTTTGGTACTAATATTAATTGCAGGCAATACAATTTTTATTGGCTGCTCAAAAATCTAATTTGCATAATTTATATTTTCTTACTACTTATGTCTAATACTGTGCATTATCCATTTTAATTGTTCGTAATTTGCACAAAATGTCCCTCTCACACTGTATACATACTGACGACTTTTATTGCTCCTTGTATGCCTCTGTGTAGAAAGCATACACAGACAGACCTTTTGATCATGAAAAAAGTCATGCACAATGTTACCCTGATCGGTTAATCACCCTGTCAAATATTCTGATGACGTAACAGTCACAGACATCTTTTTTTACACTCCGCGTGAACTTGAGTGACCTTAGGGGAAATCATTACACACCTGTCAGATTATACTGTAACTTACAGCATTTCTTAAAATAGCAACACTTTTTTCAGTTACCGATAATTATTTTAAAAAATTAAGTAGATTTGCTTTATTGGATTAAATTTACGATAGTAGAAATGCAGTAGTAGGTGGGAAAGGGATTAGGTAAGTAGATAACTTGGAAAAATGCTATAGGGAAATGGATAAACTCAAGAATATGCGTTATTACAGGGGAATGGGTAACCTGTTGCTGTTGGTACCAGTTTTGTCTGGATGACTAAATAACATACAATATAAGTCTGGGACAGATTTTAGATGCGCCTTTGGCCATTTGCTGACGATTTTCCTGTGCCCTTCGCCAATGTCTGCATATTTCACCATTGTAGGCGAATCGCTCTTATGCAAAATGGACGCTCTGATTGGCTAATGCCGATAATGGGCGGTTACCGATCACAAGCAACAATTGCTTGGGATTTAACGTTTCAAGCAAATGGGGGATTAGTCTTGCACCTGTTATCATCGGAAATTAAATTATTCAACTGAAGAAATTGAAAAATTATTCAACTAATGAAATTAAAGTAATCAATCTGTACATAGAAATCACTTATCGTGATATTTTGGACCATAAACTTCCTGATTTGCATGCGTCAGATTGAACGCACATATTTTGAAACTGTGCGTCTTTTTTTATTTTTATGCGTATTTTACGCAAGACGCACATCTAGATTAATCACTGTAGTTATATAAATGTGTATAAATTAGTAGAGTTATTACAATCAGATAATAAAGCTATACTTGTAAATTTAGGAAAATATATAGATGTAGCTAATAAAAAGCGACAAGAATTGTTACTACCCGTTGTTAATTCATAACACATTTTGAAATGTTAATTGTTTCAACTTATTATCGTTAAAAAGATACATGTAATACTATACTTTTGACGCTGTTATTGTCACGTCTTTTCTGTTTTTTGGTGTTCTCTTCTTACTGGAACCTTTTATTATTATGAATGATATAATGAAATTGTGATGTTCTTTGTTCCTTTATTTGCAGCTGTCTGTTCTCCGTTAGAATGTCATCAGTTAAAACTTTTTATGTTCTTCTTATTTTTTTCTTTGCTTTTGTAATGTGACCACACAGTTATAAAATGTGTTACGTAATTTTGTTAATAAAATATTTGGTTTTCGTGTGTTTTTTATTCAATAAAAGCTGTATTCAGTGTAATTAATTTATGTAATTAACAAATGGAAACAAATTTCCATCAACAATTTGAAAACAGATGTGAAAAAGTTTGTATTTGAACACGTGGCGAATTGTTATTTAACTGTGGCGAATCGTTATTACTCTGTGTCGAATCGTTATGTGGCGAATCGTTAGTGTGTCGAATCGTTACATTACCCTTGGTAAATAACTATAAGCTATTTTTAGATGGTGATTGTTGGCATGCCTCTTTGATTAGATAAAGGGTCTGTTGGATCTTGTGGATTGGTCTATAGCACCTGATAAAAATGTATATAAATATCTGGACATGTTTATTCAACAGTTGTATCATGATGGATTAGATAATTGGATTAAAATGGAATTATTGTATGAAAATTAAATAAATAAATAAATAATCTTGCATGTAGAATTAGTAAATAAATAAATAAAATGAATATAAAAAGAATATAACAGAATGAATGAATGAATCGGTTGCTTTATAAAATATACATAAATTATTTATCCACTAATTGGAATAAATAAAAAAAGAACAATTTATATTTACCTTACTTACAAATGTTGCTAACAAATTAAGTAAACTAACCGGTATCACATGCCATGTGTTGCCAGTTCCCAAATTTATCACAACTGCAGCATCATTATCAGACACAATTTTCCTGCATGTAATACACAGATCATCAATAATGTCATTCATTAAACAAATAAATAGCACCAGTTATGTAAATTAAGCACAAAGTTAGAGCACAAATTTGTCACAAAATGAATGTAACTTCTTCTTCCAATATAGTACAGACACCTTCCGGCGTATACTCGTACTAGCGCAGCGCGGTGTGAGAAGTGTCTATGTATGTACAAGAGTGATTTAAAAATTACTATGTATAGTGCTGGTAAAAAGGTAAAAACACCTGACTGTGAGTGGTAGTACTTCCCTCTTGAAGCTGTCTATGGTTGTACAGCTTACAGCTGTCTGGGGAAGACTATTCCAGAGGCGGATGGTGTCTGGGAAGAAGGATCGCTGGTAGCACTGGGTCCTTGCAAATGGTACCAGGTAGTGAGCAGAGATGATTGGGGTGAGGTTGGATGTAGGGACTTCAACTAGGCCATTTACTATGCGGCACATCATGGTCACCTTGGCATGGGCTCTGCGTTCTCGGAGGGTAGGCCACTGTAAGTGTTGCAGCATCGGTGTCACACTGCTGGTTCTTCTGTAGTCTGAGAAGACCATTCTTGCCGCTCGGCGCTGCACCATCTCCAGTTTCCAGATATTTGCCTCAGTGAATGGGTCCCAGATGATAGAGGAGTATTCCACCAGAGGTCTCACGAGGGTCATATAGCAGAGCTCTTTGGTCCTTCTTGGGCATTGATGGATGTTTCTCTGTAGCAAGGATGTGACATTGTTGGCTTTCTTTGTAGTAAGGTCAATGTGATGGTTCCAGTTTAGTGACTTTTGGAAGTTGAGGCCTAAATATTTTGCTGTATCTACTTCTTCTAAGATGTGTCCATGGATGTTATATGGTTTTCTGATTGGTTTTCTCTTGTTTGTTATGTGGAGTATCTGGAATTTTTGAGGGTGGAATTCCATCAACCAATCCTTTTCCCATCTTTGTAGTCCCTCTAGGTCTATCTGTAGGGCTATAGCATCTTGGTCTGAGTGGATTGAGCGGTAAAGGGCACAGTCGTCAGCAAACATTCTAGTGGTGGATTCAGGTGATACATAGTTGGGTAGATCATTTATGAATGTAAAATTAGAGAGGTCCTAGAACACTGCCTTGTGGGACACCGGACTGGACAGGTGCTTGGACTGACAGACCTGTAGCCTTGTGTGGATTAAGTCCTGCAAGGATCTTCTGTACTCCGCTCTCTGTGATTGTAATATGGTATGTCCAACCGGATCATGTGGGCTTGGTCCCCTATCAGGAATCGTTGAGATGTCTTCATCCTTGTTGAATACTGAAGAGAACTGCTCATTTAGGATATTGGCTTTTGTGTCGCTGTCGGAGTGAGTCATGCCTGTTTTTGCTTTCAGTGGTGCTACTCCCTGACTGTCTGTTTTCTTGCTTTTAATGAAACTGTAGAACCTTTTGGGATTTGAGGCAGGCTCTGGACTGACAATATTGTTGACATACCGTATAAGTACTTTTTTCTGCGGGAACTTTATTTCTGCTATTTCTGCGGTTTATAACGACACCGCAGATTTCAAAACCGCAGAAAATTAAGTCTTTCGCTATGTCTACATGTATTTCAGAATATGTCTTAATATGTAACATAACATTATCAGCTTTTGTAGATGGGAATTTTTCTTTATGTATCCATCATGAATAAAATATTAGAAAAAAGTTACTTTACTTGTTCTTTTTGTTTAAAAAATATCATGTTTGTATGATTTTCGCTCACCCTAAGCTTGATTGACGGGTGCAATAAACATACCCACTATATAGTGTCTACGTGCGATTTTACCATTGTTTATTTTTCACACTTCATATTTATACACATGCAGTATTACAATTAATTGTTGTCATTGCACGTTGTTGATTTGTATTTATTAACGTTTATGTACCGATACATGGTGATTACGATGAACACACATTATAAGTCGTCTGCATGTTTACCGGAAAGAATGTACAACAGTACATGTTACATCAACAAATCTTGAAATATTGTCTGTTTGTATCGGTTAATTTTGTAACAATATCTAAATTAAAACGCAGAAATAAAAAACATCAATGCGAGAATGATGACGCCGCAGAAATAAGATACGCAGAAATCTAAATCCCCTTATTTTAACCAAAATAGCAGAATATTAAGCCCGCAGAAATAAGTACTTATACGGTACTCATTTTAGGCCTCTTGACATGCCAGTCTAGATTTTTTCTTGAGATCTTCATATCGTTTCATGCTTTTATGAGACTTGGTGGATTTTGCCCGGGCATATGCTCGCTTTTTCCTTTGACTCAACTGTTTGATGTCTTTGTTTATCCGTGGCTGGCTAAATCTAAAGCTGCTCATCTTGGATGGCACACAGGAGTCCAGGACTTTCAGGAGATTGTCTTTTATGTCTGCCCACATATAGTGTTGATATGGCTAATTGTTGTGTAAGTTTCTATAAAGTGTTGTTGAAATTGGTGACATTTGCTTCTCAGTTGGTCTATATCTGCATTCTTCCATAGATGTATAAGTCTTTTGACAGGTTTAGATCTTTTAGCCGATGCACTGGATTCATTGATTATTATATGGTAAGGATCAAACTGAAAAACAGACTTATTCATTACGAACAATTATTGCACGGTGATACTGTGTGGAGGGTTGTAAACACCAATTTTGCATTTTTTACTTTAAACCAATTAGAAAAGATAAAATCCATTATAATAGGCAATGATTAAGATACTTTGTTAGACAATAATATGGTCATTTCGATTAAACAGTAGAAAATATTGTAACTGTTTACGAATGAAAGTGGAAACGAATCAGTGTAACCGTGGGGGCCTTACTACCAAGCTTGTTAAAATGAAAGCCCTGGGAGCAAAATTCCCCAAGGAGGTCATGGGTTTCATTATATGTACATGTATGTAGTAAAATCTTTAAATATCATCTTTAGGTGGTGCGTTATAAATTTTGCTAAAATGGTTTCATGCTTAATGCTGTATGAGAAAAAAGATTTAAATGTCATCTTCTCCACCCATGACTTTGATAAAACTACATAAATAGGAATGCCCAGGTAATTAAATTGTGTCCATATAGATTTTATCCTCTGATGAGCAATTAAGGACCATTATGGCGCTCTTGTTTTCTAATTCTGAGAAGAAAATCTCTAGGATGCCTTAGTGACTGGCACACAATATCTGAGACAATCACTGACATACAGGGCATTATGTTTCCTTTCTTCGAAGTGTTGACAAATACCCATTCATCAAAGAATTAAAAGGTAATAAAAGGAAAGCAATATGTAGTACTTGGGATAAGATTCTGAACATCTCAGCAATGGGGAAATGCACTACACATGTATAGAAAATCTACATCAACTTTGTATAAGGAACTGGAACTTTTCGGAACTCTTATATTTAACTGTGGGCTGTTTTAAAGTCAAAATTAATTATACAGTTTAATAAATATTTAATTGTTTGGTTTTTATTTTGTACATGTTCAATGGATCTTGCATATATAAAAACACTTTCTGAAATTTCATAGTACTTCACCAGGTAATTGTATTATTTGAAACATACACTTACTTGCATGTAAACCTCTTATTTAATACATAGTCATCTCAGTGCCCTTTTTGCACATATTAATCTGTAGTGCTTCACATATTTGAGTCCTTGAAAAATTAGAAAATTCTTTAAATTTTTGTCATGGATGGTTTGTATGAACACTGTTTATTCTTTCATGAGTAAAGATATCAAATAGATTTTTAAGTATTAATTACATTAAATTCCAGCTGTTTTCTTAATAGAATTATCATGTAGAAATATATAGAGTACATGTATATTCAAGTTTTTTCTATAAATACAGGATTTATTTTCATCGAGAGGAATGAAAATAAATATTTCATGAGTGGTTGGGAGCCTCAAGTGAAATATGATTTTCATATCACAAGATGAAAATAAGTCCTTGTAGTTTTAGCAAAAAAACTTGAATTTTCTGTTTATTATGTACTTTTTCTCTTTTTTAGCTCACCGGTGAGCTTTTGTGATCGCTTTTCATCCGGCGTCCGTCCGTCGTCCGTAAACTTTTACTTTAAATGACATCTCCTCATAAACCACTAAACCAATTTCATCCAAACTTCACAGGAATGTTCCTTTAGTGGTCACCTTTGAAAATTGTTCAAAGAATTTAATTCCATGCAGAACTCTGGTTGCCATGGCAACCAAAAGAAAAAACTTTAAATATCTTCTTCTAAAAAACCCAAAGAGCTAGAGCTTAGATATTTGGCATGAAACATCTTCTAGTGAGTGTCTACCAAGTTTGTTCAAATAAAAGCCCTGGGGTCAAAATTGGCCCCGCCCTAGGGGGTCATTGATTTACCCTATATGCGTATAGTAAAAACTTTAAAATTCTTCTTTGAAAGAACCCAAAGAGCTAGAGCTAAGAAATTTAGCATGAAACATCTTCTAATGGGTGTCTACCAAGTTTATTCAAATAAAAGCCCTGGGGTCAAAATTGACCCTGCCCCAGGGGGTCATTGATTTTCCCTATATGCATATAGTAAAAACTTAAAAAATCTTCTTTTAAAGAACCCAAAGAGCTAGAGCTAAGATATTTAGCATGAAACATGTTCTAATAGATGTCTACCAAGTTTGTTCAAATAAGAGCCCTGGGGTCAAAATTGGCCCCTCCCCGGGGGTCATTGATTTTCCTTGTATGTGTATAGCAAAAACTTAAAAAATCTTCTTTGAAAAAAATAAAATAGCTAGAGTTTAGATACTAAGTGTGAAACATTTTCTAGTGAGTGTCTAACAAGTTTGTTCAAATAAAAGCCCTGGGGTCAAAATTGGCCCCGCCCCGGGGGTCATTCATTTTCCTTAAATGTGTATAACAAAAACTTAAAAAATCTTCTTTGAGAAAACTCAAATAGCTAGAGTTTAGATATTAAGTTCGAAGCATTTTCTAGTGAGTGTCTACAAAGTTTGTTCAAATAAAAGCCCTGGGGTCAAATTGGCGCCGCCCCAGGGGACATTGATTTTCCTTGTATGTGTATAGCAAAAACTTAAAAATCTTCTTTGAAAAAACCCAAATAGCTAGAGTTTACAATGTAGATATTAAGCCTGAAACATCTTCTAGTAAGTGTCTACAAAGTTTGTTCAAATTAAAGCCCTGGGGTCAAAATTGGCCCCACCCCGGGGGTCATTGATTTTCCTTATATGTGTATAGCAAAGACTTAAAAATCTTCTTCGAAAAATCCGAATAGCTAGAGTTCAGATATTTTGCATGAAACATTTTCTAGTAAGTGTCTACAAAGAATGTTCAAATAAAAGCCCTTGGGTCCAAACTGGCCCTGCCCCAGGTGTGTCATTGTTTTTAACTATATGTGTAAAGAAAAATCTTGACCAGCTAGACCTTAGATGTTTAGCATGAAACATCTTCTAAAGGGTGTCTACCAAGTTTGTTCAAATAAAAGCCCTGGGGTTAAAACTGGCCCCGCTACGGGGGCCTATATACAGGTGAGCGACTTCAGGGCCATCATGGCCCTCTTGTTTTGACCTTACAATTCTTAAGACTTCTTCTTAAATTTTGTGTATTGGCTAAATTTAGAAGAAAGTAGTCCGGCAAGACACCAGTGTAAATGTTGAAAAATACTTAACCCTTAAAGTGCTGGAAATTAAAGTGTTAAGCCTTTGCCACCAGTATAGAGCCAAGCCAGTCTGCATATCCGTGCTGTCTGACCAGGCTCTATACTGTTGGCTGACAAACTTTAAATATTCAAATTGATATCCCTAAAATTGATAAATGACAGTCCCAAAAATGGAAGTGGGACAAGTCCATTTAAAATATTTAGCATTTTCAGGGTTAAGGTCTTGTGATTCTCCGCACTGTTGTTGGCAATTACAGGTTAATTTTATTTATTAATTATAGGAAGATGCCTTTAACCAGTGGCAAGATGCTGTTGGATCATGAGAGAAAGATAAAAAAGAATTTATTAGCCTTGAAGAAAGACATGGATGCTAGAGATCTGACTGACTTCTTTATACAGGAGGAGATATTTGACTTCCCAGATATAGATAAAATTAATGGCTATAACCCAAACACTACTGATAATAGAAATAATTGTTTCTTTCAATTACTGTTCCAAAGTGGTGAAAGGGCGTATGATGTATTCTTGCGTGCATTACGACAGAATCAGCAAGATTATTTAGCAGATTTAATCGAAAATACACAAGTAAATGATGGGCAAGCCCAGGCAACAGGTGAGTATTGTTTTATACAAATAGTGGAAAAAAATATTTTTAAGCCCATCAGAATACAAGAGTGTTGCATTTAACTCTTCATTTGCCATTTTCAGCTCAACCTTTTCAAAGGAAAAAAAGAGCTTTAGCTACAGTCATGTTGTTGTTGCCAATGTCATTTCATTTTATGGATTGAAATTATTGAAATTGCTTAAGTTGTCATTACTTTACTATTTATTTACAGACCTGAGTTAGACAAAAGAACACATGGCAAAACTGACATGTTGAATTATTCTGATATGACCTTGACCTTTAATTGACCTTCAAGGATCAAATGATTGGAATTTACTTAAATTGTCATTACTTTGAAATTTGTTTATGGATTTGGTTCATTCTTTTACAAAATAACACTTATTACAAAACTGGCAATGATGATTGAATGCAAATGTGACCTTGACCATCAAGGTCAAATATGAAATTTATATGATAATTTGTTCAACAGTTATGTTTTCTATAAGTATTTCTTACTGCAATATACTTTCTTTAATGTGTTTGACCTTAAAGTAAGAAAACATTGAGCGTTTTCCCCACCTGGTGGTGGCTATTGTGGTTTATTCCAGATTCATTTAACAAAATATTATATGTGATGAAAATCATTCAGAATGCTTTAACATTAACCAAGACAGCTTAACTTTTTCAAAGAAAATTTTGAGCTATTGCTACAGTCTAATTGTCGTTACTGCTGCCACCGCCATCCTTTGGGCAGGAGGCCATTAGTTTTTTATTTGTTAATCATTTAATGGATTGTCTTCATACTTGGACACAACAACCCTCTAGACAAGACCTTAAAGACTGACCCACTCTTTTTATAAATTGCACATTGCAGCTAAATTCTGATGGGTATTTATAGAAATTTCTTTGGGCCACCTGTGTTATTTATCATTCATGGAAGTAAATTATGAAATGTAAAAGAATTATGGCAAAATGTAAACTTATTTTGACTTTCACTTGTTCACTTACTATATACCCTTGGAATGGCATACTGTGTATTTAAATTGTCATAACTTTGAATGACCTTGACTGTCAAGGTCAAATATGAAATTTAAATTAATGTTTGTACAAAAAAAAAGCTTTTTTTGGAGTTCTTTTTATTATAATATTCTTCCTCTGATGTATAAGAAACTGTCAAGTGTGTCTACAATCTGTTGGGCTTTTGTGAAAATTGCACATTATGCTCAAACTTTAAATTTATATTTCTCCCCCAATTTTTCCTAAGAAAGTTTTCATGCAATTTTAGAACAAAAGTGATTATCTTGTTAATTTTTTTTTTTACACAAAAATATTTTAAAAAACTTCCCTTTTTTGTGTGTTTAGTTGAGTTTAGTTGAGAATTTTTATTTTTAGTTTTAAGCATTTTAAAAATGTTGAAATTCATGTGCGTGTGTGGTGTTCAGGCTACATGTATATTTTTGTTGCAGAACCATTTAGCTGGATATACACCATCCCTCAAAATGTTCGGTCTCGCAGATTAACAGAAAAAGATATCAGCCGATTAGCTCAGACCCTTGGCAGTGACTGGCAATTTGTTGCATATGACCTAGGACTTTCAAAAGTTGATGTAGATCATTGTATAATGGGATACCCAACTCCCCTAATGCAGATTTACTCAGCATTGCAGAAATGGAGAGTTAGACAGCCATCATTATGTACATTGGATCATTTTGTGAAAGTAGTAAAAGACTGCCAGGCTACATCAGTTGACTCGGGTGCTATGTATGAAATTGCCAAAAATATGTAGGGTCAAAATCAAACAGAATTCAAATTTGACTAATCTGACCTCTTTGTGATACACCTATTAATTCTCACATGTTTGTATACATATACTTGTATATTGTATTGTCATGATTGACTTGTATGGTTTTAAAAATGGAACTACACAGTATTATTCGTCATTATTAAAAAGCTAAAATTGAATTGCATACCTTAGTAGAATACGGTAGCCTTACATCAGTCTGCACACTTTTACATGATGGACTTAATCAGTCTGCACATTTTTTTATACAATAAGACACAATAAAATATATACATTTATTAACATAACTTTCATGTAATTGTTTACAATAATTCTATACATATCTATTATACATGTATAATATATCTTATAATTGAAAAGTCAACTGAACGAAGACTTGATGTAAACTTTTTCTTATCTACCTTCTTTTTATTTATCCCAAGCTTAATTCATGAAATGGATTTGCCTTTTTTGAGTGTGATACAGTCAATTTGAAGTTTTGAAAGATTTCAATACATGTAGTGGAATATGAAAAAGCTTGTCCTACTGGTTGAATGCGCGTGCTGGCGTAGCTGTATACTGGAGGCTAAACACTTTCGGGTCAGCAGGATATATAAGATTAAATTATAAACCTTATTGAACGCTATTTCGGTTATATAAAAAAAATGCTTTCCAGCTTTCGGGATTAACAGTCTATTTAAAGTGTTACAGATATAAGTACTTACATATAGCTGTGCAAAAAAATTTTGAAGTTTCAATGTAGCATTTATCACAATAAAATTCATGAAATGCAGACTTGGTCTGATTGAGCTGAAATAAAGTTCATTGACGAATGTCATTGACAATTCAAAGTAATCACATGTTGATAATTTCCTGAGCATAATTGTCGCAAATAATGGATTTGATGAAACAGTCCTAGTTCAAAGTATCAAAGTGCAATTGAACTATGAAAAATGTTCAATACTAATAATTTAGGGCATGCAAATTATATGGACAATTGCCTTGTGTACGACATTTTAATTTCTGTTACCATGCAACCACCAAATTTGCCAAAAATATATTGTGGCCTACTAGATTTTACTATCATCAAAGATTTAAATTTTGTGCTGCAATTTTACTCAAAGGATAGATAGATCAAAGGCTTTTCACCCGTTGGTTACACGTTATCATTAAGTGACTAATCTGATCATTTTATAGCCTTGCACGTTCAAAATTAAATTCTTTAGAATGCTGTTAAAGTGACACAAACGCTCCTTTCATCACAAACAAAGGGGATCATCCCTCGAACGATCATTTTGATGGGGGCAGCGCAAAAATCTCATTTTTGTAAGCACATTTCTCAAACTTGTGTTTGGTGAATGAATGTTTTTACGCTTTCAAAAAAAGCAAATGTTGCCTTAATGAAAAGAATAAAATAAAAAAAACATCATTGAAATTATCGATATTGAATTGTTTACGCCTGATGTTAGCTATGATAAATCTGTCTGTCATAGCATACATTGGCCTCATTTTGATTGGCACACTTTTTCTCAGAGTATTGTTTCATTGTCATCAACAGCTGCATTTGTGCTAGAACCTAAGCCAGCCATCATATGTTTCATTCTTTAATAACTTTGTATGTGTATGTAAATCTCCTATATGAAACAGAAGATCCTGACGGTGCTGTTACGTTGATATTTTGAATTTCTGCATTTTCCTATTTCCAACACAATTATTTGTAACAACAAAAAATGATTTATCATGTGAGACACATACTCTATATGGATGTTTTATATCTATCTTGTACGATGTTAATATCTGACCTGTTTGTGATATCTGTACAATGGTGTTTGTTTTACGACTACACACCAGGATAGAATCAGAGGGACCAACTGCTGCACCACATGGTTCCTGTAACTGATCATCCTTCACTTCGACTCTCGTGTTTGTTTTGATATCATAAATGTAGACTATATGCTCGTATCTATCTGTTATCACCACTTTGTCACTGTTCATTATGTAAGTACTAAAGCTGTTGCCTTTAGGATATGTCTTGTTTGGAAAGTTGACACTAAAATCATGCTCCTCTCCAGTCAATGATACAATACGAACAGGTCTTGGATAATCATAGGTCCCTACGGCAAACTGTATATCATCTTTTAAACATATGGAGTAATATTTCGTTTTCACTTTACATGTCCTGCTTGAAATTATTTCATTACATTTACTAACATGTAAAAATTGTATATTGCATCCTTTACCACTTGTTATCCCTACTTCCTCCTCAGATACTACAACAACAGATAATGGTGTGTAAGATAGCTGATATGATCGTACTTTCTCAAGCTTCTCATTGTACACTAAACATTTCTTGTTTTTGTTATCCACAGCCACGAGTCTACCATCAGGTAGAAAATCTATACCTGTATATAACGCTTTTTTGATATCATCTCCCATTTTCTTCAAAACAATAGAAGCAACAGGTGTTAAATTAACAGAATTAACATCTTGCTGGCGATTGAACGTTAATTGTAATTGTCCTGGAACATATTTGGTAATTTGTAATGGCGGCAGGTTTAATGTTTCGTCAAATTGAAAAGAAATGTTCACTTTCTCTAATCTCTGACATTCCTCCTTGATGTTTCTGCAGAGAGCATTGACATTACTCTCCATTTTATGTTCTGTTATATATTTCTGCACTGGAGTTCCATTTTTGAAAATGCTTTCAATCATCTTTAAGCACGATGTTACATCAGCCAAATGTTTCTCGTTAAGTGTTTGTTTCTTTGACAGATTTTCTAATGTTTCTCTCTGAACAGTTTCAGCTCTCTTGACGACGGAATCTTCTAAATCGTCAAACATTCTCATTACTTCGTCTCGCATTCGTCTAATCTTTACATGTATTTCTTTTATATCTTGAGCAAGTTGAACTTTTGAAAAACGAACATGTCTCGCAACACTCTCAGCAGCTTCTTTAGCTTCCTTCAGTTTCTCCCCTAAGGTAGAAATTGGTGAGGTTATTTTTCCAGCAATCTTCTCAATTTCTACAACGCTATGACATTTTCGATGATTAACAATAGCACACTTACTGCAGCATAGCTTCTTTTCATCTTCACAGAAGAATTCGAAAGAATGTTGATGTTGTTCACATAGATATATGGCCTTCATTTCAAACGAAATACATTCAGCATTAGCTTCTTCCACGCTCACCAATTTATGATTTTTCAAGATGGCAAGCAGGTTGTGTACATTTGAACAATCATGACATTGAAATTCATTACAAGCTGAACAAAACTTGTCAGCTACAGTTTGCTTATCTTTACATAAACATGGTTGACAAAAAATTTCCTTCACACAACCAGGAACATCATCATCCTCTCCTATTTTACTCCCACTATCCTCCATCTGTTTTAATGATGATGTTGTCAAACCTTTTGAAATTGCGCTGGGTTAATTCACTGTATTATCACTCCAAATTCATAACATGATAAAGTAAAATAAAAGATTTTTTATCTATTATCTGATATCCCATTCTTTTTAGCTCACCTGTCACAAAGTGACAGGGTGAGCTTTTGTGATCGCTTTTCGTCCGGCGTCCGTCCGGCCAGCGTCCGTCTGTAAACTTTTACTTTAAATGACATCTCCTCATAAACCACTAAGCCAATTTCATCCAAACTTCACAGGAATGTTCCTTTGGTGGTCACCTTTAAAAATTGTTCAAAGAATTTAATTCCATGCATAACTCTGGTTGCCATGGCAACTGAAAGAAAAATCTTTAAATATCTTTTTTTAAAAAACCCAAAGAGCTAGAGCTTAGATATTTGGCATGAAACATCTGCAAGTGAGTGTCTACCAAATTTGTTCAAATAAAAGCCCTGGGTTCAAAATTGGCCCCGCCCCGGGGGTCATTGATTTTCCTTATATGTGTATAGCAAAAACTTAAAAAATCTTCTTTGAAAAACCCCAAATAGCTAGAGTTTAGATATTAAGCATGAAACATCTTCTAGTGAGTGTCTACAAAGTTTGTTCAAATAAAAGCCCTGGGGTCAATATTGGCCCCGCCCCGGGGGTCATTGAATTCCTTATATGTGTATAGCAAAAACTTAAAAAATCTTCTTTGAAAAAACACAAATAGCTAGAGTTTAGATATTAAGCATGAAGCATCTTCTAGTGAGTATCTACAAAGTTTGTTCAAATAAAAGCCCTGGGGTCAATATTGGCCCTGCCCTGGGGGTCATTGAATTCCTTATATGTGTATAGCAAAAACTTAAAAATCTTCTTTGATAACACCCAAATAGCTACAGTTTAGATATTAAGCACGAAACATCTTCTAGTAAGTGTCTACAAAGTTTGTTAAAATAAAAGCCCTGGGGTCAAAACTGGCCCCGTACAAGGGGTATCATTGTTTTCAACTATATGTGTATAGTAAAAACTTGAAAAATCTTCTTTTAAAAAACCAAATGAGCTAGAGCTTAGATGTTAAGCATGAAACATCTTCTTATAGAGGTCTACCAAGTTTGTTCTAATAAAAACCGTTGGGTTAAAATTGGCCCTGCAGGGGGGGGGGGGTCATTGTTTTACATTGTATGTGTGAAACATCTTCTAATGGGTGTCTACCAAGTTTATTCAAATAAAAGCCCTGGGGTTTAAACTGGCCTTGCTCCGGGGGCCTATATACAGGTGAGCGACCTCAGGGCAATCATGGCCCTCTTGTTTCTGTCATAATATTTCAATCACATGATACAATATCAACTATATTAACCCTTAATCTGATTACCTTTGCTTCAAGCAGGTCAAGGTTAACCAACTGATAATTTAAATTAAGCTTCATTCTGTATTTAAATATGTCGAGCGCATTTTGCGTCAAACTTTAGATAAGAACCTCGAACACAATAGTAAGAATATATAAAATGGATACGGTATTTCAGTCTATTCTACGCTAAGAAACTAAACATGTAAACAAAGAGTAAATCAATGCTAGGAGGACTGGTGTTGACTAAAAGTCCGCCAAAATTATGTAACTTTACAGATATAATAATATTAACAGTAACCTAGTTTAAATCCATTTCACATGAAAAAAAACCAGTTTTTATATTATTTATTTTACTCGTTTGTTAAATATAGAGCGTTTAAATTTTTTATTTTTATAATTGCGAAACACTTTATTTAACAGTTAATCTTGTTTTACCAAGAGCGACCCAAGTTTCATATGAATTCGTTGACAATCATTCTAGTATACCAACACTTATAACTCGCAGATATTATGATAACACACATAGACAAAAGGTTAAAAATAATCGGCATTTTTTTTATATCTTTTGATATATTTTAGATTAGTAGATACTCATCATTACAATCACAAAAAAAGCATTAGTCTTTATATTATATGGACATTTAGAAAGTTTCCTTAGTCAAAAAAGTAAAATATCCGTTACTGGAGAAAGGAGGGATCAAATTTATGACCCTGGATATATGTTCAGCGCCTTAACACCACTAGGCCACAGATGATCTCCATCAAGTGATTGTGCTTTGGAAAAATTGACAAAAGGCTAAAATATCGACTTACATCAGTCTGCACAAGTTTGCAGGATGGACTTAAATCAATCTACACACTTCAGACTTACATCAGCTTGCACACTTCTGCACTCTGGACTTACATCAGTATGTACACTTTGGTAAGATGGCTTTACGTCAGTCTGCACACTTTGGTAAGATGGACTTACATCAGTCTGTACACTTTCAAAGGATGGTCTTAAATCTGTCTGCAATCTTTGGTAAGATGGACTTTCATCAGTCTGTAAACTTTCAAAGGATGGTCTTACATCAGTCTGTTCACTTTTAAAAGATGGTCTTACATCAATCTGTACACTTTCAAAGGATGGTCTTACATCAGTCTGTACACTTTCAAAGGATAGCCTTACATCAGTCTGCACCTCTTTGCAGGATGGCCATACTATGTAACTTGGGGCATTATCAACTTCATCGTCAATGATTTAAAAAAAAGGAACCGGTAACACAAGACTTTAACTTTGTTTAAGAAAAGCTGAAAGTATACACCTAACAGTCATTGGCCGGATCAAGTAATCGAACCTGGTACTAGTCATTATTGCTGGCAACCTTCAACGTGACCTCAGCATCTGAGAGAGTAAACAATACTTCAAGTGTTAAAGAAGTTTCAGAAGAATTGGGTTATATGTTGTAGTAAATGAAACTGTTCAATACTAAGGACTATTCAAAGCAAGGTGATGAATCATTTATATTTCAAGGTGGTGTTTATTACCAGTTCTTGGGACACATTTTGTCACTGTATTATATATCACATTTTACATGTATACATAATGGAAGAGAAAGGGAAAATAAAATATATTTAAAGTTATTCTAATATATGTATGTATATAATTTGTGAACACCATACAGCACTGTTTTTTTTTTAAAGATTTTTTATCAAAACATTATCTGATATCAATTTTTTGAAAGAATCTTTTAATGACAAATTCATAATAATAAAAAAAAACCTGAGACTTTCTAAAATGATTTGCTGTCTTGGTTGATGTATATATAAATGTTTCCTGAAAGAAAACCACAATATAATATATAAAAATAAATTTGATAGGTGTATAATTGATATACTTTATCTCTAGAAAAAAAAATGTGGTCAAAGATAAATATACCTATCAAGATTAATGAATGCAAATCTTGATTTCTGTCTGAATGAGTAAGGAATTTGAAATAACTGATATATAACTGATAAATTACATGTATATACAGCCAGATAAATCTCGAGTGTTATTTCAAATTCATTACAGTTCACCCATTTGACTGATAAATATGTAGAATCTGATGCTTTAATATTATTTTTGTTTTTTAATAAATTCATTATTATTATTGTACATCATTATGATTAATAAAGCACTTAAATAGTTAACTGATGTGATGACTACTTTCTAATTTACAGAACCGCATAGTTGGATTAACACAATACCACAACATGTAAGGTTTCGGACACTTACAGAAAAAGACATCAGTCGATTTGCTCAGACTTTAGGCAATGATTGGCAAATGGTAGCCTTTGATTTTGGACTGTCTAAAGTGGAGATAGATCACTGTATGATGGAGAATCAGACCCCTGTGATGCAGATTTACTCAGCCTTAAATAAATGGAGAGTCAGGAACATGGACGCTTGTACACTTAATAACTTTGTACAGAAACTTAAGGACTGCCAAGCCACTTCCGTTGACTGGAAGCAGATGGAAAGAATTGCTAGAGGCATGCAATGATATACCAGTATTTGTAGTTTATATGATTTTATATTGAAGTGTACTTATATATGTTACATGCATGTATAATCAAGTGGATGCTATTTGCCAGCTTGTAGAATGTTGGTGGTTTTACCTGGAATGGTAGTGGCATTGTGGTAGAATTACCAACCTTACATAAGCAGACAATATAGCTAGCTGACTTACCTGCAAAATTTAGCCCCTAACATCCTGAGCAGTGTGCGAAAACACAGGTTTCTTTCTAAATCATTGATATTCAAACTCATCTCAAAACTAGTACAAATTTTATGTCGATTTAAATGCTAACTATGTACTATACATTTGTATTATTTTTTTATTGAAATTAAAACATTGGAAGTTTACATTATGTAACTTATCTGAATTTTTATCCTCAGTATGTTTATTAAAAATATCATTTATAATTAAAATAATTTATTTGACTGTAGATGAGTTATAATACAAAAAATGTGCTCACTGAGTTCTTCCCCAGTGCCATCTTCTGTGTTAAATATTGCAGTTTGTAATGTTAGAACTGCAGGTACCTTCCAAGGAGGGCTATTTTATTGTATGCTGTAGTTATAGATAAAATTCCTCGTCCATAATTGTTATAACTTTCCCTGAAGTGTGTTGTTTTTAAAATATTGTAGAAGTAAGACAAATTTCTATGAAACTTGTTCAGACATAAGTTTTGTACTATATTGTTTGTGATGTTATTTTTCACAAGTCGAAGAAGTAATGTACATTTTCTATATACCAATAATTATTGATCATGTATATAGCTGGTAATATAACCAGTGGTAAAAAATATCATTTGACATATATTTTGATTTGTAAAACATTATCACTCCTTATCAATTACATATATTCAAACAACAGATATCAGTTATTGTTTTGGAAAAAAACTAAGTTAACTATCTAAACTTATGAAATTATGTTAACATTTTGTACTTGTTTGACTTTTCCTCAGAATTGAAGTGGGTTTTTTTTGTCATTTAATATAGCTTTATTTCTTTTACATCATAAAACTTTCCTTTTTTTACAAATTATGTAAAATGATGAAAAAATTTTACAATGTAATAAGATGATTACCCTTAAGGTAGGATGATTACCCTTAAGGTAGCTGCATTGCTGCAGTGTGCCTTTTTTTAAAATTTGTGTGACAGTTTGGTTACTTTCTTGTTGATGAACTAATTTTTATTGTTCTGTAATATACAATGTATAACTCTTTCTGTTATGATTTGTTTTCTGTTATGATTTGTTTTATAATATTGAAAAAATTTAATTACCAGTATATATACTTATTTCTTCAGATTTTTTCTTGTTTATGAATCATATAATACGGGAAAAATAACTTATAATAATGAATTAAATAAAGTACATGTATAAAGCAATATTATCTTCATCATTCTTTGATGTTTAGCATTTATTATAATACACAGATTGATGGTTTATTTTGTAAATCGTTGTTTCGTATGGAGTGTCACAGATCAATAGATCCTATCGAGGAGTGGATGACTCTATTGGATGTAAAAAATGAAATAAAGACATTGGTGGGCTCAAACCTTGACCTAAGCTGAAGGAAAAACATGTACTCAAACATTGGATTTGGCTTTTAGTGAATGTGTTATAAGGATCCATCCTGTTCGCTTACAGACCCCATTACAAGTAAAGAAACTGATAGCGAACAGCATGATCAGACTGCGCTGAGGCACTATGTTGGTTTTGTCATGGCACTGCTCATTTATGTTTACTCACAAAGACCCATTATTCTAGCTTTGATGAAATATGACCCTTTGTGAACACAACACAATTCTATGGTCAATGTCTAATACTCATAACTATGTGAAGTTTTTATTCAAATGAAATCTTCCTCATTGTTTTCCTTAGATTATCCAGGCTTTTGTTCTACAATCAAGCATTGAGAAAATGGAGTGCACTGTCCTAATAACAACTCTTCAAGTGTGCGGAAAGCTCTTGTTCAGAAGCATGTTTATGTGAACAAGGGATATAATCTCTTTGAAGTTTATAAGATACCCGACAGGAAATAATAAACTATAACAAGAATCTGAAATATTACATTTTTTTTTATCCATGAAATACATGTATATGAAAAAACATGACAAAAGCCATTAAAACATATCATTACAATGATCCACAAATATATACAACAAAATACATGTAATAATACACTCTACACATTATACCATTAATCTATAATGGATAATTTCTGTGTGATAAATATAGTTTCTATGGTAACAATGTTATAACTTGTTCTATGTAAGTATATTTAGTTACAACAGTGCTACATTGTTACCTCAGTATCACCAGGCATCACTATCTTGACTACAATGTAAAATATTTTGTGTACATTTGACAAAATGAATACTGTTTGTATATAATAAAAAAAATGAAATTTTATGATTTTTCTGGAGTTGCTTACCAGTTTATATATAAAAACCCAATGAATTTATATGTTTAAAGTTTACTTATTAAAGAAATTAAAATTCCTTACAACCAAACTGTAAATGTGCTGGAAAATATGCAAAAAAAACCCAAAAACAGGTGATTCAAGTAATTGCATGACCTGCAAAAATATACATTTCTTGTAAAGTTATTTTGATGCCAACCAATTGAGAAAATATTTTTTTAAAATAAATATCATAGGCTATGAATAATATTGTTTTAAAAAAAGAAAATTAAAAAAATTCTAATATAATAATAAAAACCAGATTAATAACAATAAAGCTAGGAAATGCTGAAGCATGTTAAGTGGTAGTTAGGTTAATCTATGAGTAGAAATCACTGATGCTGTGATTTGTAACTACATTTCTTTTATACATATTGATTAAATGTTTCCATAATGATTTAACCTTTTACTCTAGCGTACATATGTATGGGAAATATTACAAATCTATATATTGTTATCTTTTTTATATTAAAGAAATAATATCAGTCTGAATGGTGTTTATATCGTCTATTTAACACCTGTTTTATTGTTGTTTTCATCCGAAAAAAATAACTAGAAGCCTAAGGCCTTCTTGGTCGATTCCTACGCATGAAAACTTCAAACCGGTGTTACATAGCCAATAAACACAGCTCAGACCAATATTGTTTTGACCTTAACAAAACAAAAGAAGGGAGATCACCTATGCTATTTTTTGTGTTTATTGGCAGTTTAACCACCGTTTTTTCTCCCTTCTTTTTGTATAGTGACAAAATCCCGTGGAAAGTTAGAATTTTTGTTTAACACTTCATTCTGTTCCTGATATGTACCTTAAGATTATAACTTCAGCTATCATACTATATGTCTGGTTTTTCAAGATGACATGTTAACAATTCTTAGGCTAATCACAACATTTACACAACAGTGGCAACACAAATTTGCAACAACAGTTGGTTCATGTTCGGGTCATAAACAACAATAACAACAACAAATGGTTTAATAACTAACTTTTAGTTGGTACAATTAAAAAAGTTGCTGGTAAAAAATGGCAAACATGATAGTAGTGTTATAATGACAGTCTTGTTTTTCATGCAATAACAATAAAAGTGATGCCCAACTTGTTCTTTCAATAATAAAAGTGTTATTGTAGGTACAATAATGTGTAAGTGCAAGAACAACCTTGTTTTTTTCCCCGCATAACAAGTGTTATTGTACATTCAATACGCTGTAAGTGCAATAACAAACTTGTTCTTTCCGTAATAACAGTTTAACATCCTTGCGAAATACCAAGCTTTAAAATAACAAATTTGATGGTTCAATAACAAAACTGTTGAAGAGTAATAAAAACATTGTTTTTAGTTGTAAGTGCGTAAGCAGGTCTGTTTATAGTGAAATAACAATTGTGTTGGTGCAATAACAAACTGGATATTGGTGCAATAACAAACTGCATGTTTATGCAACAACAAACTGGATGTCAGTGCAATAACAAAACAATTTTTCATGTACCAACAAACTGGATGTTGATGCAATAACAAACTGGATGTTGATGCAATAATAAATTGGATGTTGGTGCAATAACAAATTGGCTGTTGGTGCAATAACAAACAGGATGTTTGCGCAATAATAAATTGGATGTTGGTGCAATAACAAATTGGATGTTGGTGCAATAACTAACTTATTGTTGGAGCAATAACAAAGTCCTATATAAAGTTTTACCTATGTAACAACAATACTAACAATTTCATATAACTCTCCTTGGCACATAATGAAACAATACAGAAAATATCTAAACAAAAATTTTGATTGGCAAGAAACATTTAGTGTAGGGAAAACTTTTTGAAATGTTATTTTTTTCAAAATGATATCAATATGGAAATACATGAAATAATGAATACGAGTCTTTAGTTATACTTGACCATGACTTAAAAATATCAAATAGCTTACCATCTTCATTTCAAACCAATCTATCATAGAACTATTCCTGTTTTATACTGAGAAATATCATGTATGACAATTGTATGTAAAAATTGAATAAATTATTCTAGAGGAATATATTATGCAGCTATTTTAAGTAGGAATTTTAGCATTGATATTGTGCACGAGTCATTCTCATTTAAGGAAATACACAAACATATTCCTTTATACAAGTCTTTTTCATTATTTTTTAATTTACAGACAGCAGATATAGAGCTTATAATCCTATCTAACAAGAAAAGTCTCCCTTATTTAACACACATGAATTATGTAAGGGGACAAAACATCTCCAATTAAAACATTCAAGTATTTTTAAAAGATCCTGCATTAAACATCAGCCAAAGCAGAATTTTAAAAACATCAATATTTCAATATGAATTTCATCAAGTTAGAAAATAGCTAGTCTGCCAATTACAGGCTATCACTCCTATATGACTTTATACTACCTGTACAAATTCTTAGTTCAATTTCTTTTATGTGCATTTCTCAACATTTGTATGTTAAATAGACTGAACATCTCTTGGAAACTTGATATGATTATATTGGAGATATATAGGTTATTTTGATATCTAATTATTTATTAGCAATGAAAATATGACATTAAAATGTCGGCATATATTTCAACAATGTTATAACTAAACATTTATGCGGCTCAAGTCAAGAGCAAAGTAAGCAGAGATAAGTGAAAGTACATAAAAATGAAGAGAATTATGCACAGCTGTCTATGTAGACTTGGTTAATAATAAAAATTCTTACATTATACAAAATGTAGTAAAAGGTTTCAATCAGAAAATAACCTGAAGAATTTCATAGAAATTAACATAGGCATATTAAATAAGCAGACTGATATTATATAAATGTGTGTAGTCAGTTACAACCATAATTATATACCTGTAAATTACTGATATAAATAATCAATATGAGCCGGACCATGACAAAACCAACAAAGAGCGTTTGCGACCAGCATGGATCCAGACCAGCCTGCGCATCGATGCAGTCTGATCAGGATCCATGCTGTTCACTATCAGTTTCTCTACTTGTAATAGAGTTGGTAAGCGAATAGCATGGATCCTGATCAGACTGTGCGGATGCGCAGGCTGGTCTGGATTCATGCTTGTCGCAAATGCACTATGTTGGTTTGATCATGGCGTGGCTCATTATGAATTAATGTATTGACACTCGTCATGGCTACACTTGTTTTACATTGGCTTACATTTATTTAGACAGTAACATTATAAAAGAGGCAAATATAAAGTTGTACAAAAAGTATCAAAATACATGCTGGTTTATAGTATAGCCTTGAAAAAACACAACAAGGCGTTCAACAAAATTATGTAATATTATGACTAATGAACAGCTACAATGGCTGAAAAGATAAAAAAATTTACAACAAAATGTTCAAATATATACTATACAATGATAATAAAATAAGTTAGATATCCACATATCTACACGACAAACATTTACATCAGACAAAAAGAAAAATACAACGCTTATTTTGTGTCTTATTTGATCTACAAAATTTATGAAGACCCGAAAAATCTAATGAATAGAAATCGAAATTTTCTAAAAATAATTTTACTATAGGCCATTTTTAAAATATTCATTTTCTTGACGAAGCCTTCCAGCATTAATTAAGTCAACATGTGACCATGATAAGAATAGCTAGTGTACTAAATTCACTGTAATACATGATCATTTCTTGAATTTAGGTATAAAGAAAATGGTGTTGCATTGTAACTTGTGTGATATCTCTTGTAGCTATTCACTGGAAGTATCATGCCTATTATACAAAACTTGTTGATGACAAAGTTGAAAAAATAATATTCCCAGTTTGAAACATTTTCTAAGGTTTGAAAATGGCTTCAGATGGTTAACAAATATGGCTAGTCATTTATAACCTACCCCTGATATTAATTGTTTGGCTATTAACAAGATTACTGCATTAATAAAACAGACTCTTACAAAAAACTATTTAATAAATTATGTCAATGGTTTCTAGTGTAACTTTATCATAAATAATCAGCAATCTTGTTTTGAAACCGTGTAAACTCATGTATATCACTATACAATATTTTTTTCCTATTTGAAGAATGGCATATCTTTACCATTATCCTGCTGAATTTCTTTAATTGACTTGTGCAGCTTTCATTTTTGAAATTCTCTATGGTCCATTTAAGGATATCAAAATAATATTTTCAAGTAAGTCTTTAACCAGTATATAGCTTGTCCCGACATCACAGATGTGCAAGTTGGCCTGGCCCCTGTAGTGGTATCAAAGGTTAATCATGTTAGGTTCCAGCAGGGTAAAGTTTGTGGGCTTGTTGCTATATAGTTATATATTAAGTTTATTTACTGTTGATCATGCTCCATTTTTAATTATGAAATTAAGAAATAAAATTAACGAAAATATGCCACTTACTGTCCTGTTAATAGCCAAATGCAGTTCAGAAATAAATTGTGATAAATACTGCATAATTATTCATTAATTGCATATAGCATGTGAATCATTTCTTGATTACGAATAATTTTCACTTTTCTTAAAATGTTAGTAATTTTTTTTTTCAAATATTTTGGCTCATCTGGAGGCATGCAGCTTTATGGTGTTTGTGTACGGCAAGACAAAAGATAACATACTGTTGTTGTTAAAATATATAAATAAACTGATATGGCACTAATACATCTTATGTATGACTATATATGCAGGTTTTACATGATAGCACCTGCTTTGGCAATTAACATTTGGAGTACACTACACTCTACAATAGACCGTATACATTGAAAAAATAAGGTTAAAAATTATTTTGATTTATTGTCTTTTTGAAATCTTCAAAATTATACAGTGAAACATTAATTATGTTTTAACTAAAATTATTTAACATTTTTGAAAAAATGAATACCTAAGATAATGGTAAAAAAATGTAAAATGAAACTTAGATTCAATTAATGTTAAGAGTACAAATTCTTCTACTTAGTGTATACATACTAAAAATAATTTCATTGTCAAAATATATGAAACCCTACAGTAAAAATTTTCCTAATGAAAATAATTTCCTGAATCTTTTTAACTCTTTTTACACCAGCAAGTATGACACATTCTGATATACATATAACGATGCCTTAACATGTTACAAAAAATCTTCTTATTTGTTTAAAAAAAAACTATATACAACAGTTGGTCATGGTTTATAAAATCTGAAATTTACAAATATATCTTTCATGATAGAAAATGTATCATTTTCGTTGAATTCGCACTCCAGTGGTACAATACCTAAAAAAATATCATCTATGTTAATATTATCAAAATCTTCTGAAAACAACACATATCTTAACTTACATTATCTTTAAGATCTCAAAACAGTTCACAAAATACAAAATGACACTACAACAATTTCCACACAAATATTTATGAATGACACTTATGAAGAAAACAAACAATGCACCTTTCGTAAATAATTCTAAACAATGATGGTGACTACATGAATATGAAATTACTTATCAAGTTTCTGGTTAGCTGTATAGACAACCTATTGTGCTGTATTTTTCACCAATCCAGCATCTGTTTCCTATTCTAGCATCTACAGAATAATTTGGTTAAGAAAGCTACATGAACATATATGAACACATACTGATCTCATAAAATCTTAATAATATCATGTGTTATATCCCTCAAATGATGAATGTCACTTCAATATAAAACTAACAGTACTAACCCAAGTGAATGTCACTTCAATATAAAACTAACAGTATCAGCCAAAGTGAATGTCACTTCAATATAAAACTATCAGTATTAACCCAAGTGAATGTCACTTCAATATAAAATTATCAGTATTTACCAAATTGAATGTCACTTAAATATAAAACTATCAGTATTAACCCAAGTGAATGTCACTTCAATATAAAACTATCAGTAATTATCCAATTGAATGTCACTTCAATATAAAATTATCAGTATTAACCCAAGTGAATGTCACTTCAATATAAAACTATCAGTATTAACCCAATTGAACGTCACTTTAATATAAAATTATCAGTATTAACCCAAGTGAATGTCACTTCAATATAAAACTATCAGTAATTACCCAATTGGATGTCACTTCAATATAAAATTATCAGTATTAACCCATGTGAATGTCACTTCAATATAAAATTAACAGTATCAGCCAAAGTGAATGTCACTTCAATTTAAAACTAACAGCATTAACCATGCTCTAATAAATGTGAATGTCACTTTATGAGACATTTGTCAGTATTTACCTAATCTTCTAGACTTATTTCACTTCACTCTAAATCTATCAGTATTCACTTGGTCCTGTCAATATGATAAAGATAAATGTAACCTAAAGTTAATTCCATTTGTTGTGACAATCAACATTTGAGCCAAAAATTACTTTAAACAGGCAAATTAATGTATAAATTTTCTGCATAATTCAAATGTCATAGTATGTGAATGGAAGTAACTTGTAAATAACAAACAGTTTAATATCAACCAAAAATGCTAGCGTTTGTGTCTAAGATACAATGACAAGTCAAAATGACTGTCACACGTCAGTTTCTACTTTGCTATTTATAGTAACACTACGAGGCAGAGTGCCGTTTTTCTTTGCAGATCCGAGATGGAGTCGGATGGATCCAGGCGAGGATTGTTTATCTCGCTCCACCATTTCTTTGGTCAAACTCTCTGCTGCTTGGTACAGGAACAGGTAGTCCTCCTGTAAAAATGATCACAAATATTTTCTTATTTACATGCCATTTCTAATACATTCAAGTAAAACAATTTAAGTCCAAAATAAACAAACAAGAGAGTTATATTTAACTGGTAAAGCAGTTATTATCATATTTGTCTCTTTGACATAGCAACATACACAAGTCTAATAATTATGATATCTGACTTCAACTGACTAACACTCTTAATACATTACTCAATCAGAATATTTGTTAAGGAAACTACCAAGCTTTTCTGATGGAGGAAGATCTCAAGTGGTTCAGGCTCAAATGGGTAGAACCACAAACCTGCTGTAAGCTAGCTGTATAGCTTTCATACATTAAAGAACTCAAGTCTCGGGCTGGATTTCAACCCACAGCATTGAAAATTCTAGAGACTGAAGTCAATAACCACAACCACTCAAATATTACAAGATACAACAAGTGCTGCTTATCTATACAAGATTTACATACAATTCATGCATAATGATTTACTTCAGCAATTCAATAACGATATCTTTATAAAAGTATCTACCTTTGATCCTATACATCCAGCTCGCTTGAGGTGATAAAGTTTTGCTAACTGATAAATGTTGACAGATTTATCAAACTGTAATTGGTCATATATACTGAACATAGCACAAAATGTGGTCGCTTCAACACCTCCAAAGCTAAAACATAAAAAAAAACATTTTTTATACATCTTCTGTGATTTTCATTGACTTTTTTTCAAGATTCTTAGCCAGACTGACAGAACACAGGACATATGGTAACTTGGAAATGTTTAAAGTGGCGTAAAGGACAAAAAGAAAAATTGCAATTCCCAGTGGATTTATACCAACTGAACATTGATATAACAGTAACTGGTTTAGAAATACATATCGATAAAGTAAATATCTGATTAAACTTAATAATTTCTTGATCATTCAAATATGTATGGGATTGTGGGACTTCGACACAATAATCTGGTTTTTTTTGTTTGTTGACTTTCTTGGGGGGATCATAGTAAAAGTCCTCAACATATTGTTGAAGTCCAACTGCAGTGTTGGAGAATACAAGGCTGTCATTTCAAGTATGTGTAAAGCTTTGAGCAGAACACAGGCAGTATGTAAACCAGTTGAACAACTCTACTGTATCACAATTTTTTTTCTCCTATCAGACATACAGTAGTGTGAGGTAAGTAAATCAAAATAAGCAACCTTTACCACTCTATCGCAAAATCCTCTTTAAAATAAATAAAGAGACTGAACAAAAACAAATTCAATATACCTGTCAACCACTATAACAGGGCCGATATTATTCTGTCGATGTAACCTTTGAACCTCTTCTACCATATCAAACACATGGTGTCTAGGGTTACACGATGACGGCCATGGGTTCACTGGTTTTACTATTGTAGTCATCAGAATGTAGTCATCCTATTAAATAACACAAAACACATTTCTGTAATATGCTTAATGAAAATAAAACATAATTTATATTATATGACAAAATACTGTGTTGCTTATGTCCCAAATATATTACTGAATAAGGAAATTATGGCAACAGTTTATTAATTTAAAATCTGGACTTTAAAATGTCAAAGTTTCTGTCAAGTTCTCCTCTCGGTCTGTTGTGTGTACGTATGAAAACTAGCTTTTAGAATGAAGAAATTGTAATTAACTTTGAAGATTTTAAGATAATACTGAAATGTGAGGAAATACCATGACAAGGGAATAACCATCTTCTACATTCATAAATATCCAACATCTTTCTGGAAGCTTCCAGAATAGATACATCATACCTACAGGAAAGTTACATTACCTGATTAGACTGTAGGAGGAATTCTCGGACCTTATACTTTTTATCATCATCATCTTCCCTATATGTCACCTTGAAACAACCAATATCTATAGGATTATCCTTCTCTGGCCAAAACGTCTTAAAGTCCTAGAAATATATACATGTACATTCAACAGTTATTATCAGATGCTAACAATAAAAAGATTAGATGCAAACAATATATAAATTATAAAATTGTAAATTTTGAGTGAAAAGTTTTGCCAAAAAGGAATTGTATTTAAATAGAATTCAGTGAAAATTGAATGGAGATAGCTGAAGCCATCAACCTCTGTGTTCAATCAGGTTTGGCAATTTGACCTGTATATTAAGAAATAACTTTTCACAAAACATCATTACTGAGCTACATCTATTTAAGTATAAAATAGTTATTATGTCTTTGCATTTGCAAAATGTTTATTACACCAGAGTTTTAAATTCTTATTGCCCAAGTTTATGAATTCTGATTGCCCAAGTACTTGAGGTAAGCAAAATGCCAAATTTCAAAATGAAGAGAACAGACTGTGAAATAAGAGATGTGTATGTCTATTTATAGAACACTTACATCATCATCAACATCAGATAGCTGCACTATAACAGAAGAGTTTTGATCCCATACCATCCTCCAGAAATCTTCTACAGTTTGTTCAAGTGGATGCTGAGTTACTATAAACTCATTACTCTTGTTGTAGCCCTGATTAACAAAAACAAAACTTCAATAAAATTTTTGTCCTAGTAATACAATATAGCTGCTTAGAAAAGAAGAGTAAAGAAATGACTTTCTATCAGAGAATGACTATTATATCAATTAGCTGTGTAGTAAGTTTTTGCAGGCATAAGTAAAAACTACCCAGATTTTATACACTGTTTAATGCTCTACCTTCTCACTTTAAAATCTATAAATGAGCCGCGCCATGACAAAACCGGCTCAAATATAATTTAAGTTTCAAAATCCAAGCAGCACAAATCTACTACAATGATTCACATATATAATGGATATGGCAGATGAGCTGACACGAGCAAGAAACGTACCTGTAGATATGTGGCATTAATGTAGTCAGAGCCTTCTACACCAGGTTTCATTGGTAGTATGACACGTTTAACACTTAAAGGAACCATGTCAAGTTTACGATTCTTACACAGGTTCACACTCTTCAACGCATGAAACATATCATCTGGTTTTGGGCTAAAGTTTGTGACCAACTGAAATATTAAGTTATACAGATTATCAAAGTAGTTTAACATTACAAATGTGTAAATTTTAGATTTCTCTTCAAGTTCATAAAGTGTTGCATTGAACTAATGAGATACAATACCAGATATCAAAGTAAACAAATAAAGAAAATCTCCCATCAACTTGTTATTGTTTATCTTTTTTTGTATACTAATGATTACTGATTATCCCTTATTTAAATTTCTAAGTCAGCAAAATTTTACCAAAAATTGGACAGTTCTCATTTAAGTTTAGATATATCATTACAGAATAGATGTTAGTCTCCATGCAGACCATCAGTTTCTGAACATCATAATTTTTTTAATATTAATTTCAAGCAATTCCTTTTTGTATCAAAGGAATGTGGCTTGGTAAACTGCAAAGTCAATCACCCACTTACATTATATTGTATATCAAGGGAAGTCATTTCCCCATTTATCTGATTGGTGACTTGTGACAAATATTTGCTGATGTCATCTGCTCTGATTTCTGTATCACCCTGTGTCAAGATGTACTCTGCTATTGCATCGTGTATTAACATATACTGCTCCTGTATAATCATAGATACAACAAAATTACATATTTATCACCCTGTGTCAAGATGTACTCTGCTACTGCATCATATCTATATCGATCACTGTATGGAAAGGTGAATTCTATAATAGCATCAGTACACTCATTGCTTCTAAGTGAAAATATAAACAGACTTATCTCTTGCAATTTTGTACATGTAATATGCTTCTGCATCATGTATACATATAAACTCTACTCCTGTGTAAATATATGTAAACAAAGTTAAAACATATTTATTTTGGCTCGATTGCGAAACAAGTTCTTGCAACTTATATTAATCATTTCTGAGTCTGCTTCCTGGAACCAACCAGTTCTGGTATCATATGAAGAAACATGGTCTTGACTCCAGTTTGGCTCAAACCCATGAACCCTGCATTGAGAGGCAGACACCTTAACCACTCAGCCACCCATTCCTTTAAACAATGTTCAGTAACAGTAACATATCACTCATGGTACAAAAAATTCACCATGAAAATAAATTTTGCCCTTTTAAAGGTAATATACCTCTGTTTGTACTAGGAAGTTCCTCTGTTGTCTAATATGTAATAAGAATGCAGGAATATTGACTGTACCCTTGTCTTTTATCTGTTTAATCATTGATTCTATCAGAATATAGGTACCAGTCCGACCTACACCAGCACTTAAAAATACAAAACAAAATTAGTACTTCTGGAGGTTCAAAGCAAAAATTGTCTTAATTTTTTTTCAAATGCAATTGAATTACAACATTAGTTAAAAGTTGAATAAATAAATTTTCTCTAAAAATGCACTTTAATATGTAGAGGTGAAATTTGAAGCTTTAATAAATACAAAACAAGAACTTAATACAGAAATGCTAAGTATTTCAATAATTTTATAGTAACATGTGATTTATATAGATTAAAAATAATGAAAACTTTAAATATTCTAAAATGAGTATTTTGACCAAAGTTTAAATCCAGGCCTATAGACTATAGAGACAAATGATACAACAATTCAACACTTTCTGAACATTAACCATTTTCTTATGAACACAATACAGTATCTAACTTTCAACCTAATTCATATTTAGGTACATTGGTTGCAAGACAAACATTGATTGCAGATTTAACATATCAGCAGTCTTACCTGCAATGGATGACAATGGGGCCAGCCCCTGGAGGATTTTCTCCGGAAGATTTCTGTATAAACTTCAGTACCGGAAGTGTGAACTCAGGTACACCGTGATCTGGCCACTCGGTATAGTGGTATTGGTAAACTATACGTTCAGATACATGTTTCTGAAACACATCATTCAATATCACATCAGTAACAAATGAAGTTTAGTACAAGTTTCTTTAAAATCAATGAAATTTCTTTTACCTTCGAAAATTTAACAGTCTAGTATCTATTTATCTTAAAAACTTTTTGAGTTATACCTGGAATTTATCATACATAAAAAAAGTTGAAAAGAGTCAATTTGAAAGATATTTATTAAAGATCTCTTAGTTACTCCTCTTATTTTAACCATGGGATAACAATTTTGAAAATACAGTCAAACGTGTATTAAGCGACCGGGCAAGGGAAACACCAAAAACGGTCGCTTAATGAAACGGTCTCTTAAGACAGTCAGCATGATATAAAAGTCAAAATTTATAAATGACATCTTTTTTATTCGATGGGATTGTTTTTCAACTTCATTTTTATATAAATGTTGAATAATAAGTACGGATGCAAATGTAAAAATAACGTTCTGATATTTATTGACAAAACAGTTTTGATCCATTACGTACATGTTTGACATTTTTCCAGAATTATTTAACTTCTCCGTTGTTTTTCCTTGTCTCCAACACGAAAACCCTATTAGTGAAGATGTTTTCTGTTGTGCATTTTTTCAACTACATCTATTTGTTACGATTAATTTAATGGCTGATCAAGTTCAAGGTCAATTCAATGCAGTCTAAATGTCAACAAGCGAAGCGTATACACCATCTCAGTATGGGCGGAGCGTTGCATTGTTTATCCGATATTATTGGATAATACACGTCACGCGTATACTTAACTTCATTTGCATACGCTAAAACGGTATGGGAAATAGAGTTTTTCACACGTTTATTGTTGTGTTTTGATTGCTGACACTTGTGACATAACGAGGTGGCGTTCTCTAAAAACACAATTACTTGACAGGTAAAAGTGGTCGTTTAATGAAAAGATTGATGTCAATTAGGTGACTAATTAGCGGTCGCTGGTCGCGTTGAGCAAAAGTCGCTTAATACATTAAAGATATAGAGAGAAAATGATCGGGGGGAATTTAAAGTGGTCGTTTAAGACAAAAGTCGCTTAATACACGTGGTCGCATGGGCAAGTTAGACTGTATATATATACATGAAATTGATAAATAATTAATCAGCAATAAGAAATTGGTCTAATATTCTAAGAAACAAGAAAGAGACACACTTGTATTTTTTTACTTATTATCTATAAAAGCCCCATGGAGTTTCAACCTCAATGTTTTATACAACTGATCTTCTATTTCTGAAAGCATTTATCAACTAATGTATACCACAAGTCCTGTATATCACATTTCATTGGGCGTCCGTGGCCGAGTGGTTAAGGTTGTTGACTTCAAACCACTTGCCCCTCACCGCTGTGGGTTCAAAACCCGACAAGGACTTTGGATTCTTTCATGTGAGGAAGCTATCCAGCTAGCTTACGGAACATCGGTGGTTCTACTCAGGTGCCCATTCGTGCCTGAAATAATGCACGGAAAGGCACCTTAGGTCTTCCTTCAACAGTAAAGCTGGAACGTCGCCATATGACCTATACCCTGTCGGTGTGACGTAAAACCAAATCAAACATACAAACAAATATCACATTTCATGCCTCAGAAAACCCACAAAAAATTTAATCTAAGAGGTCTGTCACAAAGTCTTTCATAAAAACAATAAAATCACCTAATATAATACCTTTTTATTTTTACTACTTTTCAGTGAAAACATGCGGACAGTGTAATGGGCTCTTGAAAAGGTATTGATGTGCTTGACCGTAACATAGCCGTACGTCTCGGAACCTTCTTCTGGCCAGTACATGTCACATTTTCTACGTCCACGCTCGATTAGATTTGTTATCATTATGATAACTATGGACCCTTGTTCCCATATCATTCTCCAATAGTCGGCAAAGGTGTGTGGCAGGGGGCCCTGGGTAGCTATGTAAGCATGTGGTTTATTATATCCCTGTAAATTACAACAACAGCAATCATTATCTATTTACCTGTATGGAAAGTTATCAATACAAAATATATATAATTTCTGTTTAAGATGTTTGTTTTGATTACAATTCATGGCAATATGTCTGTCTTATATCATCTAGTATATAACACTATAACTGCTACTTTTTACCAATGAATCTATTGAACTTAGTGTCAACATGGTGTTAAAATGTTAAATTAAAAGCAATTTTTTAACTGAAAAATATTTAAAATGCAAAAGTCTGGAAATAAGGAAGGTCTGAACATTTGAAAACCAAAGTAAACAGTCTCAAAAGCCACCTATACAAATATACTCTAATATTTGGAAAATCATGTCAGCCTTACATACTAAGTTTCAAGATTTAAAGTACTTAATGGTGTCAATTTTTTAGTCATGTTGCTACATAACAAAGTATGTAATAAAAAACAGAAAAAGGAGCAACTTACATCAATAAAGTTTGCATTGATATAATCTGATTTAGGCCTTCCAGGAAGAGTTTGTAATATAACTCTCGTATGGTCGACTGAAATATATCAATTTAGAAAATTAACTAAAACATATGTCAAATTAATTGTCATATTTGTTGAAGTTATGATCTTGTAACTTTTTATTTATTTTCTGCAAAATTAAAAGCTTGAATACATTTTAAGGATATACATAGATTAACATTTACCAATGGTTCAAGCTTGTGATACTGGCTTAATATAAGACAAAATTTTAAACATCTGTAATGGTAGAGTAAGAATGTTAACTTACATGCACTGATATTGACGTATCTATTTTTAGCTTTATTTTCAGGCAGATATGATGCATCGGCCATCAAGTCTGTTCTCGTACGACTAGAGATTTCCTCAAACTCCACGGAGAAACCATCATCACTATTGGCGTGCATGGAACGATTATGCTGCAGGAAATCTATCACTCTGATCTCATGATATTTTGTGTCTTCCTCTACAATGTACAATTATTTGTCTTAAAATATGCAAAAAGTTTGTCATCGTTTCAAAATATTTCCTAAACCTGGTGAATTTCTTACATGGACTAACCAAGTTTTCATTTTTGGCACTGTCAATTATCAATTTTTGGGATATCAAAATGAAAATTTCAAGTTGGTCAGCCAACAGTATAAAGCCAGTGACTTTTCTGTTTTTATAACAGACTCCAATAAAAGTGAAATTATCTTTAAAATCATGCAGTTTTCCCAAAAATCTTAACAACCTGCTTTTTTACTTCCCAAATTAGCAATTTTAGTGATATTTTTTCCCAAAATCAAGTGGCTAAGGCCTCTTCCAAATTAAGTTAGAAAAATCACTGAAAGCCTGTCAGACTGTAAGTATGTGTAGGCTGGTCTGGGTCTAGACTGATGATAAAGGCCAATTACTTTCTGTTCCAGCAGATTATGGGCAAAAAAACTACCTGATAAAACTTTGTGACATGTACAATATCTACATAAAATGTCATAGTTCATATTAAAGGGTTCCACATGACAAATGTCATCAATCACCAGGAATCCTAAGTTCTATTTTTTGCAACATTTTGTTTGAAGTTCTTGTTAAACATCAGTTCACATTTTTATGTTAATTTATGCTTTTCGACTCTCTGTGGAGCTACTTTAATTCTTCACATGTATTTATATGAAAGAAACAGCTGATATTACTATTGTGCCACATGTACTTAATGCTACAACAATAATATGAGCAATGCTCTCCTGGTGCATGTCACCCATTAAGTATCCTGTGTTGACAATAAATTAAAGTATATCACACACATGCAGGCTACGTATACTGATCTTAACAAATGTCTTTGTTATAACAGTAACATGGTCATCAATTGATTCAATCCATTGTTCAATATTCTGACTACAAAATAAAATATAAACAATTACAACTCTACGTACCTATTGGATCGGGAGGAAACACTACTGTACTTTGTGGAGACTGGGAATTAGTTGGTACAGCAAGGTAGTACAGGGATCTCGTATATTTCCTACATGTCATAGATCTACAACACAAATACAGACACATTGTAAATACATGTACTTCCAAAACATATGAATGAATATATACACATATAACTGACACCATTATCATTATCATTTTTTTTTTTAAATAGATTTTCTTTAAAAGTAGTGCATACTCAGCAGCAAAAATAAACTATGAAAGTGATGAGGAGTCAGTTAAGATATAATGGTAAAATTAACGTACCTATATCCAACAAAGAATAGAACAATAATAGATATGAAGATCAGCCCGACAACAATGCCGGCTATCATTCCTGCGTTCACCGTCTCTTCTTGTACAGCCTCCGTAACAACTGTTGGATCTGAAAATATATAAACTTGTGTCTAAATTCTTCCAATTAACCATCTTTTGTTTACATTAATTGACATGCTTGAATTTAACTATTTATGTTGTTCTTTTTTTTTCTTAGTTAGTATGATAAAACACGGAGACATGAACCAAAGTATAAAATAAATTAGTCTCCTCTTTCTTTATTACTAGTACTTAAATGTGTAAATGATAATTGTGTGATAAACTACATATTCTTAATTAATTAGTTTAACATTCTTTTTTAAAGCATATTACACATATGTGGTATAATATTAATGGAAGAATCATCAACATGCACAGTGAAGAGTAATTTTTAAAATATTTAATTATTTTGCTAAAACTGAATACTTTACACAGCGAGGCCCGGCAGACTGTGTAAAATTATCTAAATGCATATTAAGATTTCAGCTAAAGCATAATTACATTCCAGAATCAGCAGAACATTCATTTAGAAGATTGAGGAGATGAAAACATATCTCAAGAATATTGTCAAGATAAAAAAGCAGTTCACAAAGCAGAATTCAACCATTCCTATCTTCTTTATGATATTACCCAATCTGAGTTGATATCATAAACTTACAATAACTGCTTTTAAACCAATTCTAGTATGGACCTGGTGTGCTTTAAATTTGACACTGACCAATAGACCATACATATTTTTTAGATATTTCAATACCAACATAGAATATTCACATATATTCAGACCAGAGAACAATAATGTACAGGAATGATAGGCTCTGTAATTGTAACTTTTACTACCAGCTTGCTAATAATAAGTTAACAAATCAAACTATATTACCATCATTGACATAGATACAATACCGTATCTTTTTCAATTCCTGGATAAAGACAAGTTCAGTAGTAAACAATGAAAAGAGGATATGTTAAATATTATCTTAAGTAAAACTAAACCATATTCAATAATGACTCAGAGGAAGGAAATTTTTGCTACACAAATGTTTTTATAAATCATTAGTAATAATCATTTATAAAAAATAAATAAAATCACAGAAAATTGTAAAATAAAACTTGTTTGTCAAATAAAATATAATACACATTGGCTGATAAAATATGTGTTGCAATTTCTTGATTTTAAGAACAATGTTTCTAACAGCTGATAACATAATTACTGATTGTGACTACCGGTATATTATTAATTTCCTGACCTAACTTCACCACATTTTTTTACCATAACTTGACTTTATATGTGAATAATATAACTTGGCTTTACATACACTGCAGCCCAACCATGTGTCTGTTTACCTTATCTTGACCACATTTTTGTTTACCATAACTTGGCCATATATTTGTTTACCATAACTTTACCATGTATTTAAATAAATATTTTGACCATACATTTGTTTACCATAACTTTACCACATATTTGTTAAACATACATGGCAACATATTTGTTTTCCACGGCTGAACTGCTGTTGCCACGTTATGTTTAACAACATTTGTTGATCATAACTTGATCACATATTTGTTAAACATAACTTTACCCCATATTTGTTCACCATAACTTGACCATAGATTTATTTACCGTAGCTAGACTACATTTTTGTTTAACATAGACAACATATTAAGTACATTTTGTTACACAAACCTTCTAACTGGAATATAATCTCCTGTGAGAAATCTCCGATGTAGTAAGACATGGAGAATATACTCTGAGTGACTGCAGCTATAACCAGCTTATACTCCGTGTTTGTAGGTAAATCTTTTATCAATGTCTGAAAAAAACAAAATAAAATCAAAAAATAACATCAAGGTAGGTTTATTTTGATAAAGAAATGCTGCCATTTCCAGTAGCATATATTTATTTTCCCTGCACTATTATACTTAGGAAATTAAAACAGAAATGTATAATAGATTATCACTAGTTGGATATAATCTTAAAATAAACCATTTAAAAAGCCGAGAGCTGTCAGACAGACAGTGAGCTTCTCTATTCCTAATGCTTAGTTGTTCACAAACCAGATTAATTCAACGAAAATCAATGTTAGATTTATGGGATTTTTACCATTGATACACAATGCTGAACCTGAAGATGTGTGACATTTTTATTCAATATCACCTTTAGTGTAATAATTATATATGAATCTCATGACAAAACCAACAAAGTGCATTTGTGACCAGCCTGGATCCAGATCAGACTGCCCATCCGCCCAGTCTGATCAGGATCCATGCTGTTCGCTTACCAACCCTATTACAACAAAGAAACAGATAGCAAACAGCATGGATCCTGATCAGACTGCGCGGATGCGCACGCTGAACTGGATCCATGCTGTTTGCAAACACACTATGTTGGTTTTGTAATGATGCAGCTCATATGACGTTGTACCAAGAGTTATGCCAATACAGAGATAAGAAGATTAGCCCAATGCTCTGTGGATAGTCAAGCTAAAAAGTCTGCCATTATATGTTTTAGCCATTTATTTTAAGGAAATAACAAGCGAAAGTTTGGTTGTATATTAAAAATCTTTAAAAACATGTATGAATACCATGTACATAACAAAACAGTGCCAAATCCATTAAATCTTATAAATTCCTGGCATTTATTTCTAGGATACTTTTGATATGAAATCTAATAAAAAACCAAATCAACAAAAACAAACATCTACAAATAAACATTAACCAGATAATACCAGCTCTGTTAGAGTAGATAGTCTCTTAAATAAAACCTTTTAACAAACAAAGCAATCTATTTGAAGCTAATGGTATTTAAAATTGTCCACAGATAAACTTAATAGAACAAACAATTATGGAAAAATAGTTATTGCCCTTGAATTATTCAAATTTGAAATACCATTAGAAAATAAATGTTCACAATCACAAGATTTTTTTACAAACAGGGGATATCCTATTTCATTAAGTACCAAATATATAAATAATAATATAGAATTCATAGATAAATGATTGAAAACAAGTGTGTAGTAAAACCACAAATTTAGTCAGATTATTTATCAAAATGAATTATTTTACACAATTATTCCTTTACCCTGAGAAATTGTTATGATATTTTTTAGTTTTGCTTGTAATGAAAGGATTTCAACATCAATTTATTAAAATTAATCAGCCAACAGTATATTGCCTAGTTTACCTGTACAGTAAATCTGGTCGGGTAGACTCTATACTGCTGCAATAGGCAAGTACTTTTAACCTTGTATATTCAAAGAAGTAAAATGAATTGTAAAATCAGTTTATTTTTACTTTTCAATGACAACATTAACATTTTCTTTTCAAATTTCTGTTAACTTTTAAATATCTCCTCATTGGCTTGATGTTTAAAGAAAACATCCATACCTTTCTAATTGGGAAATGTTTTTTATTTGATAAACTTCACACAATATTAAAGTTAAGTTCTACATATTGTCACTGCTTTTAATACAAATTTAACTTATAATTTACTCAAAAATGAGAACAATTTAACATTATTCTTGCTTTAAATTTAGATATAAATCAATAATAACAGTCAAACCTGTGTTAAGACAATCTCTTTCGAACCATGTATAGACAAACCTGTACTTGTAGCAATCATAATATTTCCAATTCCTGTAGTTTTATTGCAAATCAACTTATTGTTTTTAAGGACAACTCAACAAAAAGACTGATTTTTCAATTTACTAATGTTGGCACATTATTTCCATTTTTTTTACACTGGCATATAAACACAGGTCTGACTGTATCTCTAATTATTCAAATCCTTTAACAGTTTAATATCTTTTTTTAACTTTAGTGTATGTGTTTTTATTCATTGGTTTGTTTGCAACTACTGATCTTAAATCAGTGGCCTTGCCCACTCAATCAATGATGGCCTTTGTATCCTTTATGATATCAGTGCATATTTTAAATTTCTGTATCATGAAAACATTTAAAAGAACTCAGGTGATTAAAAAATATCTAAAATGAACATTCCTACCATCTTTGGTATTCAGTATTTAAAAAGACTATGGTTAACTTTTTTTTAGTTTTTAGCCTCAAAGCTAATTTTGTTACTACATGGAAAGCAAAATAAAAGCTTGTAAGAAGGGGGTGGGGTATCATTTAGTTATGAATCTTAGATTTATTAGAAAAAATCCATGTAATTATTATCAGTGAAGAAGGGAAGGTTGTTTTCAGAGAATGTTAGATCTAGGTCACACACAAATTTCCATGTCAGTTAAAGCACAACTAAGGTTTTCAATAAACACAAAAAGGCCCATTTTTTAATGATTAGAAAGAATAGAAATACTAAGTACCGTTCTTTTCACACATAAGCTACCCTCCTGTAAACATGATATATAATAACAGTTTAAATACTACTATACCTAGTACTATAAATACAATTAGAGGATTCAAATAAACACTAACATAACTTGTCATATAGTTACTACAAAACCTCTTGATAACTTATTCCCTTGGAAAGCTACAGGTTAAACATATAATTATATACATGGTTATATTGTTTAGAGGTTACACTAAAAGTTTAGCACCATGAAAAAGATATGTCAAAATGTTGTTCTTAAAATCCTGGAAGACAGCTTCTGTGACAGAGATTTTCAGATTAAGAGACTATGCAAATTTGCATAAATTCTCCCTCATTGTCCCTCAAGGTACAGGATAAATGGTTTGCAAGCAAAATTCAAACACTTTGTCATGCGGGTCCGAAAAACTCCATGCTGCATGTATATGAGTATATACTATTTTCATACTGAAAAGGGTTGTACATTGTATGTGTCAATAGCTTTTACAATTATGGTAAACAGTTATTGCATTACAATAAGTCTTTATAATTAATATTGTAACCACACAAGATATTACACTTGTATTCCATGCATTTTTTATCTTTGCTTTGAGTTTGACCTTTCACATGCTGGTGAGTGAATCTATCCATGCAACTAGTGCAGACCAAGATCAGCCAGCAAGTCCGTGCCATCTAATCTTGGTCTGTACTGTTTGCTATTCTGTCAGTATATATTTTTGAAATGTTCCCTTAAAGAAATGATCAGTTTTGTCCAGATTGAAAGATCCCGATAGACAACTCTACTAAACATATCTAGTGTTAAAGGATTAAGTAACACTAGTACTTATATTTTTGACAACTTTTCAGCTTGTACTGGTGGAGGAAGACATCAGTTGCACCTCTATATATTATTTCAGGCACAAGAAGGCACCTAGCTAGAACCATCAATTTTCTCTAAGCTAACTTGCTATCTTTCTTACATGAGAAAATGAAATGTTCAAACAATGATAGTTGTGTCTTAAAAGTCAAAAGACTCATAACACACAGCCATCAACGCTATTGAAAGTTTGAGTACATCTTTCCCAACAGTGGTTTTTACCATACATGTACCAGAACCTGTTTAAGGTATTAAACATTATTTTATCAAGCTCTAATTATAAACATATCATTTCAAACATGATCTCTCAAATAAAGTATTTTCAACAGCATAATATTAAACAAGACAAAAACAGGATTTGACACCATTTTGCTCTAAATGTAGCTAAACAGACATCAGAGATAAAATTTTGGTTCAATAAACTGACCTATCCTGAAGAAAAATCATTACAAATTCATTAAACAAGAGCTGTCCGTAAGACAGCGCGCTCGACTTTTTTATTGCTTGCCAATAAAAAAAGTTTTTGCAGTAAAAGGCAATACAAGAATCTCTGTATTTTTAAAGTGAACAATGGCCATGAGCATTAAGATATTTAGTGAAGAATTATTTTACTGAATTGTGTGATACCCTTGAACACTGCAGCAAAGTTTGAAATGTTTAAGTCAAAAGAGGGCTGGTAAGAAAGAAAAAAAAACTGAGTTGAGCCTTAAATAAATTTAATTCAAATAAAATCTTTGACAGAATTACCTTCTCCTGGACATGTTTGGGAATCATGATTGTAAACAAGTATTCCAACTTTCAAATTAATATCTCAAACAGTTCAGTCAAAAAGTGGACTGGTACTAAAAACTTAACCAAGATTCTAAGTCGATAAAAGGCCTTAATTTTTAAAACAAATCCTTGACAGAGTTACCTTCTCTTGCGTACAGATGGGGGTAATGATGTGAAATAGCATTAAAAGTTTCAAAGCAATATCTCAAAGGGTTAAGGCAATAAGTGGATTTTACCCATATTCAATGTATTTTCTAAGTCAAAAAGGGGCATAATTCTGTCAAAAACCTTGACAGAGTTATGTCCTCTTGTCTGTTGATGAAGGTCGTGATGGTAAACAAGTATGGTCAGTTTCAAAGCAATACCTCCAATGGTTTTGAAATAAAGTGAGGTGGTACAAAAAACTTAACCAAGCTCAATACACTTTCTAAGTCAAAAAAGGGCCATAATTCTGTCAAAAACCTTGACAGAGTTTATGTACTCTTGTCTGTAGATGGAGGTTATGATGGTGAACAAGTATGGTAAGTTTCAAAGCCATACTTGTAATACTTCTGAAATAAAGTGGGGTGGTACGAAAAACTTAACCAAGGTGTGACGCCAACGCCGACGCCGACGCCGGGGCGAGTAGGATAGCTCCCCTTTTCATAGAAAAGTCGAGCTAAAAAGTACATTAAAAGTAAAATTTAAGAGTTAAACTTCAACAACAAACCTTGTGATCTGAGCCAGAAACCATCTGGTCATCTCTCCACTGGTCCCCACTTGTTGCTATATACCGTATGAAATACGAGTCAATCTTTTTATAGAACGTAGTCGGGGGTAACCACTGTACATATATCGCTGTTGATGACACCACTGATACATTCAGTATAAATGGAGCGCTGGGTTCTGAAATATAAGTACAGTGTTTAACACTAAAGTTTCTTGGTATTGAAAACTTCAGATTTTAAACCAGTATTTTTAAGAACGGTAAAAACCTTGTTAGTAGTAACCTTTTTCGTCATATACACAACCCAACAAACCAATCAGCAGAGAAATAATATATTTAATGAAATTATATAGAAAAGCATATCATCAGACTTACTATTAAAAAAAACAAAACAAAAAAAACAACAACATTAAATTTATTTTGCTTACATTATAACATTGTTTTGCATGTAATAATTCTATACAGAAAATTTCTGGCTTTATTGGTGTAAGAAGATCTCAAGTGCCTTGAGGTGCATTGTTTCATGTACTAGCAAGTACAATAGTAGAGCCTGTCATAAAACACAATGTATCTAGATAGCCTCCTCACATAAAAAATATCTACATTACTAAATTTACTCCTAACTCATAGTATTGAATGCAAATGATCAGGAGTTAAACACACCAACCACTTAGTATGACATTATAAAATTTGGCAGTATTATATGAGTATGTGATACAATATTATTATAAATGAATCAACTTACTATCAACATCTGTTAGGGCGGGGTAGAAATCACTGTAGTCACTGTAACCACCCCCTGTTTCTGCTCTGACTCGTAACTGATACTCTGTGTAAGGCCCTGAAAAAAAACCATTTCTCTTCATTTTTTGGGGGAAAATGACAAAATAAAACTGAAAAATCAAAAATTAAATTTCATTTCAAATGCTATATCAAAATAATGTATGAATGCTTTTTTCTTATCTTTAAATAGCCTAAAGCTTATAAAAGGATGTAGTCCCATAATGCCTTAAAATCCAAAAAATATAATTAATCTTGTTTATTATTAATTATATATGCCCTTAAACATTCTGTTTCAACATAAATCATCTCAGTAAAGAATTGGTAATACCAAAACCACAACTTAACATCTTGTATGGTATGCATAAATGTCGGTTTTTATGAGACCACCTTGTAGTTAAATTGACAAAGAAGATGAAATACAAATCATATTAAAAACCAATGGCCTTGTTTTTTTTTGTTTTTTTTCGCTTCAGGTCCACATATGCGGAACCCCATTTATTAATACATAACCATGCAAATACAAATCATACAATAAATCTTTAAACATTTTCTAAGATCAAAAAAGGAGACATAAGATTAAACAAAAGGTGACATAAGATTTTCACACAACCTTTATAGTATAAATTTTGAAGTTGATGAGAGAATATAACAAGAGCTGTCAGAAGGACAGCGCGCTCGACTTTTTTAGTGCTTGCCTATAAAACAAAACTTTGACAGTTAAGGGCACACAAGACTTTAACTAGGAATTTCTAAGTACAAATCAAGAAACATTTTCACAGAGTTATCTTCTCTTGCTTACAGATAGGTCTCATGATGGCACATAAGAACTCCAACTTCCAAAGTAATATCTCAAATGGTTAGGTCAACAAGTGGACAAGAATGAAAATTTTAACTGAGTTTCTAAGTTCAAAAAGGGCCATAATTCAAATAAAATCCTTAACAGAATTACCTTCTCCTGCCCATGTTTGGGACCATGATGGTAAACAAGTATTCCAACTTTCAATTTAATATCTCAACCAGTTCAGTCAAAAAGTTGACTGGTACAAAAACTTAACCAAGATTCTAAGTCGATAAAAGGCCTTAATTTTTTAAAACAAATCCCTGACAGAGTTACCTTCTCTTGCGTACAGATGGGGGTAATGATGTGAAATAGCATTAAAAGTTTCAAAGCAATATCTCAAAGGGTTAAGGCAATAAGTGGATTTTACCCATATTCAATGTATTTTCTAAGTCAAAAAGGGGCATAATTCTGTCAAAAACCTTGACAGAGTTATGTCCTCTTGTCTGTTGATGAAGGTCGTGATGGTAAACAAGTATGGTCAGTTTCAAAGCAATACTCCAATGGTTTTGAAATAAAGTGAGGTGGTACAAAAAACTTAACCAAGCTCAATACACTTTCTAAGTCAAAAAAGGGCCATAATTCTGTCAAAAACCTTGACAGAGTTATGTACTCTTGTCTGTAGATGGAGGTTATGATGGTGAACAAGTATGGTAAGTTTCAAAGCCATACTTGTAATACTTCTGAAATAAAGTGGGGTGGTACGAAAAACTTAACCAAGGTGTGACGCCAACGCTAACGCTAACGCCGACGCCGGGGCGAGTAGGATAGCTCCCCTTTTCATAGAAAAGTCGAGCTAAAAAGAACATTAGAAGAAAATAATGGTTTATAATAACATTATATAATAATTATGAACAGATGGTTATTGAGATGATTTTACTTTTTTACTTTCATTTATATACAGTTTATTTTTTTTTTATTTTTATCCTGTCCTCCAACTTAACATCTTGTATGGTATGCATAAATGTCGGTTTTTATGAGACCACCTTGTAGTTAAATTGACAAAGAAGATGAAATACAAATCATATTAAAAACCAATGGCCTTGTTGGTAATGTGTTCTTTCAACCCAGAGACCAAGGGTTGCAGTCCTAATGTGGGTCCATGACACAGCTTTCTCATGATACACTAGTACTGGAAGTGGACACAAGTTCCAGGAAATGAACTTCAATATATTCAATAAAACCTTCAAGCCTTTACACAATTAATTTTCAAATAAATAATGTTTAAACATCAGTGATATAGAGCTTACTTAATCCAGTGATGTGAGCCGACATTGGCTGTGTAAGATGTCCAGTAATTATGCGTGTTTTAAAGGTGTTATTGTGTATCCACTGTAGCTGGTAGTTCTTCAATATACCATTTTCTATCACTGGTGCCTCCCAATTCACCACAAATGATGTTGACTTCATCTCTGATAGATGAGTTATACGAGGCTTCTCCGGAACTGTATAATGCAATAATTTGTTTATATGTTTCACAAATGATGATATTAATATGTGTAACTGTAATTTGTTTTTTATTGCAATGCTAAGAAATCATTTAATAAATCTCACATGTACATATATATATATTTATATACAATAAATGTTGACATTAACATGAAAATTGTTGCATTTGCTATTATTTCTATATTTATGAACAATTTTCTGAATCTTGACCAAGCCAAAACTGTATAATAAACTTGCCTCGCTTCAGCTTACTTTGGTACTATTATATTGTTAGTTTAAGGGGATACAGAAACAAGAGCTGTCAGAAGGACAGCGCGCTCGACTTTTTTAGTGCTTGCCTATAAAACAAAACTTTGACAGTTAAGGGCACACAAGACTTTAACTAGGAATTTCTAAGTACAAATCAAGAAACATTTTCACAGAGTTATCTTCTCTTGCTTACAGATAGGTCTCATGATGGCACATAAGAACTCCAACTTCCAAAGTAATATCTCAAATGGTTAAGTCAACAAGTGGACAAGAATGAAAATCTTAACTGAGTTTCTAAGTCAAAAAGGGCCATAATTCAAATAAAATCCTTAACAGAATTACCTCCTCCTGCCCATGTTTTGGGACCATGATGGTAAACAAGTATTCCAACTTTCAAATTAATATCTCAAACAGTTCAGTCAAAAAAGTGGACTGGTACTAAAAACTTAACCAAGATTCTAAGTCGATAAAAGGCCTTAATTTTTAAAACAAATCCTTGACAGAGTTACCTTCTCTTGCGTACAGATGGGGGTAATGATGTGAAATAGCATTAAAAGTTTCAAAGCAATATCTCAAAGGGTTAAGGCAATAAGTGGATTTTACCCATATTCAATGTATTTTCTAAGTCAAAAGGGGCATAATTCTGTCAAAACCTTGACAGAGTTATGTCCTCTTGTCTGTTGATGAAGGTCGTGATGGTAAACAAGTATGGTCAGTTTCAAAGCAATACCTCCAATGGTTTTGAAATAAAGTGAGGTGGTACAAAAAACTTAACCAAGCTCAATACACTTTCTAAGTCAAAAAAAGGGCCATAATTCTGTCAAAAACCTTGACAGAGTTATGTACTCTTGTCTGTAGATGGAGGTTATGATGGTGAACAAGTATGGTAAGTTTCAAAGCCATACTTGTAATACTTCTGAAATAAAGTGGGGTGGTACGAAAAACTTAACCAAGGTGTGACGCCAACGCTAACGCCGACGCCGACGCCGACGCCGGGGCGAGTAGGATAGCTCCCCTTTTCATAGAAAAGTCGAGCTAAAAAATGATTTAATTATGCAGACAACATATATAGGATAACTGTGTAATGATGTTTGGTTGCTTGGCTTGGGTCTATACTGGTGACATTTGCTTGTTGTAAATGTTAATTTGAGTAGAGAAATTATACTGACCTCCTTCTATTGTTTTAACAAATGTTGTTGCGACTGGCCCTTTGCCAACATCATTGAAGAAGTTAACAGACACTGAGTAATTTGTGAATGGTTTTAGATTTTCTATCAATACCTCCTGAAATAACAATAACACTACTTGTACCAGGTTTATTATTAACATTATCATAGTCTAAAGCTACAACAGCATTATTTCAAATTTATTCTGGGAGTTACCCATTCATTATCAAAGGAAAAGCGAATAAGAGAAATGGTTATAACCATGATTTTAAGTGTCCTGTCTTTTGTATTATTTCAAACAAAATATAGTTTGCTTAAAGCCCTGAATGTAAATTTTTTTTAAATACCCAAGTTTTTTTTTTCTTTATTTGCATACAATTTGACAAATTACCATTTTATTTCAAAATGTAGTAAGGAAAGTTTTCGAAATTAACAATTCAAATTGAAAATGTCTTTCCATAATCAGGCCACCTGCCAATACTCATAATACATAACATTACATAATAGATATCATATAACAGTATTGTACATAAAATACATATCATATTTCACTGACAAAAACACAGTGTTTCACAAAATACTAGAAAATTAATCTTTTAATCAGTTTGGCATACTGTAACGTATATCTAGTTTGTATGAACTAACCTTTCTGTTAGGATCCTCTATAACAAAAGCTAGTTTCTCTTCAATACCAACTTGTTTATACTCGACATCGTACCCTCCGTCCTCCCCATTCCTCGCATCTTCAGGTAACGGGGTCCATCTCAACAGTATCTTTGTACTGTTTGGACTTATGGCAACTAAATTTTTAGGAGCTTCCTCCGGCTCTATAATAATCATTCATCCAAAAAAATATATGAGCCGCGTCATGACAAAACCAACATAATGGGTATGCGGCCAGCATGGATTCAGACCAGCCTGCGCATCCGCGCAGTCTGATCAGGATCCATCCTGTTCGCTTACCAACCCTATTACAAGTAGAGAAACTGATAGCAAACAGCATGGATCCTGATCAGACTGCGCCGATGCGCAGGCTGGTCTGGATCCATGCTGGTCGCAAACCCTTTGTGTTGGTTTTGTCATGACACGGCTCATATATACAGTCAAACTAACATTGCTTCTAGGTGAATAGTAAGTTTAAAATAACCAAAACTATCTTATCAACAAAAACCACATCTTAACTTACAATCCTTGTATTTCATACTTCAAACCTGAATGTATTTTTTATTTGACTCCCATTGTTTCATTTAATTAGAAACCATTGGTTTTTTAGTGTAATTCGTTGATTTTATTGTTGTTGTTGTTTTTTTAAGGCAACATTGAGACATAAAAAATTCACTGACGAAATAAGATCAGAATGTGGTTGAAAATACAGCTTGTAATAAACTTTCCTTGCAACACTCAAAGGTTAGAACCCAGTGGTTAATATAATTACACCAACTCTGTAATAGATGGCCATACATGCTAGTACATTTTGAATAAAATTTTGGAGAAAAACATTGAATTCATATAAAATTATGTCATAAGTTATGCTGTAAAACTTTTTCTTCATACCTTTTTAATTACATTTTTTTAACAACAAAATAAATTAGCTGATATGAAATACAAAAACAAAACATATTTATATGCATAATATTGCGAAATATTTTAAAACTAATATTACTTTAATCAATTATAAGATTGTAAAGAAACAGTTTAAGATTTGAATTATTTAACTTGGATTCAAATAACTTATGTTGTCTTGGTTAATGAGAGGGCAATGTTTCAGCAGGGAGGGATACAAGAAACTCCTATACTGATATCAATCTTCTTGTTACCTTCTTAACATGAGAATTCATTGTATCAAAAATGAATTTAAACACACTGTCAAATTATGCATTAATGTCAAATGTCAAAATGACCTTCACATTAAATGGTCTAAAACCTCCTGAGTAATAACCAACTTGCTACTTTGATATCTGAATATACTGTATGGCTATACGTTTTCTAATTAGATTTATACAGTCATAAATTCTTATTTCTAATTACACATTCTGTTAATAATTGTCTTTCTACTGCATTAAAATAAAGCCATCAATTAAATATGTTAGAAGTTAATCTATTTATAATTAAATTGACAAGAGAAGGAAATATGGATTGAATTTGATGTAGATTTCAATTCAGACAAAAAAAAGAGAATATACATGCTTGCAAGGTTGATTAGAATAGGAATTTTGAAACAATGTCGCAATTTGTAGTAATAATGCACTGTAAAGCCTAACTTGGGAAAGAGGTTCTTTATAAAATAATTGAAAAAGAAATGCTGTGTGCACAACATTTAGGAAGACAGCGTACAGGATTCCTGAAGGAGATGACAAGGTGGTTCAAGCAGATTTTTGTTTTGTAAATTTTGAAAAAAAATAATTAAAAATTCAGAAATCATAGTCTTGCGCAAAAGTAAAAAGATAATTAGTAATTCATTCTAAAATTGCGAGAGCACAACTGACTGGTGGTAGTATTTAAGAGATCCCTTTTAACCATTTTTCTCCTCCGTTGTGGGTATTTTACAGCTGTAATATTCCAATAAAAAGATCAGTTCCTACAAGGATTTTGTAATTTTAATCTAAAAATACATGAAAAATTATACTCAACAATTCAAAGAATATTGCAATATTGATTTCTAATATAACTTTAAACCTAAATGGCAAAAGCAGTCAAACAACTTTCAAGAAATGTTAAAATTCCGAGAATTTCCTTATATAAATGTAATAATTACCTCTGCTCTTTATATAAGGAAGTGTAGAATCCCTAATAATTTCTATATTAGTAACTTATGTATTATGCACAGTAAAATTACCAAGAAAACAGAGGGGAAAAATAGACTCACCTGCAGGATATGTCATAAATATCTGACTTTCACTGCTGGGTTCCGAGTTCCCGAGGGCATTCTTTGCTATGACCCTGATCTGGTACCCCTGATTTGGTATCAGACCACGTACAATAATGTTGGTTGTATTCTTGTCCACCAACAATGCCCGACTCTTTGTCCAGTCTTCATCACTTATTCTAAATAATAACAAATACTCATATTCACAAACTTCAACTTGTCAAAAAATTACCAATATGTGACAATTTTATATATACAATTTTATACGCTTCTTGATTCTAGTGGACATTGTATATACACCTAAGGGAAGTCACTCTGCATAAGTTTCTGCACATAACCGAGACAGGAATTTCAATGACAGATTTATCAAAGTAATTAAAAAGAGTGCTTCTATTAGATCTTATATCTTAATATAAGATTAAAATATATCAAAATCAAAAACAACAATAATGGAAGCTGTTGCTTATCTTTAAATATCACTTAAACGGTTCTTTATCCTTACTACTTTTATTAAAGTTACATAACGAGTGTTACTTACTTTTTCACATTGATGATATAATTAAGTATGGGGCTATTGTTATCTTTGAGACTTTTCTCCCAGGAGACGATGGCTTCCCGGGACTCGATACTACTGACTGTCGGCATACCAGGTGGGGTTGGCACATCTGTAATACACATTAAGCTAAAAGGTCAATATCTCTTTTTATAAATAATCGTACCAATGACCTTAACACAATGAACATTTTATTCATTCAAGTATAAAAACCTAGAGCATTTCTCTTATATGTCCTTATAAGATAATATAGTAACTTTACTAAATAGTCAATTTGAATGATTTATCAATCATACATTTCTAATTCCTATATAGTATTACACAAAAACTAACTAGATTTCTTCCTGACAAAAGATATATAAGTAAAATAAGGTAACATGTTGTCTTAAAATATTTCATATTCATCACTTCATTATTTTTCTTACATACTCCTTGTTTTTCAAAACATCTGTAGGTTCACATCATATCAAATTCTAAATTCATAATCTGATTACAAGATACTATATTAATCAATTCAAATTATAATGTAATAAATGTTTCATTACATACTTATTACCAGATATTACAAAATTAAGCATATTCTTACATATTATTGAATGGTACACTTAAAATTTGTTCGAAACAAATCTTTTCCTGTTCTCCTGCCCCTTGTTGTTTCATTATCAAAGTGACCATGCAATTTTAGAGTTACGACAAAAGTGGATTAAAAATGTCATGAAAAACCCATGCTATCTATATAACATGCAATTAAAATGGACAACTTCATTTTTAGCATCAAAATAATTGAATCATAACTAAAATTCTAACTGATAAGTAAACAAGTAAAAAAATTTGTAATGGAGATGAGATGACTGTATGAATGATAAACAAATGAAAAGGAAAAAAAAAGTGACAAACAAACCAGATATTGTAAAAAATATTGTCTTACTGGTGACTTTTCAACATAATGTTGATGAACACTGAATTATACAACTCAAAATTTATCAATTGTCATTATTTTTATTTTTCACAATTTTAACATGATGTTTTTCTTTATTATTTTGAAAACACCGCAAATAGCCTTGGAAACTGGGACAAACATTATTTTTAGTTTTTGTTCTGAATTCATTTTAAAAAGATTAAAGCTGTTCACTTTTTGTATACAATAATTACAAACTTTTCAAATTTTGAGTGGTAAATTACCAGTAAATAAGGAACCAAGACAACTAATATTGCTGAGATACTTTTTCAAATATGTTATAGAAAACAGAAATAAAAGTAAATATTATAGAACTCAGAAATAAATGAAGGGAAAACAAATGTGAAGAGTAGACAATTGTAAAGCAAGTTTTTGTTAAAATGTAACTAAGGAATACAGTGTATAAAAGACAACAAATGTCTATGTTACACACTAAAACAACACGTAAAATCTTACACATTCAACAACAACAACAACTACAATGGTAGAACAGTTTTTAAAGAATAATAGTAGAACACTATTTCATTACAGTTTAGGCAGATTACTAATTTCACTAGTAAGGTATAGCTAGAAAAACACAGGTTAACATCTAAATTCTTCCCACATAAATTTTACCATATATATATAATTATTCCTAAATATTTAGAAATAGTAACACTAAAGGAACAGTGAAATAATCACATCAAATGTCAATTACTCAAGATTTATTTTCAATTTTGCTGCCAAACATAGAAGTTTCATAAGTAAATGCTTAAATTTGAGTCAAATATGATTCTCTTTACTACTTTCGTTCTATAATGAGTATTGTGACTTTACAGTATAAACCTACCTGTTTACCTATTTGTTTGTCTGGGTATCATGTGTTAAAATTGGATAAAAAAGAACAACAGAAAAACCAACAAACAAGTCTCTTTCTCTGAAAGTAATCACCTACTAATCCAATATGATTTCTGAATCAGCGGTGACAGACAAATAACCATGAGACTCTGTCACTCAATGTTGAATATCAACTGTAACAGAGATGTTTCGTCTAGCTTTAGGACTGAACCAGCTACCTATGAGGAACCAAGTTGCTGCTCAGCCTATTGAGCTTACTGGCAGGCAGAAAATATTATGAAAATTTCTCAAAAAAAATTATAAAATGTTTTTGCCCAGATTTAATGATGGGCTATTACATTAAAGGGATTTAGTGTGGTTAGAGTTAATTCATACACAAAGAATTACTTGACTGTAGAAATAACATTACAAGATACATATACTCTACTGTGATTATCCTAAACAGGAAACTAAAAGTTAACCACTTGTACAATATGAAAAGACACAATCAATACAAAAATCAGGAAATATGTTAGTATGACATTAATAATAAGAAAATGTTTTGAGTATATGAATGGAAAAAATAGCTACAACAAAACAATGGAAGAAAAATAACGATGAGTGATTGCAGTTTTTATAATAAATACATGTATGACTGATTATTAAGTCTACTGTACATAAAAAAATGAATATAATTATTATCTAGAAGTACAATGGGATTTCATGATACAAAGTTTCACAATAAATTTTTTTTTAAATGATGATAGTACATGGGAATGTGGGAAAATACATGTAATTATTAACTATCTTCTGAAATATATAACATTTATGAGCTAGATAAATTTGCAATAAATATACAATGTTTATATACACATGCTGTTATCTTGTCTTGCATATCTATTATCTAACATGCCAAATTAAAGTGACATGTTCACAAGCAGATGAAATTTCGGGCAATCACCCTTAAATGTCTGAAAATATTGAGTGCTGACTACACTAGAAATTTTTTGTTTGTTGGTTTGGGTTTTACGTCACACCAACACAGTATAGGTATTATGGTGACTTTCCAGCTTTATTAGTAGAGGAAGACCTCAGGCACCCTCCCATGTATTATTAGGGGCATGAACAGGTGCCTGAGTAGAACCACTGACGTTCTGTAAGCTAGCTGGATAGCTTCCTCACATGAAGAATCCGAAATCTCTGTCGGGATTCAAACCCAAAGCGTTGAGGGGCAAATGGTTTGAAGTCAACAACCTTAACCATTCCGCCACATAGATAAAGCTACAGAATAGTTTTGTTCTGAGTACTGCCTTTATTCATTACTCTTAATTAAATAGCAATAAACTAAAACAAAGGAAATTTATTAAAGTTTGAAAGTATACTGATGATATTTTCATATGTCTCTCCCTATCTGCATAGACCTTGTCTTAAACTTAACAAATGAGCCGCGTCACGACAAAACCAACATAATGGGTTTGCGACCAGCATGGATCCACACCGGCCTGCACATCCATGCAGTCTGATCAGGATCCATGCTGTTTGCTATCGGTTTCTCTACTTGTTATACGGTTTGTAAGCAAACATCATGGATCCTGATCAGACTGCGCGGATGCTCAAATGTTGGCACTGCAGTAGATAATCATTTTTCAAGTCATGATTTCATCTGAACAGTGAGAACAGGTCACTTTAAGAACTTTATTAAATATTCAATACATTAGTAAACAATCCAATCACATCTTTTACACTAACATCATTTCATATATATTAAAAAAAACAAACAATAACAACAGGTCAACTTTCAAGATGGCATTGAAATAAAATTGAACATTTTTTTATGTGTGGAAAACTGAAGGCTTTAAAAAGATAAAAAGATATTATCCTGAAAATGTAAACTCATAAAAAAGCTACTGACTTTGCTTGATGAAATATATTATGTGTATTACATACTTCATACATAAATTTGTAAGTGAATTGATTTGAGCAATTATGACAATTGACAAGACTTCACGAATCAACAATGAAGAATTAGTTGAATGTGACCACAGATTACAGTATTTTAGTCCTCCCTGACCCACATACAAACAAAATCTCTGACCTTTTACTAAACCACATTAAAAGCTAAATTTCTTGTTTCCATTAAAGACAACTCTTTAGGGTGAACAGTCTTATCACAGTAATGAATTTCTTTATAACTTAAAATATTGAGACAATTAAATGCTTAACAAAAATGTTAACTTAAATTAAAATTTTAAGTATAATACTACAGGACCTTTATGCAATGGCATACTCACAAACAGTAAAACAACATTATCATTTATCCTAAAGGAAAAAGGAGTCATTTTACTTTGAGAAAATCCTAACCTAGTCAAATGATTTTTAGTACTGTACCATACATGGTCTTGTTAACAGTTTATCTCTCATTTCATTTTGTTTGGTTTTTTCCATGCACCAACACAATTTAGGTCATAAAGCGCCAAAAAAAAAGAGATGATTTAACCTTTGGTGTTACTAACTCAAAACAAAGCCAGTGGTCAAAACCAACTCACCTGCTGGAGCTTAGAGATGCATAGAAACAGCAATTTTTGACCCATTTTTCTTGCCTCTTTCTATCACGTAGGGATAAATGATGCCTGCAATTCTGATACCTTAACCCATAAAGCAACCCCTCAGTCACAAGGGTTGGGTCATTTATATTGGGTCACCTAGCAGTTAGCATGGTAGTCTGGTCAGATTGCATAGACACATATATGTTTGCTTTTACATGCAGCATAGACATGTTATTTATTATTATTATATATATGAACAATATTCAAAACAACCCCTGCAGAGCAAAATTCTTCTGGTGACTATCATTTTATTTGTTGTTGAGAGGTGATGAGAGGTTAAATCTCTATCTTAGGAAGAAATGATACTGTTGTTTTAAAAGATTATTGCTATACAAAGGACTGTTTTGCCGAGGTGGTGCTGTGGTCCAAAGAGTTGTCTTGAATGGAAACATTTAAATTAATAACATGGAAAATCAAAATACAGAACCTGGTAAAAAATACTTCAAATATTCTGGAACCATCCATGACTTATATGAACTAACTGTAAATTTCAGAAATGATTGTGAAGAATGAGTAATTTTTATGATAAACATTTGTGACATGATTTTAATAATTGCCAGCTTATCTTCTGTTGTTTTGTTTTATTTTGAACTAGTTTTATTTCATTTATCAAATATACAGAATTACTGAATATCAATTTTTCATCTGCCTTAAAAAAAACAATTTACCCTGACGTTCAATCATAAAATTTTATATCAATATGTCGTTTACGTTATTCTGCCTCAGTTACACTATAAGTAACACTAGAAAGGTGACATATGAATTTTCAAGAATTTAAGTGTGATCTGAAAAACTACAAATAAAATCATTCAAGATAACCTGGCATACATTGTAAAAAAACTGTCTCATTATAACCTCAACCAATAACCATCTTCTAATCTCCTTCTAAACTGTCTTCTAAACTCTAACAACTTCTGTAAATCTTCTGTTTTATTCTTGGTTACACAAAAACTAAATAAACCTTTTCCATAGTAATGTTAGTCTGCTTCCATAGAAACCAAAAAAAACATTATTGTATAGACAAATCCATTTTCTCATTACCTACAGGAAGTTATTTTGAGATTGTTTGTTTAATGAATTTATCAACAATAGCAGCCACCAATGTTTCAAAGTAAAAAGATTTCAAGTAAAAAAATCTGTTCCCAGAACAGAAATTCAAGTAAAAATGTATGAAATGATCCCTTGGGTAACTGACATGTTAGAAATATTCAGTAAGGTTTCTCTAATGTATATAATTGCATCATCCACCTTAAAATTGCACAGATTTTATATTTACATGAATATAGAAACATATTTAACATTGCTGATTTCCCTCTTTGTAACCATATGAGCTACATAAACTCAATTCTTATTTGTCCCTTCATTATACTTAAGTTAGCTGTTAATATCAACATTCAAAATTTTCTTGTAACCTATCAAGGCAGTTCATTCATCAAAAGCTTGTAAAAATATGCCAAACTTTATCACTTTCCTTGTTATCACAATCAAGTTTCACATCATATTAACCAGTCTATTTTCTGTACTGGCAAGAAAGATACAAGTTAAAATATATAGTCTCCCAAGAAAGGTACAGTGAGCTGATGTAAAATGTGCTTGTACTCACAAGACAGGGTACATATTAAATTGTATAGGCTTGCAAGACAGGGTACAGTGATTTCGTTTATAAACTGTGAGTTTGCGTTGCACTGACTTGTATAAATCAGCTGTATAAATCATGTCAACAGCCTGCTTAATTATGGTAAAGAAAAATTGACAAAGTTTGTTTAATTTATACAAGCTTTTGATGGCTGAAAATCCATATCAGATATATTTTAACTGCTATTATTCTAAAAAAAATTGTCAAAAGTCTATTAGTTACTGAATTATCAAAACAAAACAGTTGCATGCACATATTAATAAAAAAATTCCAACACTCTTGGTGAAAGAAATTAGGAAAATGAAACAATTTGAGTTGATTGGTCAATCGTTATTGATATGTAGCCATGCTAAGAATTGAGTGAATGTTTCCCGGCCTATAACAAGTATTATCTACAACATCTAGCATCCTAGAGACGTCATTAGAATAGGCATACTCACCATAAGGGAACCGACGATCGCCTACATGCATAATATTTAGCAATTACTCTTTTAAACTACACATCAATATACATGTACTATCTTATCTCAGTGGCAGACCACTACCTAGATATTACTAATTTGGCAGGTACAATAGATCATGTTTTGAGGTACAAATGTAACAATGCATCCAAATTCATCAAAACATGTTTTACACTTCAACTCTTTTAACAGGGCTCTCTGTTGAGTCAGAGTTTCTCGAATCAAAGACTCTTTGGCCAAAATTTTCACGAGTCAAATCATTTTTTTTTTCAAGTGTCATTTGACTACATGAATCATTACAGTTACAAAATTACTGTATTGGCGGTAAATTTGTGCAGATTCTCAAGTCTAAATTGATAATATTTAACACACAGGCATGAGTATCGGACCTAGGAAGAAAAAAAATGACCAGATTGATAAAAAATCCTGTGTACATCTTAAATGTGACAGAAACCAAAAAAAAAAAAATGTAAAGTATGACCCCTTTACTTATAGTACATTTTTAAAGGGGGTCATATTTTACTCCATTTTTTTGTATAAAGTTACTTTATATTCAGATTTTTCTTTACAAATAAATAAGGTAGACACTCATTCATTCATAATTGTAATCAATATTTACATCTCATTGTTCTCTTTACAAAGTAAAAAATATATCTTATCTGAATATGACTATGGAAGGAAAACGGAAACTGTTAGATGGCTGGGACATAGAACAAAAATATGACCTGCTTTATAGTTAAAGTCAAGTGCATACTGAGTAAGCTGTATGTTTTCTACAAAAAGTCCTTTATACACAAAATAAATCATGCTTATATATACTAGGGTAAAAACTTAAGCATATACCAGGTACATATAAACACATATCTCATGCTCATTTTAGCTTTTTCATGACACATAGCTATATGAGCCGCGTCGCAACAAAGCCAACCCAATGCATTTGCGACCAGCCTGCGCATCCGCACAGTCTGATCAGGATCCATGCTGTTCGCTTAAAAACCCTATTACAAGTAGAGACACTGATAGCGAAAAGCATGGATCCTGATCAGACTGCGCAGAAGTGCAGGCTGGTCTGGATCCATGATGGTCGCAAACACATTACGTTGGTTTTATCATGACACGGCTCATATTATATTGTATATTTATTGTTTACATAAAGTGACAGTAGATCTGCACCTCTCTATGAACAAAACAATTACATGCATAGCCATTTAAACTTCTGTTTGTAGTTAACAGAAGTAGATGTTATCTTTGTCTCTGATTTTGTGTAACAGACATGGAAGTTGAATTTTTTCATTGTTAAATTTGGTATAGATTATTTTATCAGACTGCTGTAATGTGTGAGCTCACGTTGCTCTAATCCTGCCTCTCCCTTGTTTTCTAGCCTGGTCTGAATCTGAATCAACAGTCTATTGTTTTATTCCTTTTTTGTAGGAAATAATGCTTAAGTTATTTATGTTCATTTCACAGAGTGCAGGGTCAAGATAAGATTCCTAATTTGAACTATCAAAAGTAATATTTTTATATTGATGGCATATGCTAATCATTTTATAAATGCGTAACATTTAAGTACAAAACACATGACTAAGGCTATGGCTTATAATAAAGCTTAATCAACAAAATTTAATGGACAAAAGAACTGAACAAAAAAAAACAACAACATTCAAAGAAAGCACACTCCATTCAACCCAAATGCCATGTATATGCTGAAACAAATCAAATAATGGATTTAAATCATAAACTGAAACTTAAACAACAGATTAGTAGAGGTGAGTTACAACAACACTGGAACTGAATGATGATTGGACAACATAAAGTTTAACATTTCAACAAATCTACGACCAACTGGTACTAAAAAATGGTCACCTTGTCTGATAAAAAGTAATATAACTGACTGACAACAGTTTTTGATAAAATGTTTAAAGAGAAATTCTTTATAAACATGACGTTGCTGCTAATGTAATGCTACATGTCATGTACTTTATGTTTTCTAATGAAGTAAGAGCATGTGCTGTTTGAATGTAACCTTCATATCAATTAATATTAACACAGTGTTTAATAATTAAAATTTCTGCTAAATATTTTTTATTTAGAGGACACTGATATATTTCAAATAATAGATGGCAAACTTCTTTTTTTATATTCTGTCTTTCCTAAATTTGGAAATGATTAACTTCAATGTCACAAAATTATATCACAAAATTACCAAAAAGCTAGGTACACATGCAAATGTTTTACACAGACTTTTTATCAGACAAGTTTATAAAACAAAGTAAATTATAACAACATTGATGAGTGCATCCTAAAGATTTCTGTATCTCACCATCAGAAATGGTAACATTTTCATCTATGACATCATCTATGACATCATCAATGACATCATAGTCATCAAACTCTTCAGAAAGAGACACGTTTTGCAGTTCTGTAAATAACATATGAGACTTGTTCACACACACACATACACACACAAAGAACTGGCAAAACTAACAACCAATTTCTTACCAAACATTAATATTGAGTATGTATGTCACACAAAAAGGAGGAAAATTTTTAGTTTTTCACTTCAGAGTCTTTTCAAAGTAAAACCCCATTTTACAATAATCTCATGAAGATAAAGGAGAAAGTGATGCACACCTTAGAATGAAAAACATTTAAGAAAATGTACTGTACATGGGACAAATTGCCCCTGGTCAACATTTTACAGCTTAAAAAATGAATTCAGTTTCATAAAAAAGATGTTTTGTACAGTTTTATTCCTATATTTTTATCAAACTAAGGAAAAGCTTCCATCAACAAATGAATTTAAACACCGATTTTATCATTATATTTATTGAAATTATTTGCAGAAATTTCATTTTGTAAAAACACTATCCAGTAAAGACATGTTACATGTGTACATGTTCTATCATTTTACCATTTTCGAGTTATGGACCTATGATCCTATCTTTGTAATTGCTTGTTCAACTTGGGCCCAGATACATAGAATTAAAATTTTTACCAAAATGTTTGATGCAAATTTTGAAAGGATCCTTTATGTACTAATTGTATCTGTTTTAAATTTTTATCTTCTCTTAAAACACCACAAATTGCACATAAAAGTCAGAAATCAGAACTTCATAGAAATATTCATTTGGAGATAAAAGTAACAGCAAACATTACAAGCGTATAGAAAATCTCTGTATACGAGCCACTCAGTGAAAATATTATAACCCTACACTCTATATCACACCTACCTTGAACTATCAATTCTGTTGATTTTGCCTCTTCAAAGAATTCCAAGGCACCGTTTACTTGTTTCTTAAAGCTCTTCCTACATGTAAAATTACCACCGTCCTCCGACTGCACTCTAGAAATAATTAGAGAAGAGTTGTCCCCAGATATTGTAAACTTGTTTTCATCACTTGGTTCTCTGTGCTTGATTTGCCCATTTTTATCTGAAATGTTTTATTACACACATATGTAAAAAGTTTTCAAATTTATATAAATATTTTTTATTAGTTTATTTAAGTCACACTTCCACTGTAAATGTCATATGGCAACTTTCTAGCGATACTGGTGAAGGAAGACCTCTTTTTACATAAACATATATTTAACTGGTATATAATCATTTATTATATACTAATTACTCATAAATAAAATATTGAGAAATATTGAGGAAATAAAATGCGTATTTTCATTTTCCATATTTTCACTGTAAAAATTTATTTTTCACTGCAGTGAAACATATTTTCCGTAATTTCACTGGTGTGTTGCCAAACTACTTTCTTTTAAATTCTGCCAGTACACAAAATTTCAGGAAGAGTCTTTCAAATTTTACTGTCAGAAAGGAGAAAAATGTATATAATAAACAGAAAATTCAAGTTTTTTTTATAAATACATGATTTATTTTCATCTAGTGGCATGAAAATTACCATATTTCACTAGTGGCTACCGCCACTCATGAAATATTTATTTTCATACCACTTGATGAAAATAAACCATGTATTTATAGAAAAACTTGAATATCCTCTATATGTAGAGTATATTTTGTATTAAAAAAAATCAAATAGTAGCCACATAGCAAAATAATCTACAGGAGAAAAGGAAATATTACATTATTTAAATAAGACAATACAAAAATAACGTATTATGGTCCACATTAAAACAGATGAATATGTGTAATAATTTCTATACTTTTAAGTCTTATCTGAAAAAAAGATCACATTATGAAGCTAGTTTTAACAGTATACTGGTGCCTCATATTTCTGTGGTACCCATATTTCCAAGGTATTAGGCATAAACAGTCTCAAATGCCTCATAGACTTCATGCAACTGCCAGGAGTTTAACTTTCATTTTCTTATTCTATTTTTATTGAAATGTAACATATACAATGTAGGCAATACATTAAGAAATTTTTAAAAAAAGACTCATGCCTAAGTTTTTGGACTACAACAACAGCATGACTGAGTTCAATGTTTTCTTAGAAAAGGTCGAGCTTAAATTGATTTCTTCATGGCAAGGTTGTAAGTTAACCCAACACTATCATATCTACAGCAACGTTTTACCTATTGATGATGAAAATCCTAAAGTGTAAACACATTATTAATTCAGACAGGAGAGCATTTTATTAAATACATAGCTTCCTCATATCATCAAGTTTGAGGTTCCAAGATCAGGTAGGAAATACAAGTGAAGGAAATTGTAATGAATTGTTGTATTTTCTTCAAAATTGCTATCTTATAGAAAGAGTTTACCTTTATAAAGAATATAAACTGTTTCTTTGTACCACATAAACAATTCAAGTTCCTCATCCAGTGGGAAGTTCAGTTCACATGGTATACTTGCAGTCTGATTCAATGGGCTGTATACCACACCTGGGCTTCTTGGAAATACTAAACTTGCGCACCCTGTAACCAAAACTTTAAACATTATGGACTAACCTCCTTTATTTAAATTGATGATACTTTTGTTTTATGATTCTAACTTCATTCTTCATTTTGATAACAATAATGGATTAATGCCAAGAGTTAAAATGACAATAATTCTGATATGCTATTAAATACCATTGTATTGTAAAATTCATATCGCAAGTCTATCCGCTTTAAAGTCAAAGGCTTTTAAATTATACTTTATCTTCATTACAAAGAAGCCAAAACACAGACTGACATGCATTACTATGTATTTAAATTATGTTACATTCATGAAAGTCAAATGGTATAACAGTTCAAGTACAGTCATATACATATGTGTGTCAAGTTATGTTCTTTAAAATGTTTAAGATATCCACTTTACTGTAAATTATAAATTAATATAAACATATGATATTTTACCTGCAGTACATAACAGTGCAATGAAAATAAGCCCATGTTCCCAAATAGTCATCGTGTAGGCAAAATGTGCATCACACTCACTGAAAATAAATTCATACAAACTCTAAATTAATGCTCAAAATTGCAAGACATTTGAACTGCATAACCAGGGCTCGCGCTGGCAGGAGCCAATGAGCAAATTGGCTCCAAAATAATTAAATTGGCTCAAGAAAATCACGATTGGCTCAAACTTACGAAAAGTATGACTTTTGGAATCTCCAGTCTAAATTTAGCATTTTCTATTTTAAGAATGGAAAAGTACACATCTGGTTTTCCATCTAAAACTTCCGTTTTATCACTTCTTATCTCAAAACACAGCGACACAGTCAACTTTTTGTGGGTCATTGACTGGTTTATATTTGTAACTTCCGTTCCGAACGAAATATTGATATGAACAGTAACATAGTCTAATACACTGAAGGTGTGTTTACATGTTTATCAGCTGATAAATACGACACTAATTGGTGTGAAAAATACCTGTAGCAGATTGTTGAATAGGCACCGGATAATTGGTCTTAATATTCAATATGAAACAATAACTAGCGACATCTCAAGATTATCGCTAATCAAATCAGCATTTTGGGTATGAAAAGGCGACAAATTATGTTCTGCAGTTGGCAACTTGACCAGTATATTTCATCGTTGTTGATAAACAGATCGAAGTAATTAGGAGTTGATAGAGTTATTGTTGTTGATTTTTTTTTTGGTGGTGGAGGGAGGGGGTGTTATTGCCAATAAAATCCAGGGCCAAAACACCATTTTTGAGGAAGGGGCCTCGGCCTTTTCCTTGGAGAAAATATGCGTGATTTTAGCATATTAGCATATTTTAACATTCCTAAACCAGGAGTAAAAAAAACTATATTATAACCATAAAAAGTACCAGTTTTATAAAGGTATATATGGGGTAAAGAGTTAAACAACACCTTGGGCCAATAAATCTTGCGCAAGGGACTGTGGGTCTGGACTGGGAAATTATCTATTTTTAGAGCTGCTTATATTCCTCTGTAATTTTTAATTACCTAATACTGGGAAATCAAAGGATGGGTTCGCAAAGCTGGCTTGGGCTTGCCCAGCTATAGACTACATGTGTACATTTAAATTTTAAATGGAAATCAAGTGAACTGTGAAAAACAATTAAAAAATATATAGATTTCCATACTACATATAAGTGAAATTTTCAGTGTCATGTCTAGTTGGGCGCCGTCATTTTCAATGTAACTAAATGATAACAGGCTGAGTATTCCAATAACAGAAAAATCACAACTTTTTGGCTAAATAATATTTGTTGAGGTGTTCCAAGTGAAAATGGGAGCGGTGCATGAATTTGATGAAATACTGAATGCAACCTATAAAACGGAAAATGTAAAAAAATATGAAAGACTTCCACGTTCATAGGCTTTGCCTAATTCCATATTAGAGATAAGGTCTAGCAGTAGGAGATTGCCTGTTCTAGCTTCTAGTACTAACTAGTATATTTCTAGTTCTACATGAAATTATAAGCTACTCCTGAATAATCAAAAAGATTCAAAATAATTTATGAACATTACCGTCAATTCTTCATTTCAAAACACTTTCAAGAGTAAGCAAGTAATCTAAATTATTTTGAGAAAAAAGAAAAAGAATTTAAGTTCTTAATTTTTCTGTCCTCATAATGATGATATCGGGCCGATATCTAGCTGGCCTCTATTTACTATAACTAGTATAAGGCTCTTATTAAAATTATTTGTCACTTGTGACTCATTTGATTGTTTTTAAGTCATTGTAAAGGCTAAAATACTCATTTTAAGCACGATTACATTATCAATTGAATAACTCAAACCTTTCTTAAAGACCCATAATAATACAGTCGTTTGTATATCGAGAAATTTAAAATTATAATCGATCACAAAATTATCCGACCGTCCGCCATATTGGTTTCTCTTACTTCCGGTAAACATAGTGTTTACTTTACGACATGTGAATTTTAATTTGCGGATCTGTATACCGGAAGTCTGAATGAAATGAAGTAAATAATTCATGGTGGGCTTGAACAGATAAAGCATTTATCTATAATTATTTTTATTAATTCAATTATTAAGGTATTATCATTAAGAAATAATATCATTAAGAATTGATTTTACGGCAAAGAAATTAAAAATAAACCCAAACCACCAGCCCTCCACTCCTCGATACCTCAAAAACTGTAATAAAACTTCCCAAATATTTGCTCTTCCCTTTTATTTACATTTGGCGAGTAAAAATAAACCGGTAAACGAAGCTCATGGAGGTATATGTGTATACTTCATTAGTCAATTAGGAAAATTCAATGATAAATGTATAAAAATGTGACGAAATATTTCATTCATTCATTCATTCATTCATTCATTCATTCATTCACTCATTCATTCATTCATTCATTCATTCATTCATTCATTCATTCATCTGCCTCTAATGTTAACACCCTCCCTATCCACCCCGCGAGGACGCAGACACGAAGGCATTCGGCACGTCATGCAAAAGTAAAAGCCATCTGGCAATCTGTTACAGTGAAATATGTTCAATATGGCTAACAGTCATATTGAACTGGTGAAACAATATTAGGGGATAGATTGGTCCATTGGAAGAATTTGCTTGGAAAGGACGTCTGTTACCTCGCTATAGTTCAGCATGTGGGTGTGTCGGCCCGGGAGGCTCTCCCTAATAGGGTGAGTTATTCTTCTATGGGGATAGCGACCATATCGTGTTTTTAGACCAACAACATGCGGAGACTCTACAGTAACTACGACGAAGATCTAGTCTGCACCATATAAGAATCTGTAACATCTGATAATTTATCATACTCAATATATCTTCCTAAGTCACACAAAACTATAGTCTAAGGACCACAATGGAAATAAGAGTTTGTTTTTAACTCTTTTTGTGTTATTCTTGATATCCTTGTTTGGCATGGCTATTTATCAATTCACATTTCTTCTTTCTGTTTTAATATGATTCATGAGGGGCCATGTAACGTTATTCCATTGTACAATGTATATTGAAAATAATCTAAAGTGCGTCTAAAGCCAGACTTGACCCAACGCTTATATACATGTATACTTTTCACAGATTGTCTGATCAGTTTAAGTTTGACAAAGGCGGAACCATGCAGGCTTCAGATGCATATTCTAGTTGTCTTACATGCCATATGGACTTAAGGGGTTCTGAGTTTTTCTTTATATTACGATGTAAGAAACCAAAAGAAACCAAAAGTTTGGTTTGCGTCTTTGGTTGACCTGTTTACTTGATAGATGATTCTGTAAGAAGAAAATTTGCGATACAAATAGATCTAGCAAAGAAAAATAAAATATGTATATCGTGCAAAATTTAAAGTGCCCATGATTGGTCAAATATTTCATTAACTTTAATTTTCAAGGAACGTAACCTGCATCTTCACACAAGACGCTGGATTGTACATAGAGGAGTGTAAAATTAAGGACTTGGCTTCCCTTGTTTTCTGTGAAATATAATTATTACGTGTTTCCTTATTTTATACATTGTAATATTTCAATGTTAAGCCACTGTTTATAAATGAAAATAAAGTTGTAAACGAGTTGTTTTTTGGTCAAATTTAGTGTTGCGATAAAAAGAATCTAACATTCGTTGTGTCTTAATGTAAACTTTTATGAAACTCATCTTAACAGTAAAATGTAATTATTAAGTTCGACAGAGACAGAATAGCTCGCTAAATAACATTTTCACGAACTCGTTACATCAAATAACAACTCATAGGTATACAAATTTATATCAATGCAAACCTTTGATGGATTCCGAATAATTCCAAATACTATATTAATATATAAAATGTTCGCTTATTAATCTTCCTGCTGTTAAGTATACTATTCTTCAAACGTTTGTACAAGATCGTCATTTTCCGTATTACAGAGTGCTCGTTACTAATGACTTTTTGTTGCTTCATCTTAGAAAGTCACGGAAATTAGGGGCGAAATATGCCGAAAGTTCACGAGTGTACGTATATGACCTTTCTACCGGACATATAATAATATATAATAATACATGTTAGTCATCTTAGATTTCGTAGAAGTCTATTTTAAACAATGGAAACAAAATCCACGAAGCATACTTATGTTATGGAAAAAAATAATAATCCTCTTGGCAATTGAGCCGCGTCACGACAAAACCAACATAATGGGTTTGCGACCAGCATGGATCCAGTTTCTCTACTTGTTATAGGGTTTGTAAGCGAACAGCATGGATCCAAATCAGACTGCGCGGATGCGCAGGCTGGTCTGGATCCATATGCTGGTCGCAAACCCATTATGTTGGTTTTGTCATGACGCGGCTCAATTTATAATAGTTATATGCTGCACGCGGTCTGCTATGTATTGTGAAAAATGTTTGAGCATTGCCATGATTTAAAGCTTATTACAACATCTATCGTTTTAAATAAAATTAATATACATACTGTCCGTGCTATAGTTCAATAATTTCATGTAACATTTTACCTATTTTGGCAGTTATTTAGTAAGTCAAATAATATACAATTTCTCCATTAGTTCAACCTCCTTGTTTTCTAGCCTCCCCTTTCTCCCTTGTTTGACAGTATACGTATCATATTTTCTGCTATAAAATTGTGTCATGTTGACAAGTTTTATTGTATCATTGTATATGTATGTGTTTGTGCAGCAAGAAACGTCATGTTTCCGTTACCAAATAAAATATTTTGAATCTTGAATCTTTAAAAGTTGCCACGCACGCACGCACTAATGAACACACAAACATTGCTTGTATAAATAGAAAAACAGAATCCTAATGAGACGATTTGTTTGAAGGTTAGTAGAGAAAACTTCCGCGAAAACGGTCACATCACGTCAGATACCTCCGATCGAATTATCACGGGGGACCGGCTTCATATGGTTCACTGAAATGTGCATCGGTTAGAGAGATATCCGTGGCTTCCGGTTAAACATAATTATGATGGTTAAACTCCCATAAGTGGACGCCATTTACAGGAAATTGCACGTTAAAGTTTACAATTTTGAGTTATTTTTGATGAATATGAACAAATCTAAATGCTATTCGACCCTTATACAGTTCCTTTAATTATATATTATTTTTATTTTATTATTATTATTATTATTATTATTATTATTATTATTATTATTATTATTATTATTATTATTATTATTATTATTATTCACACTATATTCATGTATTGTCACTTAATGCAGCCTTTTTTGTCGTGGGTTTAGGTGTGTAAAAAATACAACGTAAGATGAAAGAAAATGACTGAAAGTAAGCCTAAAAGACTGTAAATCCCACAACACAATGCTGACCTAATTGTTTGGAAATCATCAACGAAAGAAGATAAGTAAGGCCAAAATTCAAATTGTGATTCATATGTGGATATGTGTTCCATATCCAAACACAGTTATACTCGGAATCTCTTCTTCGCTTAATACAAAATACATTGGCAGTTAACAAGCATTATAAAAAGAAACAAAAATGAAAGCTGAACATGTTTAAAATTTGACATCAGTATCAATAAAATGATTTTTATTTATACCATGTAATCTATGTTAATATTACTTTACTTTTTTTAAACAATTGACATTGGATGTAATATACAGTGACACAAACATAATCATTTATTTGACCTTGAAAAAGTACTCGTTCATCAAGTTAATTTATTTTTAATTGTAATATTGATATGTCCTTTTCAATCTTACTCAACAAATATATATATAAATCACATTTGTTACTGGTAAAGGTTTTATTTTTATAAGACATTGCGAGTGTTTTGATTTTACTTCATTAAATTTGATGCTGGATATGGAACCTATATCCACATATGGATTACAGTATTTATTTCAACTATTATTCTATTCATACGTCATATATGGAGCCTGCGTATAAACAAGTCGTGTGAGTCAAATTATGGCTGTCTTGGTTTGGTTTGCTTGAGTACAAATTGTACAACAGTATTGCTGCCCTATGGTTCAACATGTTGGCGAGGGTAAATAAACGAGCCGCGTCATGACAAAACCAACATAATGGGTTTGCGACCAGCATGGATCCAGACCAGCCTGCGCATCCTCGCAGTCTGATCAGGATCCATGCTGTTCGCTTACCAACCCTATTACAAGTAGATAAACTGATAGCGAACAGCATGGATCCTGATCAGACTGCGCGGATGCGCAGGCTGGTCTGGATCCATGCTGGTCGCAAACCCATTATGTTGGTTTTGTCATGACGCGGCTCAAATCAAACAAATTTAAAGTGTTGTTCACGCATATGGATCGTTTAGTTTAACCGAATTCTAGTATACATGTACAATGTACCTACTTAAAAATCAGAATGTGTTGGGATACTGATACATTAGTTATATCGTATTGGTTTGCTCCAGCACGAATCAATTTTTAGCCGGACTCGGGGACATCGGTCATTTTTAAGACAGCGTGCTCTTTAATGTTGTACTGTTTTCTTTGGGGCACAGGAAGTAAATGCCAATGAAATTATCCGGAGTCATTCATGATTTCCAATTAAATTAACGTCAGTCTGATCAACATGTGGAATATCCAATTCTATCACATGTACATGTATATCTTAAATATTATGATATGTATAGGTGTACAGTTTGCATAACAATTTCATGCGATATTTCGGGGAGTGGAATAGGCGTTGTGTAGATTCCTTCAACTGATATAAGGTCGTGCATGTTAACAAATAGGAAACCCACTTAAGATATTATCTCAGTTTATTATTACAAAAACAAATTTATTGAAAAAAAAAAGATTTACAAAATCTTACCAATTATAAAAAAAATCCTTTTCCAGGTAGCTATGAAGTATTTTTAATCATACACATGTAAATTATCCAATGACTATTGACAAATTAAGACTCAATGTAATCCAAAGTCGAATCTTGCACGCAAATAAAAAAAATCATAGAATTATACACTCCTTCATAAAATTATAAAAATCCATTTTTTAAATCTTTTATAAAAACACATTTTCATAAACTGAAATAAGGTTTTAAAGATCAGTGAATGAAAAAGACGGATGACCAAATAGAAAACTAGACTATTTAATTAACGTATTAAAGTCTGAAAACATATACTTATATTGTCAGAAAAATTAACCTTAACTACTTTCTAGTAGTTTTGCGTGAGCGCATTAATTTGTAAGCGTTAGGTCAGGGACTTTGTATTGTAACATTGTACTATATTGTCCTATTTCCTTTTAGTGTAGTTTCACACAACAATGAAGTTGTGAATGAAACTATAATTTATTGTAACGTATATGCATGTAATATGATATAGCCATATTCACAATATATATTCGATTGTCTTAAGAAAATCTCTTTATCAGCTAGGTAAATCTATGTTTTAATGTCTACGTACATGTCTTTATATTGTGTGATTCCTTAACGAGATAAAGGGAATGGGAGATCAGAGAACATTTATATTACATGCTTTATTAAATAATTGTTCAAATCTATAAATAGATATTATCCAGACATGTGACAGAGTAGGAGAAAGGTAGTCAACATTAATGAACAGCACTGTGTTGCAGTTGTACAAAGTTGCCCTGTACCTCATCCCGCTGCTGTATTGACCGCTAAAGTCGGTGCTAGAGGGGGTGAAAAAAGTTTCACTTTGCATTTATCTCTCATGAACAGACTCTACGATTTTCAACTTTTTGTTTTCATTGCTCTAGATGGATCTTTCATAGAATTAGTTAAAGCGAGAAGCATAGATGATAAATACTAGTTAAAATAGTTAATATCACATAGAAACAAAGATCGACCGCCTTGTACAGTGGTCTCAGAACAAGGTACATTGGTGAACGCTGTCTGCGTGCAATCAACGTTTGCTTGAGTTCCTTAAACCCAGACTATGTAGACGTCATTCCTTCCCGGGTTCGATCTTCAACCGCTTGAGATCGAATTAATTATAAAATCGATATAAGTCGTCCAAACATTTTTTCTTGGAGGGGGACAATTTAACCACATTGTTACGTAGACGCTGGGAAGTTAGCAGTGACTTGTATCAAGGAACACTAGTCTTGTTATATGTATATGTTTTTGTTAGAATTAAACCCCAGAAACAGATAAGCTTGTGCGCCATCACTAACTCTGGAGTCGTCAACAATCTGTACCCAAACGAAAGACTACTCTAGAAAATCTAAAAGTAATGTTAATGAGATAAAGGTAATATCAGTTTCCCCCCTTGCTTCGTTTAGTTTTCATTTCTGCACATATTAGTTGTCAACTTGTCATTTATTAAAACAATTTGCTTTGTATCGTCGCCATAGTGATTTACAGATTGGGTACAAAACCTTTTAGTATTGATTGGAAACCGACACAATTATCTTCCTTAACACCACAGGATAGAGGAGATCATTGTGGTGTGGTAGACTTGATCACAAGCGGACCCAATGTGTGACTTTACTTACTTTCCTTCCTCTGGTTGCCATGACAAGAAGTAATCTTTTGATAAATTCTTGATATATGTTTACAAATTTTCGCATAAATTATCCACAAGATGCTAAAAGGCTCTCTATACACATGTATTGTCCAAATACATGTTATTTTAACTTAATTAAAATAATTTCCTGAGATTGAAAACTTTTTGCTTGAAAATTAATCTTTACTATTAAAGACCCTTCTATTTTGTTTTCAGCATAAAAAATTTTACCCGAATTCATCTAATCTTTCGGCTTTCTGCTTTCCCATTTTTTCCGGTTATTTTGAAACTGACAAATTGACAAATAATGTGTTTAAACAATTCTCTGTTTATTAGAACAAGCAAGTTAATTTATACCATACTTTTATTATGAATGTTATTAAAAAAAAACCAATTTTGCACCTGCCTTGCATATCTTGAAATTTTGACCCTAGTTGCACGATTTGTATTTAACAATAGTACCAATTATTATATAAATATCAAGTTGGTTTAAGGGTTCTAATGATTTTTAAACCCCGGCGTCACTACTTTAAATCAAAAAAAGGACGACATGGTTTTGTTTTGGTGCGTACTGTTTCAGAGTGTTAAAGGTCTATGGAACCTGTATACTTCAATTAAAATCTTCAATTTTCCAAATTCTTCCCCTAGGGCTACTTTTAAAATAGGAAGAAAATTTAAAAAATAACTTTATAAATTGTCGCCCCTTGCCAAATTGATTTTTTCATGAATAATTTTTTTGGTTACAGGAGTTGGAATTAAAATTTACAATCGGAATTTAAAATATATTCACTAAAAAAGCCCACTTCCTGTTATCAATTACATATCTTTAATTCAGCCAGTCAGAAATCCAAGAAATTGCTTTTACTAAGGCAAAACTCCTTTCCCAGTTACCCCCTATGCTGCCTTTAAGTTTGGAAACTGTTAGTGAGCATGGCAAATTCCTGAGATTCCCAAAAATAATCTTAAATACAAAATTCAGCGAATCAGCTGACAACTTCACAGGTAAATTTTTAAATTTGTTTCCAACAAAACTATCAAAAATTAAAGGGCCCTGAAACTTTTTATGAATAATCTCTAGGAGAGATATCATCTTTGTACACGAACTGCAAAAGGGCAGTCCTTATACTACAATAGGAAAAATCCAGGACTACACGAATTTGCAAGTGGAAGAAAGTCTGACTGTGTGTTTGATTAGGTTTTACGTCACACCAACACAGTATAGGTCATATGGCGATGTTCCAGCTTTACTAATGGAGGAAGATCTCGGGTGCCCATTCCTTGCATTATGTCTAAACTAGTCTCTATAAAGTTAGCTGCTTATAAATTATATTATATAGGAAAATCAAATCGCTGAATTTAAACATAGTCACAGTTTTGCATTTTTTTACTGGTATATGCCAATGTAAAAGAAAACACTTCAAACAAACCAAGAATACCTATATGACTTTTATTGTTCATGTATAATTATGTACATGACTGAATACATGGTACAGACCAAGGGCAAATTAACAGATAAACTTATAAAAATTTAACTTGGTACTTATATGATGTAAACAATGAATAACTGACATTTTTGTCACTTAGAACAGTAATATAAAATGTAAGAACAATATAGTAAACAAATAATACAAAAATATTCCATTTAGAAATGTGTTAACATCCCACAATTCCCGGTTATGAATGTGTATGTGTATGTTTGTGAGAAAAAAAAGAAAACAAAGGAAAAATTCACAAATCAGCATATTTATACCTGATGAAAATTTCAAATGAAAATTGTTGTGGTGTTAACAGTGCAACTAAACCTAATAAAAACTTTTAACATATAAGTCAAACTAAACATATTATTATTTACACATCAGTGAATCTATTTCTATTTTTCATTTATTCATTAAAATGTAACAATAGTCAGTTTAACTGATTTTGAAAAATAAAACCAAAGTAATTAAAAGATAAATTTTTTATCACCTATAGCTTAAATCCTATAATAAAGTATTACATTTGTAAACAAAAAGCACAAATTGACACAGGAATTCTAGACTGCCAAGCTACCATGTTATAGACTAAACATATATTATATATATCATCAATTCAGTATTAAACAGCTCTTCAGATAAAATGAGAAGAAAGAGTTCATTTACAGGAATGAATTACATGTAATTTTCTATGAGATGATGAATGATTTATAAAACTTGTGCAAAGTTGACAATTATGATAGTCAATCGCGGTTGGGAGCATCTAAATCAGTGTATGGCCACTAATAAAAATATCTCGAAAATTTGTGACAAGAAAGAGTTTTGGAGGTTACTTTAATTCCAGTCTTATAATGGAACTCACTGTAAAAAGCTATTCATTGTTCATGTTAAACTGTTGTATATGTATTTCCAGCAATACATTTCTTTCATGTGATCAAAATCAACTAATCAAAACAAAAAATGTGTGCCATGTTGTTGTTTTTTAAGCTGCAAACAAGAAATTGAGAAAGTATTTTCAGCAATTCATGCTAGACATATTTATAGACAAACCTACACTAAATAATACAAATAAGAATCGTGGTGACAAAAATAATCTTGAAGATGTTGGCAAAGAAATACCATAGGAGGTTATGTTACATTGTTGAAAAAGATCACACATATTATTTTCTAGCATAATGAAATTCTGTGACAGTTAAGAGTGCAACTATATTGTGTTTAATTGATGCACACAAATTACTGCAGCAGACGACAAAACCTGGGGTATAATACAGCCTTTTATGACTTCTCCGTGTCTTTCCTTGTCTGTGATTGGTTAAAACAGAAAGTCAATCATAACATAGATGAGTCATACCAGGAACAAGTTTCAAGTGTCAACATCAAATTACATCTTACATCTTAATGCCAAATATAGTGTCTATTCTTTATTTATACTTTAAAATTTTTTTTTCTTTTCCTAATTTGTCATTAATTAATTTTTATTAGTGATTAAAAAAAAACCACTCCAAAAATATCAATTAACTCTAACAAAATGTTAATGTTTTTTTTGACCTTCATATTATTTTCTTAAGGTCTATGTTTACTAAAATGTATTCACCAATATGATGTGCATGATGATTAAATAAATAATGTGCATAATAAATTTACAAAACTGTACCAGTCATGTATGTTATTTTTGGGTATAACTTTATACAGGTTGAAGATCCCTTCTAGCCGCTTGCGAAATGTCACAGAAATGAACACAAAATTTTTTGTTGCCGTGAATTGTCACATTTTTTCTTGTTTATCGTATATTCTGTAGAAAAAGATAAATTAACCTTGATTAAAGTTCATTACCTTACTAAAAAGAACAAGATTTTAAAAATTTAAAACATTTTAAGCCTCTTGTTCGGTAAATTTCCGGAATACGTATTTAGTGTTGCGTGGCTTCAATCCAGTTTTTAGTGAACAGCCGTTATTTTTTTGGGATTAAATTTTTCAATAACATTGAAGGATGGAAGGAATGCCCTTTTAAATGTAAAGTTTTAAAATCAGCATTCCTCACATATTTCATAAAATTAGTCCGTGATTTAGCAGTAATTAAGAAAATTTAATGTTCTTGTTTGAGAACTTTGGATGAAAAATATAAACTAAAAACCCACTAGTATCTATATGTGTCATTTACTTTACAAACAAGTAAAAATGTTCCTGTAAAAGATGGTAAAAACACTTAAAGCCTGTTGTTCAATTGACTAAATTACTGCAGATATATCAATTAGTCCAACAGGTTAGACAAGTGGTTTTAATACAGGCTTTTAGCTAGAATCAGTCTCCTATGTTTGTGTGGGATTTAATTACAATAGACAGGCAAAGGAAGGAAAGTGAATGTCCATTTTAAAATGTTGTTTTTTACATTAATCAGCGGGATTCCTCACATGATTTCAGTAATTGAAGTTAGTCAATAATTTAGCAGTATTTCAGAAAATGTCAAGTGTTCTTGTTTGAAAAAGAACTTTGGGAAGAAAAAATATAAAAGCAGAAAAATATTTGTACTTATTAAGAAATGAATTAATATTCTGACCTTAAAAATGAGTTTTTCGGAAACCTTGTTAACATAGAAAAATTTATTAGTTGAATTAAATCCTAGACAAACATCATATTTGTCATGTGACATTGAGAACAAAAATAATATCAAATTAGCTGCAACAATCATCAAGAAAATCATGTAATATAATCAAAACTTAATATGTTCCAAAAATCATACAATACATACATTATCAAAAGTTAAAATCAACAAAGTCATCTTTTATAATCATACATGATTTTCAGTATTGACTTTTTCATAATACAGTTAGTTTCAATATTCCATAAATGTTTAATTTTAGTATTAATATATGTTCAGTTTCCAAATTTGTAAATATTAGTTTCAATATTAATAAACATCAATTTCCATATTAATCAACTTTCAAACATATTAATTAACTCTCATTTTCATTATTTTCGACAATCTTAACATTTTCTATGTTAAGCCTTACCCATAATTTGGGATTTATTTATGTAATGAGTAAAAATATCCCAACATGTGCACATATTATGTGTAAAAGTTCACAAATGAAATGCATCAAAAGCCTGACAACCAACATATCTTGTGCAAGGTTTAATGTGTAATTTCATTGAAATTCTGTTAACAATTTACAAAAAGTGTATTTTTACAAACAAAACTACCAATCATAATTACTTTACCTTAAAAGCCAGAAAATAAAAATTATATAGAAATTAAAGTAATGTAGTTATTTCACAGAAACTATTCATTACTTTAAAGTTCCATTACAATCATATGGTAATAAAGTAAATTTAAAGAAGCTATTCATTACTTTTACAGTTCCATTCAATCACATGGTATTAAAGTAAATTTAAAGAAACTATTCATTACTTTTACAGTTCCATTACAATCATATGGTAATAAAGTAATTTCACAGAAACTATTCTTCTATTACAGTCATATGGTAATTAAGCAATGTCACAGAAGTTATTCATTACTTTTACAATCATTTAGTAAATATTCCATTCTTTGTATGGTAGCACAACAGAATGGTGTATTCATTCTGCAAAACAAAACAAAACAACAAAGTATGATCATGTTTATTATGATTAAGTAGAGAAACAAGTTAAACCATGATCTATAACATCTACTGTATATAAAACTAGCTCAACAAGACAAATAAGTACAAAGCTAATACACTAGCATAACAAATAACTGAAAAAGCACATTTTTCATAACACAAAATCCAACCGGACATCAGTTGTAGTCTAAAGAAAAAAGATAAATCAACATAGAAATTTATCGTAGCTGACAAAGCTGCTTTAATGTTTATCAGGTAGGGCATCCATCATTAACTATTAATAATCATTTTGGTCCTTGTAAGTTGGGGTTTTTTTCCATACAAAAGTAACTTATTAAATGACATAGTTTCTTGTATCAAAATTTTTTAAAGCTACATGCCTCCAGATGAGTTAACAAATTTTTGAAAACATTTAAAACTCGAACACTTCCACCTTAAATATTTTAAATGGATATGCCCAACTTTCAATCTTGATAAAACCATTCATCTTTCTTGGGGAAAAAAATTAAAAAAAACAATGTATAAACTTACTAAATAGCAACCAGAGCAGACCATGATCAGACGACACTGATGTACAGCTGATCTTGGTCTGTACTGGCTGCATTAGTATAATAAGTTGCCACTAGCAAGCTAAGAGTTAACAAAAATAAATAAATAGGTTTAATGTATAGATTTTCCCAACCTATGTTATGTTTTGTATGTTTTATGTAAAATACTTTATTTATAACCTTATTTCTATCGAAACAGCTATTTTTGTAGTATAATTTTTACAACATTAAAAGAAATACATTAGGATAAATACCTTAAGACTACTCAAATAATATTTGTTCACTTGACACCAAGGTACAGCATTTTTAAACACTTTCTAAACAAAATTTTCAAATCATAACATGAATCTGGAGGCATGCCACTTTAACAAATACAAAAGTTTATTACATGTTATTATCCTTATTATCCATATACACAGACTTAATGTCATACTTACATCTTAAAATGAGCCGCGTCATGACAAAACCAACATAGTGCGTTTGCGACCAGCATGGATCCAGACCAGCCTGCACATCCGCGCAGTCTGATCAGGATCCATGCTGTTCGCTATCAGTTTCTCTACTTGTAATAGGGTTGGTAAACGAACAGCATGGATCCTGATCAGACTGCGCGGATGCGCAGGCTGGTCTGGATCCATGCTGGTCGCAAACCCATTATGTTGGTTTTGTCATGACACGGCTCAAATGTAAATTTATCACACTAAAAGCTAAACAATGAAAATATTTTAACAGTCAAGCGTATATTATTTTATATCATTTTAACCTGCTGGTATCTTAAGTGCAAAGCCTTGCCACCAGTATAGAGCCAGGTCAGTTTGTCATGGCTCTATACTGTTGCCCAACCAACTTCAATTTATTTTTTCACTTGATGTCCTTAAAACTGAAAATGGACCGTTCCAAAAAAAGAAAATATTGAAGTAGGCCAAGCCTATTTAAGACATTCAGCAGGGTAAATGATTACATCCAGTGCATTAATTCAGATAAGAATAATCTAACTAACAACAAAACTAAGAGCTGATAAACATATCATGAACAATTTTTTTTAGTCACACTTAAATAACCAGTTATTTTTATTATTAAGAAGCCTGCCCTAATGTAAATGTCAAGAAAATTTTGTGTTTGAAGTAAATTTGTAAATAGTATATAAAATATTTCCATATTAAAGAGTCAATTAACTGTATACAGGTAAACATGTGTCTGTAATTAAAATTTTCTCATTATTGTGTCTTTTTTTTTCCTTTCTAAGATATCATAACAATATTACTATCCATTTATAAAGTTCAATGAGATTTCCCAGACTTTATTTCTGTTCTATAAATAGCATTCTTTTACAGACAAAAGTCAGAGTTACCTCCCTCTCTTCATCATGAGTTTTTCTTTTTTTGTGGGGAAACAATATATGAATAGGTATAATGACATTAATGAGAGCATGTTATGAGGTAGGCGAGGAGAAGATGAATGTGCAACTTCCCCTCTTATAACTTCAGCAGGCTAGTTAATTACTCGTTATTCTAGCAGTTAAGTATATGTAATTACAATCTTAATTACAGTGACATTCCTTTCAACTTTTATGATGTATTTAACGTCTAGACTTGGCACTTTTGTTTCACAATAATTTCTGTAACAAAAATCAAAATACTTATACAAAATGTCAGGGAAATGTTACGAGGGAAATAACCTTAATAAAAAATTTCATGGCTTTTTACTATTTTGATAGGCAATGAAATAAATGAGAAGTTAAAATTTGAGCCAATTACACCTTCCTCCCTCAATATAAACATCATAATAACTTAGTGTTTATGAATTAAAACCACAGATAACTCAAGCCTTAATACTTCCCTGGAGCTGCCATAAAATACTGTAAAAAGATTTCATTATCCAACAACCTATCACCTGTTAGTTAAGCAACATTAATGATATATTATATATATATATATATATATATATATATATATATATATATATATATATATATATATATATATATACTAACAGGAAGTTGTAGGAATTTAAATAATGGAGTGGGAGTCAATGAAATTTCAAATACAGTAGAAACTACACCTGACGTAATATCAAAGTAAGTTTGGTCATAGACTTCAATTAACAAAAAAATCAGAGGTCTGAGAAAGCACTGTAAATATTTTTATGGTACAGTAGTTGTACAAATCAACAATGTGGTCATGATGACTTTACAGCTCATCTGAGATAAAATGCCAGAAATGGTCATAACAAAAGACAATTTGGTCACATTGGGCAGTGACTCCATAAAACTTTTATAGAAACCCACTAGAAAATGAAGTAATCCAAATATATAACCTCTAGGAATTGTAGTTAATTTCCTATACACATAGTATGTAATGATTAATTCCAGGCCGAGTCTTTTTTTTTTGACAAAACGGCATAATTTATATAAATTTTGTAGAGGGTTCATGCCAATTAACTAAGTTATAAGCATTATTATTTCACATTAAAAGACTCAAATACGTTAACCTACCATATATAATTTTTTTACAAATTTAATGATCCCAAGTGCATGATTTATAGAATTTTGTAGAGAACCATAAGGTGATATAAGGAGAGGATTTTTAAACATTTAAATTCTTAAGTTTAAGACATTGGGGATAACCACAACCAATTGACCACAGATATCTTGCCATAACAAAAGCTCAATTCTGTGCACTTTGTGCTCAGGTGAGCTAATAACCAACATTTGTGCAGGAAACAAAATTTTAATCAAAGTAATCCCATTGAATGGTATATATATATTATACTGGAGAACTAGCACTGAAAATATACAGCTTCCAGAAGTTTACAAGTAGTTACTTCATCAGCTAGTATCACATATTATGTAAACTTTATATCGCATTAACAAGAAAGTTTTAATATTTTCAAACACTTTACAATATTTACTTATTACAATGTAATTTGAAACCAAAATATATTTTTCTTATCATGCCAGAACATAACCCACCCTTCAAGGTTTAATGAATAACAGAAATACATGTATTATTTTTCTATAATGTCTGAACAATGTATTCAGTATAAAAAATAACAAATATATCAATGAAAGAGAACAAAAGTTACAAATCTAAAAAAAAAATTCTGCTTGAAATAAAACACAAACAGGGCAATATTATGAAGTCTGGGTGTGTGTTTTTTTAATGTTATTTTTCTTACCTGAAAATTTTCCATCTTTATGAATTTTTGAGATCATATAACTTATTGCATGTTGTAATGTATGATAAGAGAGGTCTAAATAGAAACCTGGAATATTCTAACAATTTCTTTACATTTTTTTTATCTTTTCCTTCATTTTTCTTAAGATAAAAGCTTGAATGGGAAAAAAAATCCTGTAAATTTAGGTGAGGTGAACAGGTACTGCTTTATATAAAGTAATCTTTTTGGCACAGACTGTATGTTTGTTGGAAAGTCATTGAGCTGTAGTGGACTTGGAAATGTTTACTTACAGATATTTCTTGGCTTATCATACTGTAAATGGAACAAACATTACGTATTTACAGCTTCCTAATATCAGACTCACTGGAGAAAACATATTTTATTTCCACCTACTATAAGAATTAACAAAACGTTTTATGTATACTATCAAAATTCTAAGGCTTGGTGTGAAATGGTAATATCTTCTATATGTTGTACTAGAAGCTTCCACTTAGAACCAAACCTTCAAAATAAAACAAGTGTAGAATACTTGTATAGTGTTAAAATTGCTATGAAGCCTTGTACATAACTGATTCTTTTAAGCTATTATTTCCATCATAATCTTGCAAAGATTTTACCAGTTTCCATGTTTTAAAGTGATCAACCATGTCTTACAATGATCAATCTGTCCTTGTATTGATCAATCACATCTTAAAGTGATCAATCACATCTTAAAGTGATCAATCACATCTTAAAGTGATCAATCACATCTTAAAGTGATCAATTATGGTCTAAAAATGATCAGGCCTTATAGTGATCAATCACATCTTAAAAGTATTTATGACTTAAAATGATCAATTGGGCCTTATAGCGATCAATCAGGTCTTTATAGTAATCAACCACATCTTAATGTGATCAACATGTCTAAAAATGATCAATCACATTTTAAAATGATCAATCACATCTTAAAATGACCAATCATGGTTTAAAATGATCAATAATTTCTTAAATTGATCTATCACATCTTAAAATGATCAATCACATCTTAAAATGATCAATTATGTTTTAAAATGATCAATCATGTACTAAAATTGACCAATCATTAGCCAATATGACCGGGAATCATTCATCTTGTTTCTATACAAAAAATACATAAAAGTATCAAGTTTATGAAAAAGGTTCATTTCAATCCCTTCAATGTTATGTAAAAAATTAATTGCAAAAAGATTATTTTGAAGCTACAAACTTTCAACTAGTAAGGATAAAATAAGTTTGCTAACTTGCTAACAAGCACTTTTAACTTGATTAGAGGAGATGGATTAGAGTATTGTTTTAAATAATGTACATATTGAAATCCAGATACTTGAAATCTTTTAGTATAACAAGATATAAAATGGTTATATAATTATTTATGTGTTAGTGAAAAAACACAAATATTCCGCTAATTTTAGGTTCCTAAATTATCAATGAAAACCCTAGAAATACAAAGTTTATACATTGCTTCAACACTAATATGTTTATTTCTATCATAAGAAAAAATTATATTTTCATATAAAAATATATCTTAATTAAATTATTTATCAAGGATTCTGGAATTTATATTCTATAAATTGATGTCCTATATTGTGATAAAGTATCAAACACAAAATCTCAGCTTTAATAAAGAAATTACTAGTTTCTACACCAAATTAACTAGGTTATATTTATCAAATAATGTTATTAGTCCATATTTATTTTGTCAGTATCATGAAAAGAAAAATTGAATTATACGAAATTTCAGAGCTAAAATAATCATATTTCTGACTTTTTTCCCTTGAGGCATTGTTGCTTTTATCAAAATATAACAAAGCACCTATAACTTAATAATAGTACAATTTTAGAAAACATTGATTCAATAATGGGACTTGTTAGCTTATTTCAACGAGCATAAATGTACTTCTAACTTGTCCATGAATCACGCTAAACTAAAACTACAAAAATACAGTATTACAACTAAGTTGCCATATCATCATTTGTACATATAAGAAACATTGTCTCATAAATAGAGTCACAGTTGATATGCCCTTATTTAAGTAACAAGACCTCTAAGTCTGTGCTTTTCTTAGTGTTTTGTGGCATAATTTCCAAACCTGGCGATCTCAATTTTTCCTACTTTCAAATCTTCTGACATTTGCTCCAAAGCTTCTACCTGTACTTTGTCTTCATTCAAGCTTCTGTTCACCTCTGATTTCATCCATATCACTCAAAAGGCCTGTCAGCAGAAATGGTACCACACATCAAGCTTCTAAAAGACAAGACTATGTGAACTTATTCTTTTAAAGCTTTTGTCAAAAGCTAAATGATTTTTATTGAAGAATAGTTTCACAGATTGATGCCAGATGGAATGTTTTGAGCTTCGTAAGATGTTGTCAACTGATGAAAAGGTTGTACGCCATTTTTATCGGCATGAGAAGCAAATCAAATATTTTAGCCCTAAATGACATTCTTTAGTTATCTAAAATTGAAGAAATATCACATGCTAGATTGGGAAGAATCTTCCGAGATCAGGCGACTTAGGTCTGAACAAGTACACTTTAATTTCCCACAAGAGCATTTAATCCGAGTTCCCAAACTACGCTGGAACTCCAACAATTGTCCCATAAAATTGAAGTTTGGTGAAATGTTTGGTTTACATGCTTTTACGTAATCGTACGCATCATTCAGAGTAAGTTGCTTCGTCTGCATTAGATATGCGACAGTGATGGTAACCGAACGACTCACACCGGCTAAACAATGAACGAGAACTCCTTGGTTTGAACCACGGGCCTCATCTGAAAGGAAAAGAAAGAGAGTATATTATTAATTATCATTAGGTTAAACTTTAAGTATAAAGTCTTCAACAAAAACATGAATATCAGTTTTAACATTTCTGATGTTTGTGACTGTCCAAACGAAACTACATGTACTAACATATACTGTAAATAAAAACCTATTAAAAGTAACATAATTATATAACAAAAGTTTGATATACATGTATATCACTTTCTACCTTGGCAATGCACCTTTACCTTTTCCCTGTTTCCCTGATATAGACATGTTTTGACGGTTTTTTGTCCCCCCCCCCATTTTGAGACCTCAAACACTGTTTTTCGTTTGAGAAATGTTGTTAAAAAAAGTGAGCACTTTTTTGGCGCCGCCCCCCATCCAAATGTTACGTCAGGGGGTTGCCAGAAGGGTAATGTGCCCCCTTCTGTTTGGGGGGGTTTGAAGGGGGGCGATAGTCCCCCTCATGGCCAAGAAAATTTTGGACATGTGACAGACTAAAAATGGCCTCAGGTCGATCTTAGGGTAACTAGTAACCGACACTGAAAAGCCTTTTACTCTATCTGAATTCATTGAGAAGTTGCAGCACTTTGAAATCAGTTTTGATGGAAAAATAAAAGTGCCAAATAGTGATTTTTGGCAATTTTAAGTTATTATTACTGTTAATACATGTGTACAATGTTACTAAAAAATTTTGTACTGCTACATAGGTAACACTTTTTTTTCACAATATAAATCTGCAACTTATTTATATACTTTTACATGACTGAAATATAATATTTACTCTTATTGTAACAATGGATAGTGTTAAACTCAAAGCAGAAAAAGTTCATTAATATGCAACCTTTGAGGGTAATAGTTATGAAATAAAACTGCCTTTCACAGACATAAACAGAGTAAGAAGTTGACTGAGAGCAGAAGACACTTATGGACATCCTTTAATTATGGCGGCTCCTCGGGAGATTTTATTACGGCCGTTGTCACGAAACCGTCATGACCATTGTCATGTCGGAACATTGCTGACAACATCGCACATAAAATCATTACCCAGACTCCCCTGGGTACCGTCCAGAATTAATAAAACGCATTTCTGTTTTCATTAGGTCAAAACTTGCTGTCCTTAATGTATGTCATTACAATCTATAGAAACATCCATTCATGTTATACCTTTAGTGCTCAAACATAGTATTTGTTTAATGGAAATAATTGTCTAAAGTATTTATTATGCTTAAAATACACAGTAATCATTAAGTAATGTATGCATTGCTATTATCATAAGTTAAGTTTGTTAAGAGTTTAAGTGTTCTTGCTAAATGTGATATAATGTACTGGTATATAAAATGGAAACAATAAATTAATAAATGTCATGATGAGATTTGATATCCCAACTCTAATTTGCCTAACAGATTTGCCCTTCTTCTTTGAAATTCATATCTAAGTATCACAAAAATTTTCAATAACTAATTATGAAGCCATGTTCCATTAATTATGACTTTTAACACAACTTAAAACTGACATCTATCTCATATGTACAATGTATGTATGTATGTGTATGTATGTAACAATTAACTTGTGAATAATTTGATACTTGTGAACATTTGCCTATCACATTCTATACAAATATTATACTGGTGTAATGGAAAGTAAAGCATTGGTTATTTTTAAGGAACACATACAGTGTCAAATATAAAACTAGAATACAATGAAATTATGCAAAACTCTATTGCTAATTCTATCTGAAACTGTGACAGATATCAGTTTTACTATATCAGATCTCTGTATTAAATCTAAATCAGCCATTTCAACATTTCACACCTTGGAGTGCAAAATACTGATTCTGTAAAAATCATCTAATGAAAATATCACACAGCAGCATTTACCCTTCACCACTGAAGAATAATTAATGATATATTCTTTTCACATATATGATATTCAAAACACAATATCATTCTGTCCATTTACATTTTTCATTTAAAGTTGATATTTATAGCGAAAAAGATCTAGACCCATATAATTTTCATATAATGAATAAATATGCATATAATTACTATAAATTTATTGCATTTCTTTTGGAATACTATATAACAGTTACATAATTATTATGTCAATTTTGATGGTATAATGACATTTTACGTGGAAAACTGTCGAAATTTCTAATACTAGTAGAATTTTACATGAAACTTTTTTAGTTTTTAGATATATGCAGCCAATACAGGGTAGGATCAGGATTTTATATTATATAATTATATGTTTAAAAATACAGCCTAATTACGCAGTAAAAGAGCTATTCATTTAAAAATTTAGTCAGCTACACATTTTAAAGTTTATGAATTATTAACTCCCTACTAGTTTTAGCGGCAGTTGAACAGTATTTTCAAATAGCAACCATCAATAATTCATGCCTCAATTTGATATTGGTAGATAAAACAATTGCAATGGAAGCTGAAAATGGTGTCATGAGACCAGGTCATATTGCTCTCTGTCCTGTTACCAGGCATTGTAAATTTTGTCCTCTCAGCTCTATAGCATAATAAATATGTATAACATTGAGTTTATATATCATTTATGTAACTGTATGGCATTTCTTCACAAAGAGGAAAAAACTCATTGGCAATTAATACTAACTTAATATATTTTACGTTGATAGGAGCGGTGGCCTAAGTGGTTAAAGTGTCTGCCTTTCAATCCAAAGACCATGGGTTTGAGCTCTACTTCTGTTGAAACCATTTGTCATCAAATGACACGAGTACTGGTTAGCTCCAAGAAGCCTACTTGAAAGTATGTCAAACAAACTTCAAACCCTCATTAAAATCCATTATCAAGCCAAATAATTTATGTTTAAATATAATACAACTATTCGTAGAAATTTTCCAGTAAAAATTAAGCTGAATGAAAAGAATTACTGTCAACAAAATAAATCAACCTTTAATCTGCAATTTGAAATTAAAATCGTTTTAACACATCTATTCAAAAGAGCATAGGTTATCTCACAAACAAGTACTTGACTTTTTTTCCCCCATTTTTCTTTTTTTTTCCCCCACATTTTGCATGGAACTATTAGTTGGACTATAAATTATGCAATATTGCTAAAATATTAAGAAGTTTATTACATGTATGCAGGTGTCACTTAATGTATTCTTACACTGTGGTTACAATTGTTAGGTATAATATTAATAGTTTTTTGTATGTCTATGTAAATTTTAACTCCTGAACTCAAAAATGTGTTTTAATTGGTATCAAGGTAATAAGTAACACCTGTTTATAAATGCATTGCTGAGGAAACTAAGTATTTCAGTAATTTTATCCTGGAAAAGTGCATAATACCAATGTCAAGCCTTTGTCTCTGTCCCATATGCTTACTTGATGACTTGTTATTAATTAAGAAAATCTACTCCCTCAGACAATTTTCATGGTTTCCCACTAATATGATAGTGTCATTGATTCTATTTTCAAATATAGTCACATTGTCAACAACACATCATACTAATTGATTAAAAAACATCTATAAGGTTTTTTTTTTTTTACAGCAGTTACTATATTAATTATAAAGGTAAATTTAGATCAGTAGGGCATGGAATAGTACATACTTAAGATAAGTACAGCAAAGGTCAGACAGACATAGAATTGTACCTAAGATATGAAATAATGTCTGAGATACGTACAGCATAGGTCAGTAGAACATGAAATAGTACAAAAGACAGTCAAGTATGGCATGGGTCAGTAGGGCACTGATAAGTATCTGAGACAAGTATCATGGCATAGAGTAGGTCAGTAGGGCATGGATTAGTAGATAAGTACAGCCATGGCATAGTAGCTATGTATGGCACAGGTCAGTAGGGCATGGAATAGTAACTAAGTACAGCATAGCTCAGTAGGGCATGGAATAGTAGCTAAGTATAGCATAGGTCAGTAGGGCATGGAATAGTAGCTAAGTAAAGCATAGGTCGGTAGGGCATGGAAAAGTAGCTAAGTACAGCATAGGTCAGTAGGGCATGGAAAGTAGCCGTAGCTAAGTACAGCATAGGTCAGTAGGGCATGGAAAGTATCCAAGTACAGCATAGGTCAGTAGGGCATGGAATAGTAACTAAGTACAGCATAGGTCAGTAGGGCATGGAATAGTAGCTAAGTATAGCATAGGTCAGTAGGGCATGGAATAGTAGCTAAGTATAGCATAGGTTGGTAGGGCATGGAAAACTAGCTAAGTACAGCATAGGTCAGTAGGGCATGGAAAGTAGCCAAGTACAGCATAGGTCAGTAGGGCATGGAATTATAGCAAAGTACAGCATAGGTCAGTAGGGCATGGAAAGTAGCCAAGTATAGCATTGGTCAGTAGGGCATGGATTAGTAGATAAGTACATCATAGGTCAGTAGGGCATAAAATAGAAATTAAGTACAGCATAGGTCAAGAGAGCATGGATTAGTAGCTAAGTACAGCATAGGTCAGTTGGGCATCAAATAGTAGCTTAGTACAGCATAGGTCGAAGGGCATGGAATAGTAACTAAGTACAGCATAGGTCAGTAGGGCATGGAATAGTAGCTTAGTACAGCATAGGTCAGTAGGGCATAGAATAGTAGCAAAGTACAGCATAGGTCAGTAGGGCATGGATTAGTAGCAAAGTACAGCATAGGTCAGTAGGGCATGGAAAGTAGCCAAGTATAGCATAGGTCAGTAGGGCATGGAAAGAAGCCAAGTACAGCATAGGTCAGTAGGGCATGGAATAGTAGCAAAGTACAGCATAGGTCAGTAGGGCATGGAAAGTAGCAAAGTATAGCATAGGTCAGTAGGGGCTAAGAATAGTACCTGATATAAGAACAGTATAGATCAGATGGGCATGGAACAGTACCAGAGACAGCTTAGTATAGCATGGGTTGGTTGGGCATGGAATAGTACCTGAAGTAAATATGGCATAAGTCTGTGGGAAACGGAATTGTACCAGAGAAAGATTAGTATGGCATCATTGGCATGCATCCTTTACTTCTCTAAATGAGAGGTTTTATGTTCAAAACA